CTGGGCAGTGGCACCTTGGGCTCCAGAACTGGAAAAATCCTTAGAGTCCTCTGAGACCTTGGTCCAAGTTCTGTCCCAATGCAGGGGTGTCTCCACGGCATTCCAGACAGTTGTCAGTCTTGCTAACCACCCACAGAGGTGAAGGCCAGAGGTTGTGGATGGTGGCTTGATGGTGAGGTGGGGAGGGGAGATGAATGAAGACAGAACACCGAAATGTGACCAAAATCTCACAGTTCAAAAGCCACTATACAAACAGTCAATCAATACACAATTAGGGGGAACAGAGATTCTTACTTCTTCAGAAGCTGGCACTTTACAAATGCTGCAAAATATCTTGGCAACAAATGCATATGGTGTGCTCCCCGGGGAAGGTGGCTGAGCCCTGTAGCTGACACTCGAGAATCGACTGGGCAGCTTTCTAGGGGACATGGAACCAAGGGTTTTTCCTGGGGGTGTGGGGAGACAGGGAGCAGATGCAAGCCTTGCCCTTGATTAAAATCGTCCCCATTTACAGGACTGGTGACCATTAGATAAGCTAAGGTGTTAGCTAGCCGGCCCTCCAGAACTCCCCCTTCCTTCTAGTTAATACTCAGCCACAGGCCAGTGTCAAAAGGTTTCCCCTTGGCTTTGCAGTGTGGGTCGCACATGCTCTGGAAACCAGCAGGTAGGCCAAGATTCATATTGCTCCTAGGCCAAAATGCAAACTCTTTTCCTCGACCTAAGAGGTCTGCAAGCAGACAGGGCCTGCTCACCTCTGCAACACAACCTCCCACCTCCCTACCCCTTGTTTACCACCCTGACCTCCCTCGCCTGGGTGGGCCTTTTTCAGGTTTTGGGATCTGTCAAACTCTGGGATTCCGTGCTTGCTCTTCCCTCTACCTGGGAAGTTTTACCCATGGCTGGTGCCTTCTCAACCTCCAAATCTCAGCTTCAGTGGCACCTCCTGGAAGTGCCTTCCTTGACTGCTTCAGCTAAGATGTCCCCCACACCAAGTGCATCGCCCTTTCTACTTCATAGTCTGTTGTTCTACAGAATTATTTTATTTGATTACCTCCTTGTCCTCTGTCTCCCTCTGCCCATCCCCATGCCTCTCAGTGTAGGATGTTAACATTGTTCCTCATTCTACTCATAGTACAGAGCTTGAAATATACTAGGTCCTTGACGAGTATTTATTAAATGTAGGGACAGCCTCACAGATGAAGCTCAGGGCTGCTGTTGCCATGGCACATGGGAGAGGGAGACCCAAGTGGAAATGCTAAAGATCAAGGGCAGGGGAAAAGATTCTAGCCAGAGGCAGGCCAGGAAGAGGGACTGCTACTGGACCAGGCCAACAAAAGCGAGTCCTGGCAGGCAGGATGCTCCTCTGTCTGGGAACTCATTGGAAAGGGCCCGAGGAAGCTTCTGGATGGTTTAGTGGAGCTCAAATGGCAAAGAAGACTTCTATGCTACTACATGAGCCCAGAAGCCTTCAGATACTTGTCAGTACAGAGAGTCTGTCCACATAGGTGAGATCTGGGAAGGTGATGAGAGATAAGAGTTGGGGTGGTAGAGGGGCCCCCAAAAGAATGCCCATTGACTGGATGCTTTCCCAGCATACCCTCAGTGTCAGGTCTATCTGTGCGTGGGATCCCTGCATCCTTTACATAGCTAATGATTCCCCTTTCAGTACATGATACAGCCTACCAGACGATGAAAAATTGGAGAGACACCCAGAGGCATCTTGGTGTGATGGCTAAAGGCTGATGACTGTTTCATAGCCTGAGATTACAGGCCCCATAAAGTGCTTCACAGCATTTCCACAACCAGCATAATACGGTGGGGAAGAGCCCTGCCTCAGAGACCAAGAGCATATAAACCCAAGTCCAAGCTGTGTGACATGGGCCAAGTCACTTAATCTCTCTGTCCCTCAGTTTCTTCATCTGGAAAAGGGGGCCCTATTTCAAAAGGCTGTCATGAGGCTTAAATTAGTTAGCACATAAAGCACTCTGAACAGCGCCTGGCGTATAGTAAATTCTATGGAAGTGTTGCTTGTTACTGTCATTCAGGGAAGTAGCAGTGGACTTTGAAGTGGTATTCACAATATCACACAGAGATAACAATGTGAATTGTGAGTCCAGGCTGGTTCCTGAGGGCTGGTGGGCTAGTGTGGAGGATGTCTTACTTCATAATTTATCACAAGCCCAGTGTGACGGAACATGGTGAGGGAGGAACATGGTAAGCAAGGGACAGGGAGGTGGGAAGTGGGAGGGTAGGAAGAGGGAGGTAAGCAAGGAACAGGGAGGTGGGAAGTGGAGTCAGAGAGGTGGCAGGCCCCGTCTGCCTGCCAGACCTCTCAGGTCAAGTAAAGGAGTTTGTATTTTTGCCTAGCAGCAATACAGTTCTTGGCCTACCTCCTAGCTTGCAGAGCGTGCATAACCCACACCATAATCCCGAGGCCAGTCAGGGAAATTCAGAGCTCTGGTTGGTTCCCAGGCTTCCTGCACTCTCCGGGAACCAACTTGCCACTGCGAGCAGATCATAACGTTCCACCACAACACTGTGGTTGGTCAGGTAGCGAGCTGGTGCAGAAAACTGGAATGCACACCTTTCCTTTTGCAGAGGGATCATGCATGTACATTGGAACAAGCATGACAGCTTCTTTTTTTTTTTTTTAATTGAAAGGGTGATGAGTAGTTTTCTGTAACTGACTCCTGGCTCATGGTTATATTTGATATGGAAGTTGTGATCCTGACACTTCCAATAATAAGAGAACAGCAACTTCAAGCCTCAGGTGACTCTTAGCTTTTTTAAAAAGAGGCAAGCTTCATTGGCAAACCCTATCCATTATGTGTTTTTCCAGATGCTGGCTGCTCCTTTAAAAAAATTCTAATAAGGGAAAAAAGGGTTCCAATCAAAATACATTTTTATTGTCTTTTACATTTACCTGTGTCATCATCTTCACTGGTGCTCTCGTCTTGTCATGAGTGCTTGAGTTACTGTCTAGTGTCTTTTCTTTCAGTTAGAAGGACTCCTTTTAGTGGTTCTCAGAGGGAAGGGTGTGCTAGCAACACATTTGCATGGTTTTTGTTTATGTGGATATGTCTCAATTTCTCTTTCATTTTTGAAGGATTGATTGCTTTTTTGTCTACCGAATTCTTATTTGACAGCCTTCCCTCCAAGTATTTTGATAAAATATCAAAAGCATATTTTGATATTGTGTGGTGTTTTTCTGATTGCTTTGTGACTTAAAAAAAATGCATTAAGTCTTCTAGGCTGGTGTGGCTATTTAAGACCATATGTCATCCAACTGCCTTTTGGCCTCCATAAGGTTTTTTATGAGAAATCAGCTGTTCATCGTATTGGGGAGTCCTTGTTTGTGATGAGTCCTGAATATTTTCCCCCATTCCTCCCCACTAAAAGTTTACAGTTGTATGTTCTATTTTTAAGTAATTTTTGCATAAGGTGTAAGGTTTAGGCCCATGTTCAGCTTTTTTTTCCATGATGGATCCAGCAATATTTGTTGAAAAGTTTGTCCTCTCACATTGAATTAGTGTACTGAAATAAAGGTTGTAACTAGTCACACCAGCCTAGAAGGCTTTTAGTGAATTTTTGTCTAGTCATGAAGCAATTTAAGAAAACCCCACCCATTCAATATTTTATTTTGGGATTTAGAGATTTTTCTAAGAATCATGGTCTTGTTCTTCCCCCTTTTTATCTTTAATAAGCAACCTTTCATTGCAGTTATAGAGAGTTAGAAACATGTGGTGGAATGGGAATACCTAGTCCACAAGCCCCAAACACTTTATAAAAAGAGAGGAGAGTTTAAAAAAGAAAAGAAAAGGTAACGGAAGGAAAGGAAAGCAAAAGAAAAGAAATGGAAATATAAGAAAAAGAGGGAGGGCCTGGAGTTCGGCTTCGAAATCATTACTTTTTACCTGATTACCTTGGACTTCTTTCCTGTCTGTAAATGGAAACAATAGTCCCTTCTTCAAAGACTCCTTGTGATAAGTGACAGTTCACAGGCCAAGCTTCCTGAGGGGGTCCTGCTGTGGCTCCCTTCCTGTCCCAGGGAGACGTGGCAGAGCAAGCCTCTTTCTCTTGGAAGCTGCCTCTCTTCTTGAGGCTGGAGGAGGCTGGTGGCAGAGGTATCTGCAGGGAGCTGGGCAGCTGGGGAGTAGAGCTTGGATTAGTGTGTTAATGGGGATGGGGATGCCTCTACGTGCTCTTCATCTTGTGCCTGACACTGTACACCCTCCCTGCTTGAGCTCTGGCTGTAGAGAAAGATCAGTGAGGATGTAAATGGATTAGGAAAAGCCCGGCTGGCTTCTTCCGGTGCCACCCAGCACCTGGGTCTCTGGAGATTAGTGGGTAGCAGCTTTGCAGGGAGATAGACATTTAAACATCAGCTTTGGTCTAAAGGCCCTACTTCCCAGAAGAGAGGGAAGAGAAGACTAGCTCTCTTCAGCCTCCTCCAGTTTCTCTGAGGCTGCCCCTTTCTGAAACATGGGGCTCGTACTTGTCTAGTAAGTCTCGCTTGCACTTCAGGCAGGTGCTGGAGAAAGGACTGGTGCTGGCACCAAACCTAACTCTGCATGTGGCAGCCAGAGATGAAAGATGTGAATCATGTATTGCAGGCAAAAATGGTTAGCTAACTTCCCCAGACAGAAGGAGAGGAGGCCACACACTACCCAGGTGTAAGTTACTCTCTGCAACAGCTCGTACCCAACTGGGAGGTGCTATTCTCATGCTTCTTTGGGTCATTCATTTATTTATTCGTTTAACCATTCATTTGGGAATCTGTTTGTTTACTCATTCACTGAGAACTGACCAGCCAGCCTGGCCAGTCCCCTAATTAAGATGTCTTTAACGTCTCTGTGTGTTTGGCCCTGTGCCTGACCCCAGGGACCTAGGTGATGAAACACAGTGCTGGTGCACCATGAATGGCCGGACCGTGCCTGGCTGGGCCAGAATGTTGAGTACGGGGCCAGGCATATTCCTGAACATTGCAGGGTCCCTGTCACATGCATGTCTTTTTTGTAGGCATGAGCCTGTCCTCTGTGACGCTGGCCAGCGCCCTGCAGGTCAGGGGTGAAGCTCTGTCTGAGGAGGAAATCTGGTCCCTCCTGTCCCTGGCTGCTGAACAGCTCCTGGAAGACCTCCACAACGGTAAGAGAGTGTGTTTGGGTGGTCAAGTCACGGGGAGCTGTATGTGAAGCTTCCCACACAAACGTAGCTCTGGCTACTGCTGCTGCTGCTGCTTTAAAAAAATTGTTTTTCTCATCAACCTCTGAGAGCACAGAACAAGGTTACTGCTTCTTGATCTGTGATTAGTCTGAGGTATTAGAATGAGTAGACAAACAGCACCCACCCATGGAGCTGCACTGGGAGGGCAGGCCTGTCTGTTGGACCCATGCCACATGGCAGCGTTGAAAGAAAGGCTTTGCTTCCGCCTTGGTGTTGTAGCATTTCCAGGCATGCAAAGCCAGGAGGGTATAGGAAGAGAGCAACTGAGGTTTTGTGGGAGTCTAACAGCACATGGACTGTCTCTGGGCATAGCCAGAGATGAGAGGCAGGGGGAGGTCACCCAGGACACCCCTACACTCTGTTCGTCAGATGCTGTACTAGTCTGTGCCTCATCAGAAGGCAGACCTGGCCAGGCGTGGTGGCTCACACCTGTGATCCCAACACTTTGGGAGGCTGAGGTGGGCAGATCACCTGAGGTCAGGAGTTTGAGACCAGCCTGACCAACGTGGTGAAACCCTGTGTCTACTAAAAAATACCAAAAAATAATAATAATAATAATAAATAAATTGCCAGGCGTAGTGGCACCCACCTGTAATCTCAGCTACTTGGGAGGCTGAGACAGGAGAACTGCTTGAACCTGGGAGGCAGAGGTTGCAGTGAGCCAAGATTTTGCCACTGCCCTCCAGTCTGAGCGACAGAGCAAGACTCCATCTCAAGAAACAAAACAAAAAAAAAAAGAAGGCAGACCTACCCTGTGGTCTAAACAGGGGAGGTTGATAGAAAGAATTATTAAATTGTGTTTGAATAGTAACTGTAAGGCATAAGAAAACGCAGATGGGTTGTGGTGGCTCATGCCTGTAATCCCAGCAATTTGAGAGCCAAGGCAGGTGGATCACCTGAGGTCGGGAGTTCAAGACCAGCCTGGCCAACATGCTGAAACCCTGTCTCTACTAAAAATGCAAAAAAAAAAAAAAAAAAAATTAGCCTGGTGTGGTGGTGTGTGCCTATAATCCCAGCTATTTGGGAGGCTGAGAGAGGAGAATTGCTTGAACCTGGGAGGCGTAGGTTGCGGTGAGCAGAGATTGTGCCATTGCGCTCCAGTCTGAGCAACAAGAGTGCAAAACTCGGTCTCAAAAAAAGGAGAAAGAAAAAGAAAATGCTACTGGGTCTCCTAGGGCTGAGGGCAGGTGCCCAGTGAGGGATGAACTTTGAAGGGAAGCCCCCTTCCCGGTTTGGGGTTCGGAGCTGTGCTTGCAGTCCATGATGATGGTGGAATTTGCTGCTGTGCTCAGCCAGAGGTGATCTGCAGTCACGGCTCAGGCAATAGTCACTGGTGGCCAGGTGATGAGCAAGCAGAGCTAGTGGGGGTCGCGGGGAGCCTTTGGAGGAGTGTAGGTGGGCTCAGGCGAGTCACCTTTCTGAGGGTTGGTGTGGGCAGGAGGCCTGCTAATGTCTTGGGTAGACTTGAGAAGGTAGTCACATATCTAGTTCAGGCCTTGAGGTGGCCAAGGAACCTTATGTCCTGGGCATGTGTTCTGTGCAGAGCGCTACCTCCAGGTGGTCTCACACTTGCGCTAAACTCCAGAAACTGAGAGTTAAGGCCTCCTGCAGTGTCTCTCCAGCACCCTCTCCTGAAAAAGCTGCACACTGTGCTCTCAGTACAGGAGAGACCTAAGGGAGAGGTCTCCAAGGATGACTATGGAGCTCCTAGGCTTTAAGCTCCAGAAAAAAACGCTAAGTGCCCACGCTCAGGTGTCAACTCAGAAGTCATACATGCTTGAGGGTTGCAGTGCATGCAGCAGAGGCTCCTGGCATGAAAGATCACACATGTTCTGTGAGGGTGACGGGTCCCAGTGTGGGCTGGTGGAGGAGGCTGTCATCTGTGTCTTCAGCGTCATCTCCCTCTTCCCTACCCTGGAAGTTCTAATGTATAGCTATAGGGCTCCCAGAAGACCAGCTTCCTTGGGTCCTGGTCTGGCTCTAGAAATTCCAGGTGGGCCTGACCTCTCTTTATCTTTTATCTTGAGACTCTTAGGCCATGGGTGAATTTGGATGCAGGTGCTAACTTCCTGCCATGGCCACAGCCACGTTTTATAATACATGTTCCCATGCATCAGGGTTGAATTTATTTGGTTCCATGTCTCCTCCAGTTCTTGCCCACATTCAATCCCAGAGATGGGTACTACCAGGCACCTGCTGGGCACAGTCCCACCCTGAGCCCCAGATGGAAGCTCTGTCTCTACAGCCCCATCACTGGTTTGGTTTCAGATTCTTCAGACTATGTGATCTGCCCCTGGTCAGCCCTGCTTTCTGCAGCTGGAAGCCTTTCTTTCCAAGGCCGTGTTTCTCACATAGAGGCTGCTCCTTTCAAGGCCCCTGAACTGCTGCAGAGACAGAACGAGGATGAGCAATCTGATGCGTCTCAGGTAAGCTGTCCATCTCCTCTGCAGCTCCTGAGTCCCGTGCCTGTCCCGGCAGTATCCCCAGCTCCCAGCTCAGCCTTGCAGAGCTTGATTGGCAACACCAAAGAAAACTGGGTTTAAGCATTTTATTCCCAGGCTTTCTTGTCAGCAACGTACTAGCTCATGGACAAAGGCAAATCCACTTCTCTGAGCCCCAATTTCTACATTGGTAAAGTGGGGTTAATGTGGCTCAGCCCCACATTACATTGGCTATTTTCAATATTTAAAAAAAGAAGTGTTGCAAAGCTGTGGTTAAGTGGTCTGGCACATTGGTACCGTTGGCAGTAGGTAGCAAGACAGCTCAAAATGACCCAACACGTCTTCAATTAGGAATTTATCCTAAGGCACAAGTAAAGATGGATTTAGCTGCAGCAGTGCTGATTGTCATGTTGCTGACATTAGTGATAAATTGGAAACAAGCTAAATAGTCAGTGAGAGAGGACATGAGACAAAACAGCATTAAAATGAGGCATAGAAGCTTATTTAATGACTTGAAAAGAAATTCAATACATGCACACATGATGTTATCCAAGTTTGGTTAGAGAGAATGAAAGAGAGAGAGAGGAAGTTCTAAAAATAATACACCAAAGTGTCTGCAAAGTGATTATTTCTGGATGGCAACATCAACGGAGATTTTTGATTTTCCTGCAATGGACCTGTTTTGCTTATGAATAGCAAAAGTTTCCAGTAAACATCATTTTTAATTTCAAAGAGAATTTTAATTCTCTTGAAGGAGAGAATGGTGCAAGGCAGACAGACAACACTGGGTGGGGCATGGTGGGTGTTTACTCAGCGAGTTCTGTTTCTTCTTCCTTGCCCTTTCATGGGTAAGGTGCAAATGTGAAAATGCTGCCTCCTTCAGGAGGCATCCTGGAATGGGGGCTGCTTTCCCTCCAGGCTCTGAAATGCAGAGACTGGGGCCTTGGTGGCTTCCAGATTTGTTTTGTCTGGGTCCACGTGTCTCTTAAGTCAGATCGCAACAGTGAAAGCGTGAGAGTTCCAGTCACAGTGACCCCAGCTCTGGCACCCCCTCCCCTCTGGCATTCTGGAAGTCACTCTGGCATCCAAGCCCACACACCTTCTTACACTGCCAGGACCTCAGGGGTGAATCACTGATTCCTGGACTAAACACAGACTTGGATGCCTCTAAGATCTGTTTGGGTCTCTTGGCTCCACCTCCACCAAGTTGCCTCCTGTACCCTGGACTCGGCTAAGATGTCACATCCTGAGCCCTGGGATTGGGCTTTCTGCATGACTGCTAATGCCAATGCAACCTGAGAATGCAGGGGAGCTAGCTTCTTATGGAGGAAACTTAGCCAGTGGTAAACAAAAGTCTGGAGGGAACTAGAGAATACATTTCCCTCCTCTGTCTCTTGTGGATGACTTTGTGATGTGTGAGCCTTGCAGGCCTTCTAGAGAAGTCCTGGGTGCTAGAAAGCCCTGTCTGCTGCACTTCCTGCTGTGCTCTGTTGCTTGTTGTAAGGAGGTGGCCAGCATTTTGACCCTGCATATCACATTGGTCCCTTCCTCCCTTCCCCTTTTCTCTTCACTCTCATTGCCCTGGGCTTGTAGCTCCTGAATGAAGGGTCTGCACTTAACCCTTGCCTCAGGCTCCACTTTTGGATGTACCTGTGTTAATACAGATTTGAGCACTCCTGGGGCCCTTCCCTAATCATCTTAGCACTCGCTGGTGAGGAATAGGCATCACCCTCCTAATTGCAGGTTGGTCTCCACTGAGTACCTTGTGAAGACCTAGTCACTCCTCTGCCCAGAGCATCTTTGAGCTAGAAAATAATATGTTTCTCCCTCCTGCATACTTTTCTCCAGGCAGAGGCCTGAGGACTCCAATAGTTTCAGGGCTAATAGGCTGAGTTAAGAACTGGGTAAGTGTATTGCTGAGTCCTGGCCAGGACAGTGAGAGGGAGTGTGAGCTGGAAGAGATTCAATGTGAGAGAGACTGAGCTCTGAACTAACCAAACCACTTCTTTTGCTGTTAGGTTAGCGCTCTGGGCATATGAAGCATGGCATGTGGAGTGGGCCTTAAGGGGCCAGAGCCGCTAGCCTTAAGCCCTGTTTACTAGGCTAGGAGGCAGAGTGACTAGGTTACTTCATCTCTTCCAGCATCTCTAACACTCAGTTCTGTTCACCACTGTTCTTTTCTATTCATCACAGGCTCCTCTCTTCATCCAGCTTGGCATGGGTCCAGGGCAGGATCAGTTGGGCAACTAGGAGACTGCTCCCTGGACAGGCTGTGCTCAGAATCCTCCCCGAGTCCTGGGCTTCGTTCTGATGCTGGGAAGATGTACCCAGACCCCTCTGCCTGGACCAATATCCTGCCCTAACCAGTGCACTGACATATTCCCTAACTACTTGGCATCTTAGCCCCAGGCACAGGTCAGGTGGAAGGGGTGGGCAGGTCTCTAACTACAAGTCATCTGCGCTGCCAATACCCCATCCCATGCTCATGGCAGACATCATCAATCAAACATGGCGTTCTTTCCCACTGAGCCAGGAGTTGCCTTCAAAATCCTTCTCACCAACCCTCTACTGGCAGTGTCTACCAATGGGCTGAATTTAGAATTTTGGAAGAAGCCTTTTGTCATGTGGCCAAGGCCTTGCCCTAAGACACTTTCAGACAGAGCCCTTGAATCCATGTGAGCTTCCAGGTGTGGGCAGTACCTCTGGCAGGGCTCGGGGTGCAGGAGCTCTGTCCACACTTCAGTCCCTGCAGCTCCACAGGTTTTTATACTCTGTTGTGCTGACCGTATGGGAAGACCAGCCTTGCAGGTGGCAGTCACTGTAATTGGTTCTGGGAGCTTGTTGGGTTAATGGGAAAGAAATGGCCATTTGCTAAGCCCTGCTCTTCAAGTCCTTTCTCCAGAGATGGGGATGCAGCTTGTGAGCTTTTTTGCGTGGTAAAATGCACGTTCATCTGAGGGTGGGAGCTGGTTTCAGGATACAATTTTAAGCGAAGATGAGACCTAATGAATTGGCACAGGTGGCATTGACCACATCTTGACTTTGATATATGAACAACCCAAATCAAAAACTAAAACTACTCGTATTAAATCCAGTGGGTGGCTCGTGTGTTTTTACATGCTATGTTTCATTACCTCATTGTTTCCTTCTAAAGTTCCAAAAATGACTTCCTGAAAACAGAGACCTTAAGGGAAATGTGCCTTGTCAGTTATAATAGAAGCCCCACAATAAAAGCCAACTGACATTGATTGAGGACTAGCATAATCCAGAAGCCATGTAGCCAAGCGGGGACAATTAAAATGCCTGCACCACAGGACTGCAGTGGGAGTAAATAAGTTTATAGGGGTGAAAGACGTAGAAAAGGCTTGGTACACTGTAAGTGCTCTATGTCCAATAATAGCAATAACAGTAGCAATAATAGTTAATCTTACCATCTTCAGGTGCTTTTGACTTAATCTTTATTAGAATTCAGGCAGAATACTCATTTGTCAGATGAAGAAACTGAGGGTCAGAGACGTCAGACAATGCTCTTCCCATGGCACCGTTTTGCTTTTTGACAAGATAGGGTGCTTTTTAATCAGGCTGAACCATAATGTGTCATGGAAACAGAAGGCCTAAAATACAGTGGTGAGGACCAAAGATTTAGTTATTAGTTACTTAACAAGAGGTCTAGGGATTGGTCAGCAGTTGATTTATGTCATCAAGGATCCAGGCTGTGTAGTTCCATTCTACCTTCCCCAGTATCTGGCTTTCTGTCCTGTGCTTACAGCCTCATTGTCACAGAATGGCTGTGAAGACTCCATGTATCAATTATATCAATGTTCAAGGCAGGAACAAGGGGGAAAGGGTGGGGCCTGTCACATGAGTCCTTTTGTCAATAAAGCAAAAGCCTTATCAGAAGCCCCCTAACAGATTTCTCTTACGCCTTTCACCAAAACTGAGTGTCATGGTTTCTGCTAGAAAACAAAGTTCTGGCTTTCTAGCCTCTGGAGTAGGAGGTGATAAGGGTTAAGGGAGCTGCAGATGGTGCTGGACTAGCCAGACAACAGTGTCTGCTCATGTAGAAATTGAATGTATTTTCCTTCCAGGGCCATGGAATAACGGAGGTGACTGGAATCTAATCATGTCCTCTTCTTTTGGGCAGATGCACGTCTATTCTTTAGGAATGACCCTCTACTGGTCGGCAGGGTTTCATGTTCCGCCAAATCAGGTTTGTAAACAAGACACTCCAGGTCTTGCCAGCCTATGTCTTTGGGTTTATTTAGTGGTTTTCTTCTGACCAAGGACCACGTTTACTGAGGACACATACCGACACTCTCTCCTCCTAGGTCCTAAGCAGGCGCTGCAAACTCATTACACAACTCCTTCCTGCTAGCGCAGAAACAACCTCAGAATCCTACTCAACATAGCACTCCAGACAGCCACAATTTGGGATTGGCAAGCAAGATTGGCCATCTCTGCTCAGAGGAAGTATTAATAGCAAGCTAGAGAATTTTATAGACACTGAAGACACAGATTTACATGTATTTTAAAAAGGCTTTGAAACAGCCCTTCCCAAAGTGAGATGCTTCTCTAAAAAAGGCTTCTATGCTCAACAGATTTGGGTAAACGCTCCCTACAATATCTCCCTCTCAAAGATTTTTAGTCATTTATTAAAGGCTACAAGAAGGCTTAAAGCTTAGAAACTTTTAAACGTTATCTTGGCAAGGCATGGTGGCTCACACCTGTAGTCCCAGCACTTTGGAAGGCTAAGGCGGGCAGATCACTTGAGCTCAAGAGTTAGAGACCAGCCTGGACAACATGGCAAAACAAAATACAAAAATTAGCTGGGTGTGGTGGTGCACGTCTGTAGTCCCAGCTACTCGGGAGGCTAAAGCACGAGAATCACTTAAACCCTGGGGTTTGGGAGGGGAAGGTTGCAGTTAGCGGAGATCGCATCACTGCACTCCAGCCTGGGCAACAGAGCAAAATTCAGTCTCAAAAAAGAAGTACATAAAAATATCCTAACATTTTACACAATTTTCAACTATAGAATATAAATTTTTGTGTACATTTCCATTTGACACTGTAACAATTCCTTAGAGACTGGTGCCATAAGAACACATGCTGGAGAGCCCTTCCCAGCTGACCCGGCCAGACTGGCTCCCTCCCTCCTTCTCCCTTCCTTCCTGCCTTTCTTTCTACTCACCCGTACCTGCTCCAATTCAACATCCGAGTGCTTCCTGGGTGGTTTTTCTAAAACAGAGACTAGCTCACAACCCCTCTAGCATGCAATCTTTTGTAGCACCTCACTCCCCATGGGGTTACCGTCTGGCTTCTCAGTGAGACACACCTGAAGCCTAGAATGGGGTCCCTGCTCCCATCTAGTTCCCCTTTGGCACTCTGCCACAATCAGGTCTGGCTTCCCGGGTGGGTGTCCTGTGTAATAGCACAGGGTCCTGCATGTAGTTCAATGCTCAGCCATCACGGTCTTGGAATTCTTAATAATTTTCAACAAGGGACCCCACACTGCCATTTTCCCCGGGGCGCCTGTCCTGCTCATAAACCCTTTCCATTCAGACACGTGCCAGCTCATCTGCACCTTTGCGCCTTTGCACACAGTTCTCCCTCCACCAGCACCTCACCCCCCACTTTTCTCCTGGTTAACTCTAGTCTGGCCTAAGTCCCTTCCTCTACATTAGTGCCATGGCCTGTGCTTCCCAAGGTCAAAGCCCTTGTCATCCTGAATGGTCTTTGTCTCTTTTAGTGACCGTCTCTCTCATCACCCTGTTTTTTTCCTGAAAGCAGGGACTGTATCTGGTGTGGCTGTGCAGCACCAAGCACAAAAAGAGGCCTCTGATTTGCTGCGAAGGCAGGACAGCAGCTTGGCTGTACAGAGCTAGGTGCTCACAGCTGCTGCTCCCTGGCAAGAAGCAGTAGTGCAGCCTTTGTCTGGAAAGTGGTTTGCGGTGTGCATTGAGCTGGAGGAAAAGTCTGACTTTGAATCTGAATTTGAGACCTTTCTCATATGAATTGTGGTCATTAAAATGCAGGGAGGAAATGCCCATATTTACTAAAAGTACAAAAATTAGCCTGGCCTGATGGTGGGCACCTGTAATCCCAGCTACTTGGGAGGCTGAGGCAGGGAATTGCTTGAACCATGTAGGTGGAGGTTGCAGTGAGCCGAGATTGCGACACTGCACTCCAGCTTGGGTGACAGAGGGAGACACCATCTCAAAAAAAATAATATATGCTTCTGTTTTCTTTTGCTCCATGGGTACATGTGACATAAAGTTCAAGCAACAACGATTGAGCGCTTGTGCTCGCTGCTGGCTGTACCGAAGTGAAGAGGAATAGGCCACAGTCTGTATGTTCCTAGAGCTCACATTCCAGGGGAAAGGCCCAGTGAGACCCCAGAGTAACTGTATACGATGACAAGATGTGCAGGTGAACTTGAGTGAAAGGTGCAGGTGAACCTCTCGTTTGATTTGGGGTGCTTGGCACAGGTGGAAATCCATCTTGTCAAAGCATCTATTTTTCATGGGCATTCCAAGCACATGCCTAGGCAGAAGGGTGATCTGGATTAGGAAGCCACAGATGACACACAACTGATGCGAGGATGATTGCTCTGCACTCGGTGGCCTCAGGGACAGATCTTGTGTCTGTCCTTAAACTCTCCAGAAGGAGCAGGCATCTGCTCTGGTGCTTGTGGGAACAGCAGTTTCCATGTCCCCAAGCCTGCCTGACAAGGTGCTGGCCTCGCAGCAGCAGCTCTGGCTGCTCTCCCTTCTCATCTCACCTGTCTGCTTCCAGCCCCTGCAGCTCCACGAGCCCCTGCACTCCATCCTGCTGACCATGTGCGAAGACCAGCCTCACAGGCGGTGCACATTGCAATCGGTTCTGGAAGCTTGTCGGGTTCATGAGAAAGAAGTGTCTGTCTACCCAGCCCCTGCTGGTCTCCACATCAGAAAGCTGGTTGGCTTGGTTCTGGGCACCATTTCTGAGGTCAGTAGAGAACTGTGCTTTTCAACCAGTAGCTGCTGGTCATGTGTGGCTATTAAAATGTAAATTGGCTAAATTATAATTAACTAACATAAAATAAAACATTATATTCATCTATCACATTTCAAGTGCTCAGTTGCCACTTATAGCAAGTGATGACCCTATTGGATATAGTGAATCTAGAACATTCTTGTCATTGCAGTTCTATTGGGCAGTGCTGGCAAAGACCCTTGGGCAAGCCTCAGTTTCTCACATGGCAAAGACACTTGAGATCTTTGCAAGTGCCTCTGTACATAAAGCAATCATGTTGAGAACCCATGATTCAGTTCTTTTATCAAAATTCATCTCTAGGTTCTGTACAGAAGCCTTCCCTGACCTCGTTTGTGTGGTCCCTGACTGCCCTCCCGGCTGCTGTTTTGTATCTGCGGGGCATCCTTTGTTGTGCTTGTCAAGCTGTATTGCTTGTTGCCCTGTACTCTCCCCAGTGCGCAGCAGGGGGCCTGATGCATAGCAGGCATTTGACTTAGGTTGGATTCTGTCCAAGCTAACCCGGAGACAAGGATTCTTGAGCAAGTTATTTATTGGGGAAATGCTCCTGGGAGAGGGGAGTTTTGGTTGCACAGCTGACAAGCTGCAGGATATATTCTCAGCTGGAGACAGCCCGAGCCCGGCCCCCTGGAGAGCTCTGGTGCAGGAATGGCACCATGGAGTTCGTCCCTCATGAGACCAGGGCAGAGCTGGGATAGGGTGGGTAAGTGCGGTGCCTATGGCACAAAATGCAAGGAAGTTTGTATTTGGGAGGAACCAGAGACAATAGAGACTAGTTGGGTGGTTGCACTTGTCCAGGGACAAGTTGAAGGGTTGAGACCAGGATTAATGAGGGGCCATGTGGATGGAGATTAGGGGACAGCTGGGTGGGACAGTGGCAACAGTCAACCAGAGAAGCCCTCTTCCATCAGAGAAGGCCTCCTTCTTGGATCCCTTCTCTCGTGGCATGGGAGCATGTGGCTCCTATGAATTGAGCCAGAAGATTTGGTGGAAGAAGTGGGCTATATTTATCCAAAAGATATTAAAGTCTACCATCCAGTGGTGTGTCATTGTCCTGGGCTAGATGCTGTGTTGACCTGCAGCATTTCCATCAGGGACCCGCAAAGTAGATGTCAGTCACTTATTCCACATTCACTGGGGCACTGGGCTAGGTGTGTGACGGCGGTGCATAAAGCACACAGCAGTATCGGGGCAGACAGACAAGGAGCACACTCATGGAACATGGTGTAATAGAGCCAGGTGTGAGTGCAGTGATACAGGAAGGTGATCAGAGGGCAGAAGTGGAGACACTTAGAAGTAGAGAGGACGCAGCTCTGGGTCTTAGGGCACAGAGGAGCTTCTGGGGAGACCCTAGCCACGGAGGGAATGGATGAGCGAGAGCACAGATGTGTGTGAATGCGCAAGTCTGGAGTGGGCAGGTGAAGGGCCTTCAGGGTGCATGTGGGGGTGAGTACGGAGCACATTCTGGGTGCCAGAAAACACATCATTAGGTGCTCACCATGTAGGGCAGACAATTCCACACTGATGCAGTCTAACAGCCAGTTTGCATGTGTCTGTAAAATGCCCCCTCCTTATCTTGGGATGTGATGTGTGATGCACTGGACCCCAGGTGGAGAAAAAAGTTGTGGAGGAAAGCTCCTGTGTGCAGCAGAACAGAAGCTACCTGCTCAGGAAAAGGCTGCATGGGACAAGCGGTGAAAGCCCAGCGGCACAGGCCCCAGAGTGTCCGCATCCCTGCAGAGGTGGGTATATACCCTGAGCAGTCCCTGCCTGGGCCGGTGGCACCCACTCTATTGTTTCCTGCCCTGTGGGGGCCACACATCCACATTGTGATGGCAGAGAAAGCCCATGTAAGCACTCTTTCAGGAAGCCCCTGGAGAGAAGGGGCTGAGCTTAAGACCCACCCATGTTCCCGGGAAAGTCTCATTTGGGGACACGACTTAACACAGTTATTTATATCAAATGAAAACTTTAAAAATTACTTCTAACTGCAAGCTGAGAAAATCCAAATTAAAACAAACAACAAGAAAAGAAAAACTTGATTTTTTTTTCAGTTATTATTTTGGGTGTGTAAAAAAGAGTGGTTTTTGGAATAATCTTCAAATCTTCTATTGTCTACTTTTCAACTAAATCTGAACTTTTTTAAAAAAAGTTAATAATATTGTTTGTTGTCTCTAACACAAGGTGCAGTTTTCCATTAGGCTTTATCCTCCCTTATAACCCCCTGTAACTGTCATTTCTGGTTTCTACAAGAGGAAACAGATTCAGAGAGGTTTAGTAATTTCATCAAGGTCACACAGCTAGTAAGTCATGATGCCATTCAGGCTTTGGGAGGCCTGATTAAAGAAAGCTGTGATCTTGGCTTCTGCCCCTTGCCCTCTACCATGCTGTTTGCTTAGTTTCAGAAGGAAGCACGGAGGCCCAGCACTCTCCAGAGCCTCATTGGAACGCCTCACACAGTCACTGCAGCCTCCTCGTTAACCGGTAAGCAGCAGGCCCTGCAGGGTGCTGTGAACTTGATGTGAGACATGGGTGTGGGGGCTACTGTACCCCGTTTTTTCACTGATGATTAAGGAGAAGCCTCTTGCTCCTCCAGAGAATGCCAGCCCTATTTCATTAGCAGATGGAGAAGCCACATTTAAGCAGATCTGAAGCCACGGTGATGAAAGGCCTGGTGGCGGCTGTGCTGTGCTGTCCGGGCGTCCCGCCTCCTCTGGGAGCCATACTCAGGCTGAGTTGCCTGGTGGAGCAGCAACATGCCTCAATACTGTTGCCATTGTCCTTGCCATTGCTGCATAACAAGCAACCACAAAACACGGTGGCCAAAAGCAACCATTATATATTTAGCTTACGATTCTGTGAGTTGGTAATTTAGGCTGTGCTCAGCTGGAAGGTCTTCTAGACTCTGCCAAAAGCCTTCCTGCATCTATAACTATCTGCAGCTCAGCTAGACAGCTTCTCCTGGCGGGTGGATGGCCATTGTCTGGGGAGCTCTGGCTCTCCTCCACCAGCAGGTCAGCCTCGGATTGTTCTCATGACAATGGCAGAACTGAGGGAGGGAGGGAGGGAGGGAGGGGCAGAGAGAGAGAGAGAGAGAGAGAGAGAGAGAGAGAGAGAGAGAGAGAGAGAGAGAAAGGAGAGCGAGGTGCGTAAAACCTCCAGAACTGGCCTTCCACCATTTCTGCATCATTCTGTTGGCCAAGTCAAGCCTAAAGGCCAGCCCCATTTCGAGGAGTAAGAAATAGACTCCATCTGTTAATGGCAGGAGGATGCAAAGTCGGATTGCAAAGGGTACAGATCAAGGAGAAGAATTGTGGAAAATTTTGCAGTTGTCTAACTTAGGATGCTTGAATCAGATCAAAACCTGGATGGGCTCCTATCTTCCTGACCTGGAGCCTTGTTCATTTTAAAGTTTGGGTGATTTATTTATTCACATATTGACTTGTTGAGGGCTGTGACAGTGTCTTGTCATAGTTGATGTCAAACCAACAGCTGGAACCCTGATTGGATTTTGCACAGTTTATCTTGCAATATTTTTTCCTGCCATTTAACACTTCATTTTCCCAATGAAGACACTTTTTATACCCCAATTCCATAAACAATATATTTTATTGTCAAAATATTTTGAACAATATATCAAATTTTAAAGAAGCCAGAACCCCCTGTGATCCCATGACCTGCTGGGTGGTTGCTCTAGACCTGGGGTCCTGGCACCACAGAGAGGCAGAGCCGTGGGGTAGAGAAGTTGACTGTGCCTTACACCTCCAACCCCACCACACCCCAGGGGCGGTGCAGCCTGACTTCTCCAGGCCTCAGCTCCCCCTACTTGAAAAGTGGATGTAACTCCCCCGTAGGTGGGGGGAGAAGGTGACATGCATCAGTGGGTGCACCCTGCCAAGCTGAGCCCCTGTGTGGGTGGCCTTCATGCAATAAAAACCCTTCACCCTTTCTCAACCCCTGTCCAGCACTCTTCCAGGGGCAGATCCCCAGCACCAAGAGGAGGGCCGGAGGCTCAGCTCTGGATCTGTGTACTCGGCAGCAGACAGCTCATGGCCAACAACTCCTTCTCAAAGGGGTTTTCTGCAAAGAAGGAGCAAGGTGAGCAAAAGAAGACTGAAGGGTACTCCTCAAGGAGGCTTGAGCAGGGAACTGCGGGTGGCTGGCACAGAGGCCGAAAATGGGCAGGATCTTTTGGGGGGCAACTTCCCTGGGCTGAGGTTTATAGGATTGGACTAAAACAAACCTGAAATTTGCAACTTAGGACATAGGCATTCGCTGAGTGGCCTCATTGGGGCAGGATCTGTGGGGGACACTGTGTGGGATGTAGGGTTGAAGATGCTGTCTCACACCCCATGGGAAATTTGCAGCCCCTGGTGTGCAGGGCAGTGGCAGAGGTGCTATGTGATTCGAGAGCTGACAGACAGAATGTGTTTGGAAGGGGCCTCCCGCACAGGTGAAAGGCAAGAGCACAGAATTGGGGCTGCAGGGAGGGCTTCTTTAGGGAGGAGAGAGCTGCCCTTCCAGCTGGGTAACCCTATGAGGGTAACAGGGTTAGGGGGAGTGTGCCAGTCTGTCTGTCGGCATTACTTAAAGCCCCTCAACTGAGCTGAGCTCCAAGTAGCCTTAGGATGTCCCCATCCCTATGTAGCCTACGGTTCCCGTACCCCGGCCCAGCCCACACTGCTGTCCTAGGCCCCTCTCTGGCCTCCATGAACTTTGTGGAGAGCATGAAGAGGGCTTCCGAGAAGACTTGTTCACCTCCTTTGGCCTTTCTTTCTTTCTTTTTTTTTTGAGACGGAGTTTCGCTCTTGTTACCCAGGCTGGAGTGCAATGGTGCGATCTCGGCTCACCACAACTTCCGCCTCCTGGGTTCAGGCAATTCTCCTGCCTCAGCCTCCCAAGGAGCTGGGATTACAGGTACACGCCACCATGCCCAGCTAATTTTTTTGTATTTTTAGTAGAGACGGGGTTTCACCATGTTGACCAGGATGGTCTCGATCTCTTGACCTCGTGATCCACCCGCCTCAGCCTCCCAAAGTGCTGGGATTACAGGCGTGAGCCACCGCGCCCGGCTCCTTTGGCCTTTCTTTCTGATCATTCACCAAATATACTTCTATTGGGAACTGTTGCAGGACACAAGTCATCTCTGGGCTAGAATTTTGGCCTCTTGGGACAAGAGTTCTGCTAGGTACTCTTGGGGGCACTATAGAAGCTCCACCCAACCCTATCACTTGCTGGTTATATGACTCAGGTGAGCTTCTCAACCTTTTTTTTTTTTTTTTAACAGGTGAGGAGCCTCAATTTCCTCACCTGTAAAATGGGTAGAGAATATTCACCCTGCAGGGTGATAACTGGATCTAGCTAATGATGGGTATTGTAGTATTTCCTGGGTCAAATGTAATCATATATCATGAGAACAAGAGCTGCCCACTAAGCTATTGCTTCAACATCTAGAGCTAGAAAAACAGTTCAGCTTATCTAAATTAAAATTATTTTTGTTTTAAAAACATTTTTATTGCATATATATTTATATATACAATATTTTATACTTTTGATACATACAAAAGCTATAATGCTGTGTGAATTATGAAACTTATAATTCAACCCGAATACCCCCATACCCAATTTAAGAGCTCGAAAGTTGCTGATACCTTATACCTACCTGTGAGACTTCTGTTCCAAGATGTGCAGTTCAGCTGGGGTCTCAGCCCAGGTCAGCCCCATGTCAGCTGAAACCTGTTTCCTGCTGGCTCTGGGGAATGTGTGCTGAAGAGGTGCATCATGGGGGACGCCCAGACCCAAATCCTGTAACCTGTCCTCTTCTTGACCATTTGTGACTGAGGGTTGTCCTCCAGTTTTCCAGGCCGGAGTTTGTCCTGCTGGCTGGAGAGGCCCCCGTGACCCTACATCTGCCGGGATCAGTCGTGGTAACTCCTGGGCCAGACTGGGCGGGGATGGAGGGTGGAGAGGGAAGTGGACAGGTGCAGGAGGCCAATTGTGTCTGAATGGGGTCTCACATGGGGACGTCCCAGTGGCATTCAGTTTCTCCCAGGCACCTGCCAGAACCACCACTGCCTTTCACTACTGCTGTTTGTCCTTCAGCCTGTTAAAGGGCCCCCCGTGGCTTCTCCTGGCCCTCCCAGCCTCAGCTAGGGAATGCTGTGAAACATCTACCATCTAAAATACTGCTGGGCACTATTCTAGGCCCCCATCTATGCCACGAATACAACAAAGTCCTTTTCATGTGGAGATGACATTCTAGAAGGAGGAGGCAAAGACAGACACATAAATATAAAAGAATGCTAGGTAGTGATCTGTCCAAAAAAAAAATGAAGAAGGGAAGAGGATGGAGCTGGAGCATAGCAGGTGGTGGGAAGGAGCGTGTGCTTTTTTAGATGGGAAAGCGGCTCTGGGAAGGCATCTTATGAACAGAGATGGGTTTAAGAGAAGGAGTGAGCCATGTGGGCTTTTCAGGAAGGGTGAATGCTGCATAGCTGTCCCTTCCCTGCCCCAGAGCCTGAGCATATCCCCTGAAGAGCCCCATGCATGGCTGGTCTCACCCTGAACTCCCCAGGCTGTATCTGTCCATGTTCAGGCCCATATCTCTGTTGTGCAGGGCCCAGCTAGGGCCGGAGGCTTCTTAGTCGATGTTGAGTATTTGCATGTGAGCCTTGCCCTTCTCTCTGACCCCCGGGGCCAGAAGCACACACATTGTCAGCTCTGCTCTCTGGGCCTCCTGGAGGCGGGGCTGGAGTGGGGTGTGGCTAAATGGCTCTCTCCTCCTAGGTTCCTGCATCGCCCACCGCTTGTCCTTCCTACACAGAAGAGCACCAGTGAGCCCACCTCTGGCTCATTCCAGCAAAATGCCATTGAATCCCAGCTTCCATGCTCCCCCCTGTCAAGGGGACTTCTGTTGCAGTGCACTGACATCTTTTCCTCCACACCCAAGTCCTGAAAATGTCTAAGCAAACTGGTCAGTGCGAGTGGGATGCCTGCCTGACCGGGGCCTCCAATTCCTGTGCAATGACCACCTGCATCAATTCATGCAGCAAATGCTGACTGGGCACCCACTGTGTGCCTGTCCACCTGCACTGGCACAAAAAGCATGAAGTGGGATGATGATTTTTACACCCCACGTATGCAAGATTGAGTTACCCAAAGCATGAAAATGTTGAATGTAAGGAGGCTGGTGTGTGAGAGATTGGGGGTGTCAGGATGGCTCACTCTGGGGTTCTACAACCTTCTGAGGACACTTCCTATACGGGGCTTGCAGGTCAGAGGGCCATGGCCCCCTCAGGCCAGTCCCACCTCTGCCCATCCCCTTCAAGCCACCTGCCCTCAGCTGAGGGGAAGAAGGGACAATTCACCCAGGGACCCCTTCCTGACATCCCTGTGGTCACATGGCTTAGGTGACTGTAAACTCCTCTACCCACCAGGTGGATGGGCCAGACCTGCTGTGATGGGGGCCAGCTTCCCCCACTCTGCAGGAAGTACCAAGACTCCAGGCTATGGGAACAGTGCTTTGTCCCAGTTCTGTCCGTGGCGGGCATCTTGACCTGCACACCAGGTCTAGGAGCCTATTTGTAATCCTCAGAGTGGCTCTTGAACCCTAGCCTCTAGTAAGATGCCAGAGGGTGTGAGGGTGACCGAGGGCTCCCCCAGTAAAAGACTTTTTGGACCTCTGTCCCTTACCTGGGAAAGGGGAGGCGCCATGTCCGGGGTTTCCTGTGTCACTCTGTTTGTCTGGCTTGGGCTGGAGCATTTGCCCTTGTTGTTTTAGCTCCTCCCATCCTGTCCCCAGGGCCTTCAGTCAGTGTAGCTCCCTATCTCTCCCTCCTAGTGGAGTTCTTAGTACCCACACCCTTTCCTTCTGCTTCCCTGTGGGTGTTGGGAACAAAACAGATTTCCCTTATAGCATGGCTATCCCGTGGGAAACGCTGGCACACAGGCTCACTGCAATGTGAAGAGGCAACACCCTCTGTTCAAAAGTGCCACTATAGGAACTAAAATATTAAACATTTTCCTTTATTCTCCATATGTGCTTTCTCTGTCTCAACATGTCATGGTGTTTTTAGTTTTTATTTGCTCTTTAATGTCACATGCTCTTGGGCATAGGGATATTCACAGGGTAGACAGAGACCCTTGTAGGTACCTGGGGCCCTGCCCTGTGACTTTGCCACACCAGCTGCTGGATCCATATGCCATGTCCCAAGCAGGGTGGAAAAGCCCGAGCTCCTTTCCCATGGCTCTGATGCCCCAGCCCAGACAATCAGTGGTCCCCCAAGGAGTTACACGCTTTGTATGGAGATGCATTTGGCACCTGGTAAGGAGCTGGGTGGGTGAGAGGCTTGTCCCTGCTGAATTGCCCAGGGAAAGAGCTTTGGTGCTGCTGGCCCAGGGTGGGGACAGCCACTGACATGGGTACTCTGACATGCCTTTTGTGCCTGTGCCTGCCTGGGACCCTTCCTCCACCAGCCCCCTGAGGAGGGCATCACTAGGGGGCAGTGAGAGCCATGGCTGCCCTCAGTGGAGGACAGCAGAGGTCTCTGTGTGGGGCAGACAGAGGGGCAGGGGAGGCTGGGCCAGGCCTGGGGATCCAGAAAGCAGAGAAGTTGGCTGCCAGAACCCTCCAGAGAGGAGGGGAGGCAGGACTGCTGAGAGTCCAAGCTTTGTACACACGCTCACTGTCCTGGGGACTTCACTCCAAAAATACACATTCCAAGACACAACTATTAAGAGTTCCCAGAGGGCAGCTTCAGAGCACTGGACTCAAGCAGGGGGTCATACTGGGCAACCCTCTCAAGAAGCAGCTGGGATTCTGCAGGGGAAAGAAGTGGCTAATACCTGCCTCCCAGCCTTCCCTGTCCTCAAAGAGTCACCTTGGGAAGCTTTACAAGATACTGATTTCCCAGGCCTTGTGCCAGACTGATGGAACCATCTTGGGGGTGGCCCCCTCACCTCTCAGATGACTCAGGTGTGCAGCAAGCGTGGGAACCAAGGTGGCATGGAGAGTGCCTGTGTAATCAGCCCTGCCCAGCAGCACGTGGGAAACCCCCTCCCACAGGGTCCTTGGATCTGTTCTGACCCCTGCAGTGTGTAGGCTGCCCCTGGGTGCTAGGAAGGTCAGGGTGTGACCGCAGGCATGGTCTTGATGGCACTAAAGCCACACATGCTAGTGTCTGTCTATGACTAAAGAGAACTTCTCAGGGGAGGTCCAGGCTCACTTTGGGATGTGGGGATACTAAGGAAGAGTCACAGACAAAGGATCCAGAGCCTGACCTGAGAGAACCACAGGAGTTTGCCACATGGGAAAGGAGCAAAAGAGCCCTGGGGACAGTGGGTATTACATGTGCAAAGACACAGGCAGAATGGCCCAGGCAGCTGCAGGGTGATGAACTGTCCAGGGGGCTGAGCCATGGTGACAGTGACCCCGGTGAGGCTGTGGTGGGAGATGAAGAGGCAGAAGGCGGACTCTGGAGGCTCATTGGCTCTGCTGACCCGTTTCTAGAGTCCAGTTAATCCACTTGCTCCAGCTCTGTCTCTTCATTGGATCTACACCCACCCAAATTCGCTCTGAAGTTTATAATTAATTAACCTGTGCTCTGTTGGAGACTGAGAAGACAGTATCAGATTGACAGATTGATCCAGGGCCATATGATTCATTCGTGAGGCCCTGGGTGGTCCTCTTAGGAAGCAGAGCCCAGGGGGCAGCTGCTATTTCTGCAGGGGAAAGGTATCAGTCAGATGGGCCTCCCAACCTGCCTGGTCCCTGCTGAGCCTGGTAGAAGGCTCAGATTTGAGTCCATTTCCTCCCTTACAAACTGTGCAGCCCCTGGGAAAGAGTCTTACCATTTCTGAGCCTGTTTCTCATAGGAATTTTAAATGTACTCATCTCTTAGAGTTGTTTGTCAATTAAATGAGACAATGTGTGTAAAGTGCTTAGTACAGTAACCAGCACACACTAAAGGCTCAATGACTTATAATTATAGTATAATTGATAGTATTGTTGTTTTCAGACCAAAAAAGGGAAATCCTATTTGGCTCTCAGGGACCTCTGTGTGGTCCTGCTGAACGGGCAGCGCCTGGAGGTAAAATGTGATGTGGAGTCAACAGTGGGAGCTGTCTTCACTGCTGTGATGTCCTTTGCCAACCTCGAGGAACTCACCTACTTTGGCTTGGCTTATATGAAAGGTAAGCATCTCTTGGGCAGCTTATAGCTGGCCTGGTGCCTCCGGTAACTCGGGTATCTGGATACCTGAGCTCTGTTTCTTCTGGGAAAACTGTTTGAGACTTGGGTGCCTCCCTTTGTACTTGGAGACATTAGTTAGCATGACAAGAGCTTCAAGTACTCATGGATAAAGTATCAAGCAAGTGCAGAAGATAATCAGGAAATAATGAATGTAGGATGTGGGTTTCTGTGGCTTGCTGAATCTGGTTGATCGATCTCAGTGTACTGAAGTTAGACAAACAAGCAAATGCTAAAAGCATTTCCATCTAACGATGTAGGACTAATGGGAACTCCGTACCCTGACCCCAAGAGCCTAATTAAGATTCTAATCTAGGCCGGGCGCGGTGGCTCAAGTCTGTAATCCCAGCACTTTGGGAGGCCAAGGCGGGTGGATCACGAGGTCAAGAGATCGAGACCATCCTGGTCTACATCGTGAAACCCCGTCTCTACTAAAAATACGAAAAGTTGGCTGGGCATGGTGGCGCGTGCCTGTAATCCCGGCTCCTCGGGAGGCTGAGGCAGGAGAATTGCCTGAACCCAGGAGGCGGAGGTTGTGGTGAGCCGAGATCGCACCATTGCACTCCAACCTGGGTAACAAGAGCGAAACTCCGTCTCAAAAAAAAAAAAAGATTCTAATCTAAATATCCAAGAAAAAGGGTTTCTATGCCCTCTTCCCTCTCTGACATTCCATTAGAGACTCTCTGTTTCTGCTGTCAACCTAAATCATCAGCAGAGAGATACAGGCTCTCCAAAGAATGAGTTTATTTGGGAATTAGCAGGAGACTGCAATCTAGGATCCACATGCTGTAGTGAACTATAGATGCATCTGAGGAGGTCGGGCAAGGGCAAGCCTTTATAGAAAAAAGAGAGAAGTACATGTGAGTTGTTTTGAAACAAAAAGATGATTGGTTCCGAGGGCTTCTTGCAGGAGTTGACATTGGTTCATTAGTGGAAACAGGGTTAGGTAAGGGTTCTGTGTGAGTGGCTAGCTGTCCTTGTGCTGCTGGCTGTCCTTGTGTGACTCATGTTGCAAGCTGTGATTTGGAAAAAAATTGCAGTGGTATTTTTCAGTACAGGCACAGCACATGAATGACCCTCCCTCATGGCTCCCAGGTCCATTTTGGTAGGGTAAAATATAAGTGACTTATTTTGGTATTGATAATGTATTTTCCCTTTCGATCACATTATTGCTCTGAAAGCTCATCTACCGGATCATCCTGTGGTTATGTTCTGATTGTTCCTCAGTGCTGGGATGGATCTGTCCTCGTTGTTCTAGTCCCACGTTGAAGGGGAATGACCAGCAAGTAGGAGCTGATGTCAAAACCTCCTTCAGGTTTATTTAAGCAACACAGAGGTTTGGAAGGAGTGGCTCTGAGGCTAAGTCTGTGTGGAGTTCATTGTTCTGTTTCATACGTGTTGGTTGCCATTTTGAAGCACTAGACCAGCACTGGGCATTTTGATGAACTCTGTGTAGCCCACACATCAGGCAGGAGACTTGTTCCTAGAATTTTACATTGAGCTGTCCAGCTTCAGTTTATAGGGCTCTAAGAACAGAGCAGCTCTTGTTCTTAGTTGAAGAGCCATAGCCAGATACTGGAGGAAACAAGAAGAATTCAGGGTCCAGTTCAGTCTTCAGGTAGATTAGAAACACACAAAAGCAATGAACAGGGCTATAGTCAAATAACAGGTGTAATACAGTTTTCACCTTCCTTCAGCAGCATCATTTCTTCATTTTTACTAAAGATAATCACAGTAAGACAAATTTGTTTGCTAAGTAACTTTAGCCTCATCAAGTTTGGCCTGATTATTTACATAAGTGCCTCAAGAATTGTGATTGACAATGTCGGCTCCTTTGAAGCTTGTTCTGCTAGAACTTTGATAAGAATCTCAGCCTGGAGATTTAAAGTCTCTCAAGGCTAGGTGGCCAAATCAAGACAAATCTCAGCTTGGCTGAAGTAACTTTATGTGCGTTTTCAAATATGACATCCAAGTCAAAGCCTTAGTAATATAACCAATTTTAAATATTGTATCCCGTTATAAAGAGAAGATATTTTTTGTTGAACTTATGTAAATAACTATATTATCATAAAAATAAGAATACTTACGGATAGTTTTAGAATTCTGGTTGGATCAGGTAGGGAGGAAAAGCAAATATTTACTTTTGTTCACAAGAGTATACTTTATTATATTGTTGTAAACTATAGATAACACACAAGGAAAACGTTTCCTTAAATCTAGAAAACAAAACATTTAAAGAACCAGTGAAATTTCAAGTAAAAATTATAAACAGCTGTTATTTTGTTCATGAGTTCATTCAGCCGCATGTCAGTAATTCTTGTTCTGGTTGATCTTGGTGAGCAGTTTCTTCATTAGCGTCCTGGACATTTTTCCTTAGTCCTATGGTTTGATCTTGAAGTTATCAGAAGCCTGCAACTTGTTAGAATTCTTTCCATCCTTTCTCTAAACCTCCTGGAAGAAAAAGCAATTTTTGGACTGTAAATAATTGCAAATGCTTTTAGAAAAGTATCAAAACCATAACATTCCATGGAAGACAAAGACTTAGAATGGCCATGATTAAAAATCTGAGGAGAGTTTATTGTAATCAGCAATTGACAAAGAAAATTTGGTTATTTCTATGGCATATATCATTTTAACATTATAACCAAATTTCATACTAAGAAATATCAGAGTTCTAACAATTTTGTACAATTTTAGGAACATTTATATCAAAACTCTATTTGTAAATATAACTTAAAGATTTATTCCTGCTTATTACTGGACAATGTTTCCTATGCATTTTAACATATTGAATAAACCCGATTAGTTTAATCTCTCTTTTATAAGGTAAGGGACACATCCTTTGTTGCTTTCAAGGACGCAGCTGGAAAATCCCAAAGTAAATTCAAGGTCAGAAAGACTTAATTTAGAATTTGATTTTGGGAAGTTGTCAAAACTGTCAAAAGGCTTAAAACCCGTGATCAAAACAAAATCACAGGTCACTGTGAAATAATTGTCATTCATTTAACCAGAGTGATAATTAAAAGTCTTCAAAAGGCAAATATATAACAGTCAAAACTTAGCTCTTTTAATATTGAGAAGACTCATTTTTTTAAAGTAATCAAAGACCTAATAAAACACAGCACAGAGCATAATAAACTACTTTTGATAAAACACAAAATCTTTGTTTTCTAGGCCAAGGAAAAAATTTTATGTTAATAGTAAGAGCAGAAGCTAATACTCCATTATAACTTTATTATATTAACAGAAAAGACAAAATAATGGTTTTACACAAGTATACTTTTGATATTAAGGCTCAAGTTTTAGAAAAACATAAATAAATAATTTTCTTCTAATTTTAATTATCTTGAGCACATAAAAATTCCTTTTATAAGATTTATCTTTTATAAAACTTCTGCAATTTTCTCAAACCATTTATAATGTTCTTATTCAGTTTTATGGATAACACTTTTTTCTTTATTCATTTTGAAACAATCCTTGACTAACCTCCAACTAGACAAGATTACTTTTTTTAAACAACAGGTGAAAATACATTATCACGTCTTCCTTATAACTTTTCTCACCCAAACATGTCTTACTTTTTCATACGCTTTGTATACAGAATTACATATAGTAACTGGAATTTTAAAACTCTTGGTAATTTTAATTTCTAGTGAAAACCAGAAAACTAGAATGTAAGCAATCATAAACTGCCTTTTACAAACTTGTGTAAACATTATTTTATAACATCTAGACTTACATACTTCCTTATAGCACATTTTTTCAGTGAAGCATAGAGCATTTTAATAAACAGACCCAAATATCTTTTGTTCCTCTGCAATGAGGAGCCAAAAGTACATAAGCTTGAACTTTTGTTCAACAACGAATGCTTCAGCATTGTATCTTATTTGGAAATGGTCTATTAAATGAATATTCATCATTTCATTTAACTTACTATAACTTCAAGGTTTTAAGTAACCAAAAATATTTTGTAAACCATTTTGATAGGTGTATTTTATAAAACATAATCATTGTTGAAAAGCTTACTTATAATCTCTTTCATTTACATTTACACTTACTAATTCACTTGGTTTTAACAATTACGTTGGAATTGTTTATGAAAACACCATTAGACATTAAACAAATGTAGTCATTATCTTAAGTTATTTTTATTGTTAGCAAATCAGGCAAGTAATAAAAAAAAGCCACAGAAGCAAAGAACCTAAAAGTTAAAACACATGGTTTTTTTTTTTAAACTCTCTTTTTTCATTGTCACATTTGTCACACATCTAGCATTTTATTTTTGCTGGATGTTTTATTCTTGGGTTACATTTATAATTTTACCACCTTAAACGTACATAAGCTTTTGCTTAACATATACAGATAGAAGAAGTTGTATGTCTGTATTATGTTTAATGTTGACAAGACTCCACACATACCTATTTTAAATAAACCAGCAAACTTAAATGAGCTATATTTACCAAAAATTATACCAGATCATCTGAACTTGAAAAATATTCAGTTTAGTTCTAGTTTTCTGAGAAAACAGTTAATTTATAAAAGAGCTTATTTTCTGTTTTCAGGCCAAATCTTCTCACAGGTACCAATAGGACAGTTGTTTAAGATCAGAGCTCCCTAAAAAATTCTTTTAGATACAAAAGTAAAAAGAAAAAAAGTCCAAATATCTAAAGGCATATCCACTTAAATTGTGACTCAAACCAGTAAGCTTTTTATGGCTTAAACATGGATGCCACAAGGAGAGTGTGAGAAATGCAGTATCACTGGAGATCCAACATTTCTCCTAAAGATAAAAAACAAAGAACTTCATAATTAACAAGGTAATGGAGGTTGAAACAATTGAGACAAATTCGCCTGGGAGCTGGCACTCTGGGGCCAGGAGATGCTTTGTGTTTCAGACTCCTAGCCAGCTGGCTAGCTGTCTGATGCAAGCCTGACAATCTCCACCACAGGCTGGTGTAGACCAGAGAAGATACCCTCACTGGTTTCTCTTGAGATGTAGAAAGGTGAAAGGAAAGTCTTATTGTAACTTCTATCCTTGTGGTAAAAAGGATAAGACAGAGATTAAAAAAAAAAAAAAAGCTATTTCTGTTAGAACCTAGAACCAAATTCACAAGAGTCACAATTCAGAGAACATCCTAACAAATGTTTTTCTCCTGCCAATTCAAATGTAGAAAAGAATTTTACCTTCTTCCTTTAGCCAGGCACTCCACATAAATATTTGGGAGAGCTAGTGTTGGAAAGAATCCCTACTTTTCTCTGGCTTTTGTCAGGCCTGTCTGCATCTCATCCAGATGTTCTGGAGTGAGTGGGGTGTCCAGCCTGTTAGGGTCCCATCCTCATTGCCAGAAACTGTAAGGGTGGAAAACTTCCACTTCTATCCTCTATTCTTACAGGCTCCAGCTCTGCCGGAGAAGTAAACTAACATAAGAAAGATCAACAGGAGAAAAGTATAATAATGTTTTATGTGGCAGGGGAGCCCCCTTAAGCAGATGAAGACCCCAACAAACTAGTTACTGGGTTGGACAAAGAACAGTTAATTGTGAAAATGGGACTAAATTATAAGAGGCTTAAAAGATCAGAGTTATTCCAATAAGGTCTGTACAGCATTCTCTGTCTCAACTTCTTGTCCTTCAAGATAAGGATGTTGCCTTTCCTTCCAGGAAAGGGAGAATGACTATCACATGGGAATTTCATCTTTAAGAAATGAATGGCTGGGCACAGTGGCTCACGCCCGTAATCCCAGCACCTTGGGAGGTTGAGGCAGGCGGATCATGAGGTCAGGAGATCAAGACCATCCTGGTTAACACGATGGAACCTCATCTTTACTAAAAATACAAAACATTACCTGGGCACGGGGGCACGCACCTTAGTCCCAGCTACTTGGGAGGCTGAGGCAGGAGAATCTCTTGAACCCAGGAGGCAGAGGTTGCAGTGAGCCGAGATCATGCCACTGCACTCCAACTTGGGCAACAGAGTTAGACTTCATTCAAAAAAAAGAAAGAAATAACACAAAAGTCAAAGTGGCCACTTTGCATCTGCTCCCCTTAAAAGTGCACTTAAAATTGCCTGTAACTGAAACAACTGATAGGCCCAAATGGCATATTTTAACATCTTTATTCCACCCGTCTAGCACTTCCCTAGAATATTCACATATTAAAAGCTGAGTTGGTGGCCATGGAGAGAACAGTTGGATTAGAAGCTGAGCAGTTTGGAAAAAAGAGGAGTTCAGCTAGAGGAAGACAAAGAGGAGGAGGAATTGCAGGCAGGATAGGGAAGGTTCTGAAGCGAAATGAGTCTCAGCTAGCTTTGAGATATTTGCATTAAGGCATTTTTGAGTCACGAATGTGTTTTGAAGCCTCAAGATACCAATTGAATTATGTGTCCCATTCAAACTGACCTTATAACTGCAGTCTTCTAATTTTAATTCTAAGGAAAAAACAAGCTTGGGCAGTTCAAATGATCTCCAGATGGCCATTGGAGCTCTAAATTATCTTTTGTACAATTTGCCCATAAGTTTAAAAATTCATGGGGTGAATTATACTTGAAAAGACTCTGTGATGCCAATTTAAATTCTGTGCACAACCAACCAACCCGGAAAGAGTACTTATGAGAAAGGATGCCAAATCCCCTACAGAAGTGAAACCAAGAGTACTCAGAAGAAAAACCATGCCCTTCCGACCTGTAAAACCAGCTCTCAAATCAAGTCAAAGCTCAGCCAAAACAAGGGTGCTTGAAGCCAAGACAGAACTTAGCACCAGCAGAAAGATGATTCCTGGAAGCAGAGAGCACAATGGGCTCCAGTGGGTCCTGCGGTCACGGATACAGGAAAAGCCTTGTCCTTTTTGGATCCCTCTTCTCTGCCACCAGGTTTTGCTAACCTAAAATAGCAACGAAGAGAGAGAGGGTTTCCAAACAAAGAGTTTATTCAGGAATTAGCAGGAGATTTCAGTGCGGGGTATGCATGTTCTAGAGGTCTACAGGTTCATACCAGGAGGCTGGGGGAGGGGGAAGCTTTTAAAGACAAAAGAGAGAAGTACATGTGAATTGTTTTGAAACAAAAAGATGATTGGTTCCAGGGGCTTATTGCAGGAGTTGACATCAGTTCATTAGTGGAGACAGAGTGTCAGCAAGTGTTCTCATGTGAGTGGCCAGCTGTCCTTGTGTGGCTAGGTGTCCTTGCGCTGCTGGCTATCCTTGTGTGACTCATGTAGCAAGCTGCAGTATGGAAAACATTTCCTTTGGATTTTTTGGTATAGGCATATGCATGAGTGTCCCTTCCTCATGGCCTTTTGGCTGCACTTTATTAGGGTTAGACATAAGTGACCTCATTTTGGTATTGATAACTTTCACACCAATTCTGCAAATATTACTTTGCCACAGCTAGATCTCTTTAACCACCCTGTGGAGGCTGAGTTGGGATCATGCTGGCCTTCTGGCGAAATCCTGTCTCTCCCAGCCCATCTGGCTTAGGTATCATATCTCAGCATTCCTCTATTTTCCCATTTCCAGTAGGAGAAGCTCACGAACTTGTATGTTTATTCTATGTACCAAGCGGGGCTGGTGAACGGGTTCTTATCTCCATAGTTCTCATCAGCGCTCCTGAGGATCCCTCTCTCAAATAAGAACAGCAACTGTTACATGCTTTGATGTGATCAACTGATATTTGTTCAACCTTTTGTAAGCTGTGAATAAAGGTGTCTTTAGGATTTGTATTGTTATTATCTATAAAATGCAATCTAAATGAAACCAGTGTGCTTGGTTTGTGAGCCCACCTGCACTCACAATCCCCTTATCTCTTACCTGGCTCCTCCCAGTCAGGTGGCCATCCTGAGCCCCTCCCATGTAGACAATTCTACACAATATTTTCTCCTCTCAGTGCTGAGTTTTTCTGACTTTATCCTCTCCTCTTTGCTCCTTCTTGGCCCCTCACAACTCCAACAAAATTTCCTCGGTACCAGGTGCACGGAGACTTGCCTCACACTTTCTCCGGCACTCACCCTGCTCTGTGTGACCTTCTGAGTAGGGCTCAGGGCTGTGAGTCGGAGCAATGGTGCATTCCTTACTGCTTCTCCCCGTACACATGCTCTATTTCCATTTCAGGCAAAGAGTTCTTTTTCCTGGACAATGAAACCAGATTGTGCAAAATAGCACCTGAAGGCTGGAGAGAGCAGCCACAGAAGACCTCCACGAATACCTTCATACTCTTCCTGAGGATAAAGTTCTTTGTCAGCCACTATGGGCTGCTCCAGTGAGTGCTGCAAACCTGTTCATTTGTTCCTTAAGGGGTTTATGTATGTCTAGCCTGGTGAGAGGTAACAGATCGACAAGTGCTTTGCAAACTGTAAGTTACATACAAATAGCAATAGCTATTGTGGTTGGTTTTCTGTTGGTTGGATTCTGATCAAGATAGAACAAAGGGGGAAAATCAGGTTTTTGATGCAGGCCTTGGTCAAAACGAGAACATGCCCTTTTGTTTTAGACATACTCCACTCAACACCAAAATTCTCTCTCTGTGACCTCAAAATGCCTTCTCACCCCCAACACACAACTCAGCAGCCCAGTTACAAGGTTTGGAAGACAGAGACGGGTTTGCAGTTTGATCACTGCTTCTTTATTTCATTTGAAACACCACCAAGCTGATTGTTAGCTTTCGCACTTGAACCAGAGCAAGACATACCTCTGTAAGTTTGTGTGAAGTGACTGGCATAAAGTCACTTGAACTAGAAGGCATGGTGTGGATGGAGGAGACCACATTTGTCTTGCTGGCATTGCCTCTGAATTCTGCTGGGTTGCATCTCGTCTTCCCTATCTTCCCAACTTCCCACACTGAGAAAACCCACTGCTGCTAGTGTTCTCCCTTTCCCTTAGCAATCCAGTTCTCTCTATTCCTCCTACTTTTCCAGGCACAGCCTGACAAGGCACCAGTTTTACCTGCAGCTTCGGAAAGACATCCTGGAGGAGAGGCTGTATTGCAGTGAAGAGATGCTGCTGCAGCTGGGGGTCCTTGCCTTGCAGGCTGAATTTGGCAATTACCCTAAGGAGGTAGGGGTAAATACCTGGGGCCTTCGGGTGGGGTCACTGGAAAAACAGTTACAGATTGAGGGCATGTATTAGTAATGTGGAGACTCTGCTTTGAGTATTGTTAGCCTTTACCAGTTAGATCGAAGTACACACACACACACACACACACACACAGATAGATATATGTATGTGTGTATAGATATACATATGTTACAATGATATATATATACATATATATGTAACAATGATATATATACACACACATATATATATACCACAATTTGTTTATCCACTTATTGATTGACCAGCTGTTGGGCTGGTTCTATATTTTTGCAGCTGGGAGTTGTGCTGCTATAAACATGCATGTACAAGTATCTTTTCTTGTATAATGACTTCTTTTCCTCTGGGTAGACACCCAGTAGTGGGGGTTGATGGGTCAAATGGTAGTTCTACCTTTGGTTCTTTAAGAAATCTCCATACTGATTTCCACAGTGGATGTATTCGTTTATATTCCCAACAGCAGTGTAAAACTGTTCCCTTTTCACCACATCCATGCCAACATCTATTATTTTCTGATTTTTTAATTTGGCCATTCTTGCAAGAGTGAGGTGGTATCACACTGTGGTTTTGATTTGCATTTCCTTGATCTTTCGTGATGTGTAGCATTTTTTCATATGTTTGTCGACCATTTGTATATCTTCTTTTGAGAATTGTCTATTCATGTCCTTACTCTAATTTAATGAAATTGCTTTTTCTTGCTGATTTGTTTGAGTTCTTTACAGATTCTGGACATTAGTCCTTTGTTGGATGTATAGATTGCAAAGATTTTCTCCCATTCTGTGGGTTGTGTGTTATTCTACTGATTGTTTCTTTTGCTGTGCAGAAGCTTTTTAGTTTAATTTAGACCCATGTATTTATCTTTGTATTTGTTGCATTTTCTTTTGGGTTCTTGGTCATAAAGTCTTTGCCTAAGCTAGTATCTGGAAGGGTTTTTCTGATGTTATCTTCTTGAATTTTTATGGTTTCAGGTTTTAGACTTAAGTCTTTGATCCATCTTGAGTTGATTTTGTATAAGGTGAGAGATGAGGATCCAGTTTCATTCTTCCTTATTTGGCTGGTCAATTATCCCAGCACCATTTGTTGAATAGGGTGTCCTTTCCCCACTTTATGTTTTTGTTTGCTTTGTCAAAGATCAATTGAATGTAAGTATTGGGCTTTATTTCTGGGTTCTTTATTTTGTTCCATTGGTCTATATGCCTATTTTTATAGCAGTACCATGCTGTTCTGGTGATTATGGCTTTATAGTATAGTTTGAAGTTGGGTAATGTGATGTCTTCAGATTTGTTCTTTTTGCTTAATCTTACTTTGCATAGTAATAGCCAACCTTTATTAAAAGATTACTATGTACCTGGCATTTACCTAGACATTTTTGATTTGTGTTAACTCACTTCGCTCTTACAGCAACATTGCAAGTTGGTGTGATAATATCACAGAGTTGATATTATCACTCAATTTTCTAGAAGAGTGATCTGAAGTTCATGTGGCTGCTACATTGTAAAGTCTAAATTTGAGCCCAGTTGTGTTACTCCAAGGCCAATGCTGATTCTTCTGGGAAACACTCTTCTCAAATGGCAATTCTAATCTTGTTGGCCAAGCCCTTGCCCCTGCAGTGGAATCATATGTAAGTTTCTTTGATTTAACTGCCTATGATAGTCCTCTAGAGTGTTAACAGAGTTAACTAGTTATTTAATTTTCAGATGCCTATTACTAGGGAAGGACTATGCTAACATATTTACCTACCTAATGAAGATTTAAAATGGGGACACAGGCAGGAAGGAGAAACAAACCACTTGAGCTGTTACAGAGAGCAGTGTAATTTTGCTTTCAGGGTTTATGAAGCCCTTCCCCCTTCCCCTGCCCATGTTCTGGATGAAGGGAAAGGCTTGGGAACAGACCTCAACAGAGACTGAGAAGTGTGACCCAGCAGTGTGATGTGAAGTCCATCTCTGGATGCATCGGTAGGAACAGAGAGGAAGGAGGAAGGGAGGGAGAGTTTCCACCAATTTCTCACCTGGTGACCTCCCAGCCAACACACTGGGCTTTATCTTGGAGAGCATACACCACTGTCATGTGACAAAAGCTGGGTGTCACTGGGAAATGCTTAGCTTGGAGAAAAGATGGTCTTCTTCAAGAGGGCTGAGTGAAGGAGGAATACACAGCCAAAAAAAAAAAGAAAAAAGAAAAAAAAGAAATGAAATGTTTACCCTCCCCCCCCGTTCTGCCTCAGAAATCTTCAAAAGGACCTTGAAATCCTTGAGATCCTAAGAACTGGCATGTCCTTGGGCCTTTGAATGTTCTTTCCCAGAATATCTGCACATCCGTCTCAATCTTACATACCTTTCAAGGCCAGCCACAACCCCCTAGCTTTCCTGGCCTCACAAGTGGATGGAAACCCTCCTGTACCCTTTGGGTTTTTTTAGCATCCTCCCATACCCTTGGCCAGCACAGGTGACTAGACAGCATTCTGTTGATTACAAGTGATAGAAAATCAAGCTCAGGCTGGCTTGAATAAAACATGTCATTTATTGGTTTGCAAAACTGAAGGCTTCTGATTCTTTGTCAGCCTCCCTGCATCCCTGTGATAAGCCTCCAGCCCAATCACTCATACCTTGGAGCTTGAGTGATAGGAACCCACATGATGTCAGTAGGACTTGGGCTTCTTGTGTCTCTGAGCTGTGCTCTCCTCTGTCAGATTTGCCTTTCATGGCTTTCCAATTCCACCCTCCAGTGTCCAGCCCTACACAAGAGAGAGAGTCCCCTCCTTGGAAATGCCATGGAAATCCTGGGTTTCTGTTCCATTGGTGCTGATAGGGTCATGTGCCCACCCAAAGCCAGTAGCTGTGCAGGGAGATGTCATGCTTTGATTGGTTAGATTTGAGTCTAACCTGGTAGTCACCCTAGGAGGCAGGGATGAGCTCACACTGCAAAGTGCATAGATTGAGAGGGAGGAGAGATAGTTTCCCATTTCCAAAAAGAAGGCAAATAGTCCCATGTGCCCAGAAATACAGGTCCACCACCATTGGACACTTACTGGTCAGAGATGCTACATTGTTGGTGAACAGAGGAACCATGTTTACCTAAAGTTCTAGTTTGCTACATCGTCAGGGTCTGGCCTTGTGTTATGGGCTGAGTCTTGAGCCCAGAAATTCATATGTAGAACCCCTAATTACCAAGTACTTTAAAAGGTGACTGTATTTGGAGTTAGGGCCGTTAAAGAGGTGATTATTTGAGATGAGGCTGTTAGGGTGGGCCCTAATCCAATCTAACTGGTATCCTTATAAAAAGAGGAAATTTGGACACACAAAGAAACACCAGGGAGGCATAAATAACAGGGGAAAGGCCATGTGAGGACACAGGGAGAAGGGGGCTGTCTGCAAGCCAAGGGGAGAGGCCCTGGGAGAAAGCAAACCTTCAGATGCCTTGGTCTTGGACTTCCAGCCTCCAGAACTATGAGAAAATAAATTTCTATTGTTTAAGCCCCCAGTTGGTATTTGTTATGGCAACACTGGTAGATTAATACACCCTGAGTCTGAGAAGGAGAAGCAGTAGCCACCACTGGGTATGGACACCTTCGTAGAGGTCTGGGTCTTATTCCTCAAAGGGTGTGTGAGCTAGAGAGGAAAGGGTGTGAGTGACCTCGATTATAACTTGCATGCCTTGGCTTTAGTGCAGGGACAAGCCCAACAGTTAAAACAGTTCTTTGAGAACAGTGGTTTTAAAACATTTTTTGCCATAGCTCATGATAAATGGACATTAAAACCCAACATGCACACACATATATACAACAGAACTGAAGCAAAAACCTGAGGAAATAAGGTACATTCTTTCTATAGGCAATGCACATTGATATCTCCTATTACATTTTCAGTAGTTTTAAAAATGCTTATTATGAGCCTCTAAATTAATTCATAGCTCACTAGTGGGTCACAGACTGCAGTTTGAAAAACACCTCTCAGACTCTCCCAACATTGTCTTGCGTTCCTCCCAATACAGCTTCAGAAGGCGCTGCTGTGTCCTGGAGTCTTCGAAGTCCCTGTGTATTCCCTCACCCTGCTGGGTTTTTGTTCACAGTATTTATCACCATGTGGCATAATGAATTCATTTTATTGTTCAGTCTTATTATCTTTCTCTCCCATTAGCATAAAAAATACCTGAGGGTGAGGGGTTTTTGTCTGTTTTGCGTAGCCATTTTCCCAGCACCAAAGTGGTGCTTGAAGCACAGGGAGTCTGAGCGAAAGCTGTGAATGAATGAATTTGAGACTCCTGGACTGGAAGACACTGCAGATAGCAGTCATCCATCGGAACCTCAGCAGCTGGCTTGTCAGGGAATGGTAGTTCAATTCCCATCTGTCCTCTCTCCTGGGCCTACCCTGGTCCACGGGGACTGGGACTTCACTTTCTACCCCTGACACTGCCCCAGGGAGCCAGTGTCTTAGAGCTGGCCTGGCCCCCGTAACCTCTTCCCTGCCCTTTTGACAAGCCTCTAGCCCTGTCACTACTTATCCTTGAATTCTTTCCTGCCCTCGGTTCCCAGGCCTGGGGCCCTTTTCATGGCTAGGCCAGCTTCTTGTCCTTGTGGTGGTACATTGGGGAGTCGTGGGAGGAGGGTGCTCTAAGCCAGGAGTGTCCCAGTGAATCAGCTGACATTCTTGCTGTGGCCTCTGGTTCATTAGCTATATGGCCTTGGCATGTTTCCTCTCTGAGCCTTGGCTTTTTTATCTGCAAAATGGAAAATAATTGATAGATACATACATATGTAGATGTGTATGTCAATGTCAATAATTAGGTCAAATAATTGTCAATGTCTTGCAAAGCTGCTGTTTAACAGTAGAAGGTGGCAATACATGTGTAGTACCTGGTATGTAGCAATTGCTGTTTGCAAGCTTTCCTTCTCCCTCCTGCAGCATTATAGTGCTCTAATATAAAATGACACAACAGCCAACCCTCAGTCTGGATTCAGATATAGGATATCAAATCTGAGTTTAACTCTAGTGCTTATTTGTTGGAGACTGCTGGCCAGATCCACTGGAGGCAGGTGGGAGTCTGAGTAATAATAGTCTCTTACTTAGGACTAGAGTCAGTCCAATGGAGTCTCTTGCCCCAGGGCTCCAGGGGCCCAGACCTGTCTTTATGAGCCCATAATAGTCTGAGTTCTCTAGAGAAACAGAACTAATAGGATATCTATCTATCTATCTATCTATCTATCTATCTATCTATCTATCTATATCTATCTATCTATCTGTCGGTCATCTATCTATCTGTATATGTATGTATCTCTCATCTATGTATGTACCTATTCATATATCATCTATGTATCTATGTACGTATGTATGTATGTATGTATCTATCTATCTATCATCATCATCTACATGTCTTTCTGTCTGTCTGTCTATCTAGAGATGTATTAGAAGGTATTGGCTCATGTGGTTATGTAGGCTGAGAAGCCTCAAGCTATGCAGTTAGAAAGCTAGAAAGCTGGGATGGCCAATGGTGCAGTTCCAGTCCAAGCCTGAGCCCAAAGGCAAGAGAAGAACTACATCCCAGTGTGAGGACAGGCAGAGAGGAGCTGCTTCTCTACAGGAGATGCAGCCTTTTTGTTTAATTCAGTCCTTCAGTGGATTAGATGAGGCCCACTCACATTAGGGAGGGCCATCTGCTTTACTCAGTCTATGGATTTAAATGTAATTATGTCCCAAAATACTCTCACAGTCACAACCAGAATATTTAACCAAATATCATGGCACCCCATGGCCCAGTCAAGTTGACACATAAAATGGACCAGCACCAACACTCCATTCTGGTGCTTCCCTATGCCCATACAGTTTCTGACTGATCTCACCCTGCTTCTTCCTCCATGCCATCTCATTCTCCTCCTCCTGCTCCCCCATCTTCAGATCCTGCCAAGCCTCAACCTGTTTGGTGCCCTGGGGACATTTCTGAGGTGCTTTCTGCTGCCCCCATGTGACCGCTAAAGGCAGACCTTTTCCCTTTCTCACATATGTAAAGGGCAACAGGTTTACACAAATCCATTCATTTACTCAACCACTGACTCCATCCTAATTTATGGAAGGCCCGCCCTGTGCTTGGCACCACTGAATTCTTACATCAACCCTGAAAAATTGGTGGTATTTACATTTGCCATTGGGAAAGATGTAACTCTGTGAGGTTAGGTAAACTAGAAAGAGCACAGCCAGGGCTCACTTCACATTGCTTTGCTATATGCCAGGTACTGCAATGGGCATTGCAAAGGGCCTTGAGTGAGTCCTCAGAGCAGAGAGCCCCTCTCTGTGTCATTGAGTGGGCAAGAGGAGGAGTCTGGCCTGCCTGCCCATTGCCTGAGCCTTAATGGCTATGAGGCTGGGTGGAGGCCACCTGTTGTATCTGGGAAGACTTAGTGTGCCCTCCTAAGGGGCTTATATTTTGCTTGATAAATGGTTCTGGTGCTGAAAAAGATAATTTGGAAACCACTGTTGTGAAAGATTGGGAGCCCCTGAAGAATTTTAAGGAGGGAAGCAACATGATTACATTTGCATTTTAAAAAGGGAGACAAAGACAATTTAGTATAAAAATAAATCTCCTTAATCGCATCATCGCAGCAGAACAACTTCCCTCTGGGTACATTCTCTCCCTGCCTTGATCACATGCAGGGGTTTTTATACAGTTGTGAACTTCACCATGTTCGATTTGCATTCTTCTTTCTCACTCAATGGTACGTGTCCTCCAGTGGCCTTCCTAGTGATCCTCTGTAGTGGCAGCCTGTTATGCCTTCACAGTCTTCCTTCACTTCTTCATTCTTGTATTATGGGGCATTCACTCAGTGGTGGCACCACGGAAGTGATAACTACTATTATTATCATTTAAATCGCATCTGATTTTTCTGTTTGTGTGTGTGTGTGTGTGCACATGCGTGTGTTTTCAGTTGGAGTTTTGCTTTTGTTGCCCAGGCTGAAGTGCAATGGTGCGATCTCAGCTCACTGCAACCTCTGCCTCCCAGGTTCAAGTGATTCTCCTGCCTCAGCCTCCTGAGTAGTTGGGATTACAGGCGCCTGCCACCATGACTGGCTAATTTTATATTTTTAGTAGAGACAGATTTCTCCATATTGGTCAGGCTGGTCTCGAATGCTCGACCTCAGGTGATCCACCAGCCTCAGCCTTCCAAAGTGCTAGGATTATAGGAGTGAGCCACTGTGCCCAGCCGATTTTTCTATTTTATAAATGTCATAAAAATAAACATGCTTGACCCCAGAGCTTTTTCAGTTCCATCTGGACTTTTTCTCCTGGATATATTCCTACCAATAAGATCCTCCGTCAAAGATCCTAAATGCTTTTCTAAAAATGTTTTAATAGACTTTCATCTTTGGATCAGTTTTAGATTCACAGCAAATTTGAATTGAAAATACAGTGATTTTTTCATATATCCCCGTTCCTCTACATGCACAGCTTTCTCCTACAGACACCATGAAAATCCTGTACCAGAAGGTGTATTTGTTACAATCAATGAACCTACATTGCCACACCATTATCACTGAGAGCTCCTAGTTTAAACAGAGGTTCACTCTTGATGTTGTACATTCTATGTGTTTTGACATATGTATAAAGACATGTATTCATCATCATGCTATTGCTGAAGTCAAATAAAATAAGGAGATGAATCTCTAAATTTAGAACAATTTAGTTGGGAAGCAAGAATTGCAGTTTGGGGTATGCTCACAGACTGGGTGGTCTTTGGTGTGTCTAAAGAACAAAGAGAAGGTTGGAATTTTTATTAGGAATAAAAATGTTAGTTTGAAAGAAAACTTATCAGCACTTGGGAAGGTTTTGGGAACTGAAAGCTCTGATTGGTGAGTGACAGTGGGAAGCAAAACAAGTCTTAGAGTCCCAGTAGGTCCTTTCAGCAGTTGGGCTTATGGAAAGATTTAATTCTTGGAGTAGGTGCTATGGGCCCCATCTTCATTTTCTTCCTGGCTCCTGGACTCTGATTTAGTTGGATGTGCAAGTTGGATGTGAAAGCATCATACAGAGTAGTTTCATGGTCCCCCAAATCCTCTGTGCTCCACTTATTTATCTCTTCCTCCCTCTAAACCTGTCATCTTTTTATACTTCCATAGTTTTGTTTTTTCAGAATATCATATAGTTAGGATTATACAGTATGTAGCCTTTTCAGACCTACTTATTTCATCTAGTAATATGCATTTCAGGCTCTTCCATGTCTTTTCATGGCTTTATAGCTCATTTCTTTTTAGCACTGAACAATATTTCATTGTCTGCATGTACCAATTTATTTATCCGTTCACCCACTGAGGGACACCATTTGCTTCCAAGTTTTGACAATTATGAATAAGGCTGCTATAAAATTATGTGTGCAGGTTTTTGTGTGGACATAAGTTTTCAACTCCTTTTGGTAATTACGAAGGAGTACAATCGCTTGATTGTATGGTAAGCATATGATTAGTTGTGTAAAAAAAAACACACACCAAACTGTCTTCTAAAATGGCTGTACCATTTTGCAATCCCACCAACAATGATTGAGAGTTCCTTTGTTCCACGTCCTCACCAGCATGGTGTTGCTAGTGTTCGGGTATTTGGACATTCTAATAGCATTCTAAATGCTTTTTTATGCACTAGACTGTTGAGCAGTGTCTTTCCATTTGTGATGGAGCTGAGCCCAAAACCAGCATTGGCCAGCACCAACCTGAGCATTCTTGGTCCATGGCTACATGAGGACAGACCTGTGCCACATCAGGAGTGTAGGAGGTGGTGAGCCCTGTGCTATTCCCTTCAGATCCCCCCATCAGGCCAACTCATTCACTCATAGCCTCAAGAAGGCCAGATTCTCCCAGCTCCCATCTGCCTTCCTTATGAGTAACTGCGTTATGCTGGCAAGGGCATCTGAGACCAGGGCACGTAGATTTGAAAATACAAAGGTAGGGTCAGCTTCTCCCTCTGCCTTGTCTGCATTCCTTATTCTATACACTGGACCCCAAGATCACTCCTGCATGGACTTCTGCATACTTCTTTCTGCCCCCAAGTCTGTGTTCAGGGAACTCAACATCAAGCAGTGAGTGACTCGAGCTTACATCCTCTCCTAGGGTGATGCAGCCTCAGTCTCCCAAAGAACACACTTGATGAAGGGCTGGGGTATCCAGTCTCCCCTTTTTCAGAGGGCTACTCATTGAACACCTTCTTGTGCAGCAGCAATGATGCCAAAGCTAAGACCTCCCTGGTGAGGAGAGACAGTGTGCTGGGAGTGCATGTGGACAGAAATGTTAAATGAATTAAAAAGTACATGGAGTTTTAGAGCCAGGGTTTTGCTGTGCCTTTCGGTAAGGTGTGGTATCATGGAAAGTGTGAAGGTTTGGGGTGAGCAAATCTTGTTTCTATCACTTCCAAGTGCTGTGAGCTTCGCCCTTTTGAATGACCTCTCTCCTTGCTTGTCTTGGCAATGGCCATGACAATGCCATCTTCAGAGTATTTCTGTGAGAATCATGAGTCTTACATGTTCTGTGAACTACCTGGCATAAAAACGGGGCTCAAAAACAGCTCCTTTACTCTCTCATTTCTGTTTGTGTCCTAGGGTTTGGCCATGTTTCTAATGTAGTGGAAAATAATACCCCAGGTGGGCACCTCGAGGAAGGCTCTTTCTCTGGAGCCCTCCTGGAATTGTGAGTACAGATAATGTTTTGGTTCTGCTCAGAGTCCCCCGGACAGTGTCTTGATTGTGCCCTCCTCCTCTGCATCTTACTTCCAGCAGGTGGAGAGTAAGCCATACTTTCATGTTGAAGATTACATCCCAGCGAGTCTGATAGAGAGGATGACTGCTCTCCGGGTCCAAGTCGAAGTCTCAGAGATACACCGGCTCAGCTCTGCACTCTGGGGAGAGGATGCTGAGCTGGAGTTCTTGAGGGTAAGGCCTTCTTGACTTGGAGAGAGGTGTTAGTCTTCAAGGGAATGCAGCCGGGAATCCCCTCCGGAGACTTCTTGGCGGTGGGGAGGCAGGTGTGTGCAGACCCACAAGGAGGCACAAGCAAGCCCTAGGTGGAGCTCTAGGAGGCAGGGAGGGGCAAGGAGAGGCTTCTGGAAGCAGCTGGCATTGGATATGATCCCAAAGAGGGCAGGATTGAGTGAGCTGGGGTGGGTGTGGTAGGACTTTTCCTTAATGTTTTTTTTTTTTTTTTTTTTTGATATGGAGTCTCACTCTGTTGCCTTGGGATTATTGGCGCACTCCATGCCTGGATAATTTTTGTATTTTAGCAGAGATGGGGTTTCACCATGTTGACCAGGCTGGTCTGAAACGCCTGACCTCAGGTGATCCACTAGCCTTGGTCTCCCAAATTGCTGGGATTACAGGCATGAGCCACCACACCTGGCCAAATCTTAGATCAGCATTCCAGACAGTTTCCTGCAATCAGGTTGGCAACATTTTTTATAGTTAACACATAGGACAACAGAAGTATAAGATCAGAGTGTGAGCCAGAGAAAAGTCGTTGCAAGACCCCAAGTTTGCAGCCCTCCAGGGAGCAGTTCTCAACGCAGTACAGCTGCTGTGGCCCATGCACAGGGGTGCAGCTTGGGCCCACACTCTCTTCACCAGTGGGGCAAAAACAGTGGCACTGCAGACCCCCGTGCAGGCACACACAGTGATGAATACTTTTTGCTACTCCATAACCTCCCCTTGCTGTGGGCAAGGCACTGGAAAATGGAGACAAAAAAGCAGGTGCTCTTTTTTTCCCAGGAAGCTCCACATCTCATGGGGAGGATTGCGGCATACCCACAGGCACACAAAGCTATAAACGCTCAATGGACTAAGAATAATACCAGCTACTCTGTGTCAAGATGTGGGGTCCAAGGAGGAAGTGGCCACTCTGCTGGTGCAGATACAGCTGGGGGCAAGTGCAGATACAGGCTGGGGAATTCGAATAGGGGAGCAGTTTTAAAAGGAGGCTAGGAGATTTGTACCTTTTTCTGTACAAAAGTCAGGTAGAAATATTCTGTTTGTGTTTTCTTGCCCTTAATTGAGATAGGTACTTGAAAACAAACCAGCCAATATGAGGTCAGGCCTTTGCATTTTAGCCAGTCATTTTGCAGAACTATCCCTGTACCTAACATGGCGCAGCCTGCGTTTCACTTGAGAAGCACTGACGAAGCGTGATCAAGGCACGCTGTAATCAGGGCTGCACATGTGTGCCCTGTCAAGGGGATGAAGCTTTCCCTTGATGAGGCGCCAGTGGGAACTTCAAAGCCATCTGATAATGAGTGGTCATGGAGCCACAAAACCACAGGATTCAGTCTAGAGGCCAAGGACCCAGCCCTGCGGCAGGTGTCTGCAGGATGGACGTTGCCTTCTGGCCTCTGCCCAGACCCTGACTTTGTGTGCTGAGCTCACTGTCAGGATCCCTCCCTTCCTGGTTGAAAGATGAAAAATGATTGTAAGAGAAGCTACCAGGCTCAGAAGCCAAAATACAGGAACCTTTTTTCCCCATTCACAGAAAGCACTGAATAGATTTGATTTCATTTACATGCAATCTTTATGGTTTCAAGAAGCACTCTTGCTTTTGTAGTTCCCCTCGGTGGACTGGTTGGGGCTGTTAATGCTGGTGTTGCCTGCCTGTGGTACAGAGAGACAAATTAGACAGGGCTTTGTCACTGGGAGCCTCTCATTAGGGTGAGGGTCTGTTAAAGGTTTTCTCCCCTTCCCTGATTATAAAAGTAAACATTTCCTCATAATTCTGCCGCCTGGAGATAGCACAATTACATCTGGGTATATTCATCCTTCTCTCTTTGTTCTGTGCATTACTATATAGGTGTACATGCATATATGTTTAAAGTTAGATTTATATTATATATGCACTTTTATGTGTGCATATAATACCATAATTCTAAAAATTTGAAAACTTCTTTTGATTAACATATGTTGTACTTTAATTTTTTTTCTCTCAGTGCTCTATTGTTTAACATATAAATTGTTTCCAGTGTGGGACTATTTAAAACAATACTGAGATTAGCATCTTTTCCATATGAATCTTTGCTGTATTTCTGCTTCATTCCTTAGGGATAGAATCTCATGAGTGGAACTACAGGGCTGAAGGTAATAAACATTTTGAACATTGTTGGTGTATGTTACTAAGACACCTTGCACTGCAGTCATTTCTGGACATTTCCCATCTCTTCTACTGGGCCAATGCCTGGAGGGCCCTGGATCCTCAGAGCCCAGCACAGAGCTCAGTTACTACTGTACAAGCAATTACTGGATTATTTAATTAGAGCTCCTTGTGGCTCTCATTTTTCCTTAGAAAAAGGAGGAAACAATTATCAGGAGGCTGCCTCTTGGCCCCGAGTTCACTGATGACTAACTCTGCCAGTTCAGCATCTCATACTAGCAACAGACTGGGCAGGAGCCCCGTCTGGGGAATGCTAAATACCATAGTCTATGTGTAGATTCACAGCTATATTAGCTTATTAATCCCAGAATAACCTGTTTAATGTGAATTCAGTGTTTTCCTAACTTCCTCGGCCATGGAGCCATTTTCCCACGTAGTTGTGGGTTGTAATATGGTATTAAAGCATTTTTTTCTTGCTATTGAAATCATACTGGTTTTATCCTATAGTTTTTCCCACTTAGCACTATAACAAATGCATTCTCCTGATTATTACAAATGCTTTATAAATATCCTTTGTAAAGGGTGGCTGATAATCGATTTTAAGACACTGCTGTTTTTATAGGAAATCATTTACTGCCAGGAGCTGGTTTTCCCAAATCACTCTCACAAATATGTAATGAACAGCATTATGAGAAGTTGTCCTGATTATTTAGCATATTTTCTTAAGGTAGATTCCTATGGGTGGAATTATAAAGTCAGAAAAGATGAATTGTGAATCTCTTGATGAATATCCAGAAATAACAATCCATTTGTTTCGAAGAATGTTCAATACATCAAGGGTGCTGTGTGGCTGGCAGCCAGGAGTGCTTGGTCCCATCTCAACTTTGCTGCCTGTTGTAGGGAGGATAGGCCCCTTAGTGAGATGGCCCAAAGCACATGGAGAGGAAATGACCCTCTGAAAGGAAAACCAGCAATAGCAAGGCAAAGGGGGCAAGGAGAAGCATCCTCGGAGACTGCCTAGTAGGCAGGGAATGGAGGCAGACATTATTAATTTATTGTTTTACAGACTGAAGATGCCATTGACGATATTAAGCATTTCCAGGACTTTTGGGTTCCCTGTATTTTAGTTGTTAAGAGTGAAGACTCAGGAGAAACAGTCTCATCTTTTCACATTTTCCATTCCTGGCTCCAAAGCAGGAACTTAGATTACATAGACAAGAGATAGCTTCATCAGCTCTGTGATTGTTCTGAAGATTAAATAATAATGAGATTATGCTGGGAAAGACTGAGCATAGTGCTTATCAGTAGGAAACTGGAGGCCCAAAGAACTGAAAAGTATCATATCTCTCTTCATATAGTTAAACAATAAATTAAATATATAAACAAATACTAAACAATTGAAAAAGTATAAGTCTAGCAAAGGCATCTTTACCCTAACAAGGACTACTTATTAATGCTTAAATTTTTTTTTTAAGGAATAGCACATGAATTCTTTAAAAGTATCTACCTAATTAACTTGGGGTGGTCCTGCTTTGTTAAACTTGAATCACATGCCCAGTCTGACCACTGAATATTTCAGCACCAGCTCTCAATAAATATTGATTTGGATGATGATGATGATGACAGGTCTCTCCAAAGTTAAACAAAGGAGGCTTAGGGTTCAGAAATGTAATCAGAACCCTGTGTGAAGAGCTGTGGAGTCTGCAGGCATCATAAGCTGTCTGCATGGGCTTCATCAACGGTGGATGCGCGAGGAGCCTGAGAGAGGAGCTCTCAAAAGCCATCATTTGTCCCTGTTTTTGTGACCTTGCCTGGGGATGAGAGAGATTGGATAGGACATGGATGCTTTCTGCTGGGGCGTAGGAATGGAATACTACAGGCTTTCTCCTGACTGAACTAGGTCTCAGCATTGCAACTCTTTTGAGAGCGTTTCAAATGTGTGGAGCAAGGTCCCAGAGACACATCAACCTTCTGATGGGGACTGGCATCTTCCTGGTGAAGATGAAGGTGGGAAAGCCCAGGGTGGGAAAGTGATAATCATTCAGATGTAGTAACCTTTTGTTCATTTTGTACTCTGGTCTCTTTTGAACTTGGTGGCCTAATGCAGTCCCCAGGTCTAATTGACCTGTGGCCCCTGGCAGAATTTATTCACCTAATCTGGTAGACAGAGGCCAGACCTTGGGCTATGGAAACTCCCACCAAGGCATTGCTACATGGTGAGAAATGCCAAAATGAACAGCCATTGTATCTACAGGGTGGTTCACAACTAACACTGGTGATCTGGAATGTTGCTTTCTGTGCCTGAGCCTCAGTTTTTCCATCAGTTATGTAAAGGAGTTGGAACAGAAAATACTGTAGACTCTGATTGACACAACCAGGAAAAGAAATCTCTTACCTTGAGATGTTCCAGAAGAGTATGGATTCTAAAAAATGTACTCAGAATATTATTATTCTACTATATTACTTTCATAATAACTGTGTTCTAAGTACTGTTTTAAGTATTCCATGAGAAAAGTATTCCTTGGGTTACAAAAAAAAAAAAAAGGAAAATTCTATTGTATCAGAGGTGCAGAGAAATTCTATTGTATCAGAGGTGCAAATAAATTTGTTCGACTGTGTTTCCTAAACTTATTTGACAATTCTACTGTTTTTTTCAGAACTCCCATCAATATGTTTGGCATGGAGTGAATGGCGTGAGGCCCATTATTTTAAACCATGTGCCTGGCTCTTCTAAATCAGACTCTTTTGCTCCAGGTCACTCAACAGCTTCCAGAATACGGTGTGCTGGTTCACCAAGTATTCTCAGAGAAGAAGAGGCCAGAAGAGGAGATGGCCCTGGGGATCTGTGCCAAAGGTGTCACAGTATATGAAGTGAAAAATAACAGCAGAATTGCAACTTTACGGTTTCAGTGGAGAGAAACCGGGAAGATTTCAACTTATGTGAGTGTAGCTCAATTGATCAATAACCTGCACTTCATTTTCCTTTGATTCATTGGCTGTTTAAAGGAGCAATGGATCATGGGTTACATGGCTTTCTCCTGACTGAACGTTCTCACAGCCTGTCTGTTCGTTAATGTGCATTCTGATGCATTGCAGGATATTTGGAAGAAGTCTACCAGGGGATTTTGGGAGGTCCTTAGGAGGCTATTTCTTCCCTACCGTTCCTTGCCTGGACCCCCACATAGCCCAATGAACAGCCATTGGTCTGAAAGGCTACACTTTCCTTTTGGGTAAAGTTCTCAATTTGGAGACTCCATTAATTTTGAGAGCAAGGTTAGAGGTGGGAGATGGGGGGTTGAGGGTATAGTTTAAGTTGAGTGAAGCCTGCAAGGTTTTGAAACTTCTTGTGTTTTAATTTTTCCCTTGCACACAGTGTGCCGAGGCCTCTGGTCCGTCTCCGAGGACTACGGATGTGCTGCGGTACACTGAGGATTGTAAATTTTTGATAGCTCTTGAAAATTTCAAAGTCTGTTTTTGAAATACAAAATCCCTGTTAAATATATAACATTAGGAATCTACTTGAACACTATCTGCATGAATATTTCTACCTCCTGAAGTGAGTCACTCTGGCACTGTACCCTGGTGGCTGACAGCCCTGCCTCTCCTATAGTTGTTCCAGTCAGTATCTGCTTCACTTCAATGATGATTTATTATAAAATATAAAGCTCTTTATCTTGTGGCCCATGAAAAAAATTTTTTTCTATTTAATTTTCTCTGTGGTTAAAAACATTTTCTATCTAGATCACTATTTGTATCATTGTCTGATGTTAGTTTCCAGAGTAGAACATAACTGCTTTCATCCATTTTCAGGATGTTTCTTTTATTTCATCTACCTTGGCTTTGAAGTTAACATATTGTCAAGATACAATTTCATAATAAGCAATTGTCTTCAGGAAAAAAAGCTTACATCTAAAAATAAATAATAATTGAGCACAATTTAATTGAGTTTATTCAAGTGGTCTGTATATTATCGGAAAACTGACTTTTTTTCGAAATCATTTTGACCAAACTCAAAAGAAACAATATTTATATTTGTGAATTTTTCAGAATTTTAATTACTCAAATTACTTTAACTCAGCTGAAGGATCATATGAAGAACTTTATTTATCAATTGAATACTATATTACTTATTTTCTTTATTGCATGTTTAATTGTTCAGCGTTTTCAATGCACTATATTTAAAACACTCATAAAAATGCAGGTAACCTAAAAAGTAATTTTTAAAAATGGAATTTTTTGAAGATGTAAAGCTCAACAGTCCCCTTAAGTAGGTACTTTATGTATAAATTGATTTAACTTTTACAGATATTTGTTTCCCCCCCATCAGGGGATTTCTTTATTAAATTAGTGGATTATTTCTTGATTAAAACTGGGAAGTCATCAGGCTCAGAAGAAAAACTTAGAAGCTCAAAAAATAATTAATTAGGAGTTCCATTCTCTGATGATCATCCTCTTCCTTGGCATGAGAAACTTATTTTTACAGAATAGTCATCAGATGAAGTAATGTCACCAGCAGCTTCCTGCAAATCAAGCATCTTATGTAGAAAATGACTTGAAGTCTTCGTGTTTCTGTAAGCACAAAATAGGGAATTCAGTGAACAATATGAAAGTTAACTCAGGAAACTGGTTTTAATTTTGCTTTTTAATATCTGAGGCCAAAATTCTTCAAACAATTACAGATCATTCATCTTGCTGGCCTGCACCAAAGCAGCAAAGGAAATAGAGAAAGATGCCATTTCTAAAGAATATGATTCGTAGAAGTGTTGGAATCCACGTGTAGTTTGATTGTTCAATCAAAAGCCTGTTTCTTCTAGGACAGTAAACCTAAGCATGTTAGTAATGGTTCTTGGTTATCACCACTAGTTAAATCTCTAAAGAGAAATACATGGAAACAGAAACATATACAGGCTACATAGGACCCTCTTTATGAAAAAGAATACAAAGTTACAAATGATAGCATGAAAGAAATCTTTATTTAGAATGAGAAAAGAAATCACAACAACTTCATGAATTTTTAAAAGCTGAACAAATCCCACAAATATCACAAAAGTCAGCAAGTAATATTTTTATTAACTCCCTGGCAATGTCTACAATACTTTTTTACTTTAAAATTTTTAATGACATACTCTGATTATTTTTCCATATGATGGCACTTCTGTAACATTTTCTCTAGAGAGGATAAAAATATAGTTTAAATATAGTTTAGCTTTTCTTCAAGCGTGGTGGATTGAAGTCTGTTTTTATTATTGAAAAGATTAGTAGGATACATGAAACCCGCAGCTTTGCACAGAAACATTTTTCTCTTTCTAGTGCTGCTACAGAGTTCTTTGCTGCAAATGCAGGAAACCTAACAAATTCTATTTCATGGGATTTCCATTAAAAATTGTGTGGTGTATTGATAATGCAGAATACGCAATTATAGAGTATATCCCTGATAGGGCAGCATTTCAGTTGGATGAGTATTTTTGAGAACTAAATTATAGTTTTTCATTTTTGATGATTGCAAAAATTTCCTGAAGATCAGCTACTGGTTCTGTACAGCGCATGCTTCCTTCAGGTACTGGGTATTATGGGGCATGGTCAATTTCATATGGCTGCTGGCCCTGCACCTTTCTGCTGAGATTTTAGGTGAGTGAGACAAATGGAAGGAGTATTCTGGGATGGCTAGCAATAAAGTAGCTATTCTAGAAGAGACTTCAAAATCACCTAAATAAATCCAACTAAATCTAAACCAAGTATATCCTCATCTCAACTTCTTAGAGGAATCTTGTCCATATCACCCAATACCACCTGGTGTACACCACCTATTGTGAAGAGAAGTGGCAAAGAGGGAATGTTCGAGTAGAAAGAGTCAGTGGTCTTAATCAATTGGGGTGAAAACATCTTACTTTCTGCATATTATGAGACCATGTAAATGCATTGTCAGGAAGCGGTGACCCAAGGGAGGGCCCTCAAGCTTCAGCTTCATTAGCTTTGTGGCAAATCTGCCCTGCCTCCTAGAAAAATATTATTTGTATTTGATACAAAGATGTATCAAAACAAATAGCAACAGCAAAACAAAACAAACAAAACAAAAAACTCCTGGGATGAAAATATTCAAAATTGTAAACAGATGCTTTGAAACCAACAACATGTTATAGTAGCACCTGCTATGAATTGGTTGGGAGCGAAAGTAATCGGGGTTTTCACCATTAGAAGTTCTTCCTCCATTTAAAGTTAATGGCAAAAACTGCGATTACTTTTGCACTAACCTAATATGTTTCTACTGCAACCACAGAAGTGTAAAGAAAGGATTTCCTGCGGGTGCTGAAAACCCAGAGATTGGAGTTATACATCATCATATACACAGAGCAGCAGCTCGCCTATGAGAAAGTTTGTCTGTGGATAAGAATTTTCTATTAAATGATGTTATCAAAAACAGTGATAAATGGAAATAAAATCCAAACCACTACAGTCAAGACTGTTTTCAGCTTTATGTCGAGAAAAGGAATCAGAGTTCCAGTCTGGTGTTTGAGACCTTGGAGCACAGGCATCTGAAAGGAGAGTTTTGCTGAGTTGATAAGCTAAAAGAAACTTCGGGATGTGTGTGTGTGTGTGTGTGTGTGTGTGTGTGTGTGTGTGTGTATGATTCTCGCTTTTCAGATATGTTAAAAAATAGTTGTTACATTTAAAAAAGTGATTTATTATTCTTTCAAGGCACAGTGGCTTACACCTGTTAATGCCAGCACTTTGGGAGGCTGAGGCAGGAGTCTCACTTAAGCCCAGGAGTTCGAGACCAGCCTGGGAAACATAGCAATACTCCTGTATCTATTTAAAAAATACAAATATAAGCTGAGTGTGGTGGTGCCTGCCTGTGGTCACAGCTACCTGGGAGGCTTGGGTGAGAGGGTTGCTTAAACCCAGCACTTCAAGGTATCGGTGAGCTATGATTGTGTCACCGCACTCCAGCCTGGGTGACAGAGAAAGACCCTGTCTCAAAAAAAAAAAAAAAAAAAAAAGAGTGACTTGTTCATATGAAAATGCTTAATATCTGAATAAACTTAATATGAAACTGTCAGGATTGCATGAAAGCCTACCAGTGTGTACTGACAAAATGTATGGATTTCAAGCAAATATTCAACTTTGAAAAAGTGTGGATACATGATCAGTTGAACACTAAAGAAGAATTATTATGACTAGTAGAGCAGCATCTATGAATGCTTGAGAAAACAGATTATTTAAAGAAATACTAGTTATAGTACAGTTCAATTGGATTCAGAATCCGTTCCTATTAGCCTAAGGAGGCTTAGCACCATACTTGTCAGTAAAAGTAAAGAGTATATAGAGAATGAGCAACTTACCTAAAATTAAGTTAATGGTAAAAGGGAGTTTCTCAGAGAAAAAGTAGTGAATATTTATCTGCCCTTTGTCACTATCTGACGTGCGTGAATGGAGTTTCTCAGAAATGGTGACTATCAGGAATTAAAAGAGATCAGCCTTAAAGAGGATCAAGGGTTTCCGGGAGCCCTTTCAAGCATAAGCCCTGTTTCTATGAAGTTATCTTTATAGGAGCAAGCTGAAGGTTCTTACTGAAATAGATAGAATATCTAGAATAAAGATTTTATTTGGAAGTTTTATATTAATTGATATTTAATATTACCTAGATTTATATCTTATTATTCTTATCAGAATCACATATTACAAAAAAAATTTTTTTTCACAAGGCTTTATACAGGTAGCCTCATATAGGTCATCTTCACCAGTTTAGCCCAGTGAGCTGGACAAATATCATCACTTTGTATGTGGGTCTTGAAGGTATAATGCGGGGAAGCATTTCTTTGTGGTGTGACCTAATTCCTGTGGCATTCTGAGGACTCTTGCTCTTTTTTTTCATCTGTAGAATGAAAATACTGATAGAATCTCTTATTCTGTAGCTGTGAAGACAAAATAAATTCATACTCCTAAAGCACTTAGAATAGAATCTGCCACGTTAGAACCAGAAATATTACAACACACTGGTTTTTTTTTTTTAATCTTTTTCGTAACCCGACTAGTGGAGGTTTTGTCTACAACTTCTTAGAGTCTGTGCAATAAAAACAATGGGAATATTTAGTGGCTTTTCATAAGGCACACTGAGGGTTAGGTTCCATCCTTGCTGAGACCAATGTACCTGACCCATTTCATATTCTTTTCACCCAGCATGCTCCTTGGAAAATAGCAATCGTTTGATAAACAATTTGATTGAAGAATGAAGAAAAAACTAGAAAGAGGGATTTTCTTTAAGCTAAGAAAAATATCAGGCCGGTCAAGCACAGTGGCTCACTCCTGTCATCCCAGCACTTTGGGAGGCCAAGGCGGGAGGATCACCTGAGGTCAGGAGTTCGAGACCAGCCTGACCAACATAAACCCCATCTCTACTAAAAACACAAAGTTAGCTGGGCAAAGAGCAAAACTCTGTCTCAAAAGAAAAAAAAGAAAGAAAAAGAAAAATATCAGGCCATAGTCAGACAGCATCTGCCGTGTCCTCCTGGAAGCCTGCTACAGGGTGTGGAACTGAGGGACTGAGCAGTTTCTTGCAGTTGTGCATCAGTGGAGGGTTGAGGATGATCAATCTATTAAAGTCCGTGTTTGCTTTCTTCAGCAAAAAAAGTTCACCATCACAAGCAGTGTCACTGGGAAGAAGCACACATTTGTCACAGATTCAGCCAAGACCAGTAAATATTTACTGGACCTCTGCTCAGCCCAGCATGGGTTTAATGCACAGATGGGCTCTGGGCCGCCTTCCCATGTTTTATTTGGTGAGTAGAAGCTATATTCTTCATATTCACTTTGAAAAGTTTGTTATTTCATAAAATAATTTGTATAAATAGATACAATTGATCTAGGGACCTCTGATAGAGTTGTAAATCTCTCTAATAATGACAGAAATACAATAAAGGGGAGATATAATTTTATTTTCTTGTGTTGGCAAGAACTAAAATAAATAACACTGGGAGGGTAAATTGATATGATCTTTTCAGAGGGCAATTTGAAATAGACATCAAAAGCCTTAAAATGTACATGTCTTCTTGTCCCCATAATTTTATTTGCAGATAGATATTTATCCTAAGATAATCAACATAGATGTACACAAAAGTTGCTGCCCATGGACATTTACGAGGGTGTCATTTATGATAGTGACCATTTGAAAGCAATCTAAGTATCCAAACATAGAAGACTAGATAAATATACCAAGAACATTGATATAATTTAGACAGTAAAATTAGTTTTCGGACAATGATGATACGTGAAGCTGTACATGTTATAGTGCTGAGGAAAAGGAAGTTAAAAGACTGTATCTAGCACCGTCCAATGACACTTTCTTTAATGATGGAAATACCTGCCCTGTTAGTGTGGCAGTCACTAGCAGCACAGACCTACCATGAACATAAATTCTCTGAAAAGGAATTTGAAGGAAAAAGACTTTATTCCAGTCAGTCTGCAAACCTGGAAGACATTGCCTTTGGTATAAAACGAAGATTTGTTCTAGAGAACAGAGAGGGCTTGGGTTTTATAGAGAGCATTCCCACCCAGGTTCCCAATCAAGTTCATTTATGCAAATGAGGGAGTCAAACTTGCATAGTTTGGATTTGTTGATGCAGTGATGTTCTGACTGGTTGATACAGCTGAGCCATCATCGAGGGGGCAGGTGAGCTCTGACTGGTTGGTTCAGGTGAGTTCTGAGAGTCCTGAAGTTAAACAGAAGGATGGGTATTCAGGGAACCCACAGTACCCTAGTCAGCAAATGGCCACTTGGCTTTATTTTATTTATTTTTATTTTTTAGGTTTTAGGTTTTATTTACTTATGAAACATAAAGCAATTTTGGACAAAAGGTGACACACCTTGACACTTCTATGGCTTAATACATCAAAGGTTTGCTTCTCAGGCGCTTCTTAGTTTGGCTGTTTGCTGTTTCGCACCTCTCCTCCAGTGAATTGGGGTCTCAGCTGCTTCCACAGACAGCTCCATTATCTAGAACAATTACTCCAGAAAGGAAAGAGAGAGCTGTAAAATTGCACAACATGTTTTAAGAGCCAGACCCCAAAGTGACTCATATTCCTTCCAACTGCATTTCATTAACAGAACGTAGTTACACGGCCCCCAAGACAACTGCAAGAGGGGTTGGAAAGGACTTCCTGTGTACCCAGGAAGAGGAAGTAGTGTGATGCTACACCATGGCCCTTGCCGTAATGGCTGCAGCCATCTGCTCTATCACCCTTGATTGAGAGTTTGGTATGAAATTCATAGCAGGACCAGATTACTGAAGAGGCAGAGTTTGTAATTTGTGTTTAGATTGTAATCCTTTTGAGGCAAAACACTAAAATGTCTCTGCAATACACATAATCTAAAGATCAGGTGGACAGCATGATAATCTGAATGCAGCACAGCTGAAGATTACCTACTAAGAAGAATGACAAGGAATATCCTATTAAACAGCCGTGGGAGCACCTGTACCAATCGGGAGGCTATTTCCTGCTGCTTAGCAATTACAGTGAGAAATGTAACTCATCACATTCTCCTGCTTTTGGTTGCTTAGCAGATCTTTTGCTAAGCAAATAATATAAATACACTTATTTTACCAGGACCGTATGTTAAAAATTTAAGGTACCTTGTATGGCAGGATTTTTTTTTTGGCCTGAACTCATTTTTTTAAGAAAAATTTCAACTTTTATTTCAGATACAAGGGGTACATGTGCAGATTTGTTACATGGGAATATTATATGATGCTGAGGTTTGGAGTCTGGATCCTGTCACCTTGGTAGTCAGCATAGTATCTGATAGGTAGTTTTCTAACCCACCTCACATTCCTCCATTCTCTAGTAGTCCAGTGTCTGTTGTTCCCATATTTATGTCTATGTGTGATCAATGCTTAGCTCCTGCTTGTAAGGAAGAACACGTGGTATTTGATTTTCCATTCCTGCATGAATTTGCTTAGGATTATGGCTTCCAGCTCCATCCATGTTGCTGGATACAAAATCAATGTACAAAAATCTGATCTCTATATACCAACAACATCTCAGGCTGAGAGTGAAATTAAGAAGACAATCCCACTTAAACAACGGCCACAAAGAAAATGAAATGCCCAGGAATACAGTTAACAAGGAGAGTGAACAATCTCTGCAAGGAGAACTACAAAATGCTGCTGAAGGAAATCAGAGATGACACAAATAAACAGAAAACTATTCTATGCTTATGGATTGGAAGAATCAATATTGCAAAAATGGCCATGCTGCCCAAAGCGATTTACAGGTTCAATGGTATTCCTATCAAAGTACCAATGTCATCCTTCACCAAATTAGAAAAAGACTATTCTAAAATTCACATGGGACCTAAAAAGAGCCTGAATAGCCAAAGCAATCTACTTTAAATTCGGGTCCAGTTAGCTGCACAGAATTCATCTTGAGGGACTGGCTCTTTCAAGTTCACATTTGTTCACACTATTGAGTACTTGAAAGGTGGCAAAAGGAACTGAGGGATTAAATTTTCAATGTAATTTAATTTTCATCCAAATCATTTTAAATGGCTACATGTGCCTACTGTTTTGAATAGCATAGTTATAGATAGATATACAACACTAATTGGTTAATATTCATGTGTTGTAAGAAAGAATACAGAAATGAACTACACCAAAACGTTACTTGTTATTACTTTTGTGAGTTAGGCATGTGGTCATGACTGTTTTCTCTGCATTGCCATTTTTGATATTTGTTAAACTTAACAACAATGAACATGTATTATTGATAAAACTACGAATGAGACTACTGGTTAAAATGGGGCATACATCACATAAGGCTAATCTTTATTGAGCATTTAGGAAGTGCTATGGAGCTATTTACTTTTTCCTGGCAGTATGCTAAGTACTTACACTAATTATCTCCCTTATATTCATAATTTACTGTTTACTCAAACTGCCCTTGTTAAGCAGCCCCATGAGGCAGGTACAAGCATTATGGGGAGGAGCAAACCGAGGCTTGGAGAAGTTAAGTAATGTGCTACCTGCTTGGTGATGGGTCTAGCTGAGGTCTGAACCTGTGGCTGTTGGGGCCCAGTGCCTTTCATAACCAGCCAAAGCATGGACTTCAGTGTTAGAGAGACTTGGTTTTGCGCACTGGCTTTACCACAGCTGCTGTCAATCTCTAAGCGTTAGCTCTTCTTTGGTCATAAAAGGGAGCAATATAATATAGTGCTTTACACCCTTCATGTTCAGAGCATGGTCCCTGGACCTGGAGCATGCATGTCATCTAGAAGCTTGCACAGGATACAGAATCTCAGGCCCCACCCCAGACCATCTGAAGCCAAATCTGCCTTTTAAAAAGAACCCAGGTGGTTGGGATATACATATACACTTCGGAAACACTGACTTGGAATGTGGCCTGTCGAGCCCAGTAGACTCAGGGGAGCACCACGTTCTAGCCATGTGACTTCGGGCTGCTCACTTCCCCTTTCAGAGCTGGAGTGTCCTCATTGGCACCCACAGGCCATAGTGTAGATTTGTGTTGTGCTCAAGTGGGATGGTGCATCTAACATTTCTAGCTCAATGTCTGCCATTCTGTGCTCACTGTGAGACTAGTAATGGTGGCTCCTGTTCACCGGGGTTTGGTTCAGGGCCAGCCAATTCATATGGGAGCTGTGCCATTGGGTCCTGGGGTTGGCACAGGAGTTGGGGTCAACTGGAAACCAAAACTGCTGAACTTTGAGATTCAGAACCAAACAGAAAATAATGGTAGCTTATTTTATTATTTGCAGCAGAACAAGATGAACATATAAACATTTCATTGAAACCACAAGCTGGTGGTTCCAGGATATTTCCAGGGAGCCAGAGGTGACAAATGTAAATTAGTTATACCTGACTTACCTGCTATTGCTAAAAAAACACCATCAATATTGCTTTTATTGCCTGATTTCAGTGACTGTAAAATATTATAAAGACTCCATGAGCTCACTTGTAAAATTAGTCCCTTTGGGTACATTTGGCTTGTAATAGGCTTTCTCAAATTGCACATTTTAACCATCTCAGGAGTTTTTAGGAATCTAACATTTATTTGCATTGAAAAGATGAGTTTAGAAAAAGTTTCCTTGCCTTTTAAAATATTTCTTCATTTAGAAACTCTCTCTGCAGACACCCTTTTCAGTGACGACATGCAGCTGAGAACTGACCGCCTCCAGCTGACGGTCCCACACATCCCTCAAGCTCAGGGCTTCCTCTCACACAACTCGCATTGCCATGATATTTTTTTTTGTTCAGGTGGTCCACCTAGCCTCCCCACAGGAAACTGTGAGTGTCTGGGTCTGCACCCTCTCTTCCCACCCCACCTGTCACCAAAACAGAGAGAGAGAGATGTCAAAGATGGGGGAACCCAACACATCTCATATCCTTGAAGTATAGGCACTTCACATAATGGGCTTGCTGCTGGTACTCGTGTCCCGGATAATTGTCCTTCTCAGCCTGCAGAGTGACCTTTCAAAAGGACCAATCCGATCATGTTCTTCTGTACTGAAAACTTGTTAATGGCTCTCTGCTGTCTGTGGGGACGAGCTCAAACCTCTTCTTCTAGAATGGCATGGCAGACTCTTCCCACTCTGATCCCAACCCTGCCATATTCCTTGACACTTCCTCTCTGCTGTCTATGGGGACGAGCTCAAACCTCTTCTTCTAGAATGGCATGGCAGACTCTTCCCACTCTGATCCCAACCCTGCCATATTCCTTGACCCTTCCTCTCTGCTCTCTGGGTGTTTACATGCCAGCTTGCAGGCTGTTCAGCACACCAGGAAGGCTCAGCTTCCAGAGCCTTTGTGCCCAGAGTGGCCTCTGCCTACAGCGCTGTTCCCAACCCCTTCCTGGCTCAGACCACCCAGATAAGCCAAATTCTCTGTAAATAAATTTAAGATAACCTCCTCCTTGAAGGCTTTCCTGATTGATTGCCCCCAGATGGCTCTTCCTAGGTGGATGTGCCACTTTCTCTCCTGTGCAGACCTCTGTCTTCTCATCTGTACTATTCTGCCATTTTTATTTGTGGATATGACTGCCTATAGTCAGCAGTGGACTGTGAGTTCCACAAGAGCAGCTCCAGCACAGAACAGAGGTGTGTCAGATGGGAAGTGGTTAATACATGCTTTTTGATGAATGAATGGATGATTTATGGGGAATTACTATCATTTACTAAACCCTTCCCATTTTTGATATTTAGTTCACTTTTTATTTTTCAGTATTACAAATAATATGATAAATATTATTGGAAGAAATACTTTTCTATATTTTATATCGGTTCGTTAGCTAGATTTCAGAGTGTAATTGTTGGGTGCCAGTGCAGGGCATTTTTAAGGTGACTGCTGTTTTCCTGAGTGTCATTTTCAAGTCCAGTATTGTCCTGCCTGTTTTGTTGCATCCTTGCTGGGATAGACATCATCGTATTTATCTTTGTTCATTTTATAGGTAAAAGTGATTTCTCACTGTGGCTTTATTTTGCAGTCCTTTGATTCTTGAGCAGTTGCGCATTTTCCAAGTGCTTCTTAGTCATTCTTCTGTGAATTGTCTCAATAAGCATATTACTTTATAGTTATATTTTGTTCCTTACTTTATAGTTATATTTGGTTCCTTGAGGAGAAAGGCAGATCACTGAGCTTTTACAAATGCATAATTTCAGGACTAAATCTGGCAGGATCTGTCAGCCCTGCAGAGTGGGGCCCATGGGCCTTTGCTTAGCCCTTTCTCGTGGCCTGGGGGCTGCAGGGATGGTCTCGGCACTTCCACAAGAAGGCTGTAAGACAGCAGATTTGCAATAAGCCGCCCAGAATCTTGTTCTGGGTCTCTTCTTCGTGGCCCTTCACTCTGAGTGTATCATGTGCCTTTGTAACTGACTGGGACTTCAGCCCTTGACATGCAGATGGATTCAGGCTTATTTCCACAATTATGTTACCGGTCACCTACAGAAGGGAATAGAAACCGTCCACTGTCCTCGAATCGCCAGTGGCTTTGGGACATTCTTGGCAATGCTTCCTTCCGTTCTTGAAAGGCTATCTACTTTTTTCTCTCCCATCTTCCAACAAATCCCCCCTCCACAGTTTGTCCACCCAGTCAGCCCCATGAAGCTGAGGCTTGGCGATGACACTGGCACTCACCAGCAGCCCCGCCAGCCCACAGCTGCAGGCTGAGTCCCTGATGCTGAGTGCTTGACACCCAGGGTCCCATTTCCTGACCTCACTAAGAGGCCCCTCTCCTGTTAACCGAGCTTCGTCCTCAGACTCCAGGTGCTTTCCAGCATCTCACAGGCCCTTGAGCTCTCTCTCCTCTGCTAACTTCTGTGAGTCCTCTGCCTCTAAGGAATGGCTGCTTCCTGTAATCACAGTCTCTGTACAGTCATGCTTCAAACCCGCTAAACCTCTCTGAGCTGAGATCCTGCCTCCACTGACTCTGCCTAGAATATCCCCCCCGTGGGTATTAATATCCATCGTAACTAAGTCTAAGGTCACTGTTCCTTTGGGCCCTGGTGGACAGAAGGCTGGGCGTGTCTCAGATCAATCTCCCCTGCTGCTGTCATTGCTTTTGTGTCCTCAGCATAACCATTTTCCAGTGTGGACTGTGGAGTCTGCAGATTTGAGTATGAGTCTGCCCTACCACTTACTGGCTTTGGGACCATGAGCAAATTATTAACACTATCTTAGCCCCAAGTTTCATGATCTATAAATTGAGTCTAATAATATCTACCCCATAGGGTTATTGTGAGGATTAAATGAGACAATGCAGATAATGTGTTTCCTGCCATGCCTGGCACATAATAAGCATTCAGCAAATATTAGTGGTTGGTGTTGCCATTACTGCTGTTGTTGCTGTTTCTGAACAAGGCCAAGCTCTGGAGTAAGATATTCTGCAATTTGTGCAAAAGCTGCAGGTCACATTTAATTTACTTATATCCTTCCATTGCTTTTTGCCTACCGTATGTGAGTGATGGTACCAAAATGCTTCACGCATGCAGAAAACTCTCACAAAGTATTTTTTTAAAGGCTGGCTTTTTCAGTGAGCACAGCCCTGGCAAGGAACCAGACACCATTGGAGGAATAAGAGGGAGGTCTGTTTAAAGAAATATATGCCCGTGGATATCCTGGAAGTGAAGGCACTTCACCAGGCCCTAGAAGTACATGTGCGCGCGCACACACACACACACACACACACACACACACAGAAACTGGGAGCCACACCACTACCATGTGTCTGACCATTCTTTCCTTCTTGGTTTTAACACGACGCAGATGGTCAGAATGTAGTCATTGTTTTCCTTTCTTAAAATACTAACTTGGCTTTATGTAAAGCCTCATTAACTTGTAAGCTCTATTTTTTAAATCCCATTTTTTTAAATGAACAACATGAATAGTGAAGTGGGAAATTACTCACATGTATGGTCTTAAGTTCAAGACATTTCTGCATGAAAGGAGAAACGGAAGTGTCAAAGCTGGAGGGACCCAACACATCCTATTATATTTCAGGAAACAGGACCTTGCACTAAATATGATTACCAGGGCAAACTAAGCTCTGTAGAGATGAAAGGTTGTACTCCACAGAGCAGAGCCTAATCTTGGGATCCCAGGAGATTTGGAAGGACATTTGTTAGAATGTTTGGGAGGACAGATCTGTAAAAGCAGAAAGCAGAAGGGGATGGGGCAGCTGATTTCACAGGAGGCTCTGTGGGAGCCCGACATGCCTGCAAATGCTCTAGGGTTAGCACCCATTTAAACAGCCTCCTTGGCTTTGAGTCCTGTCAGCTTCAGGGGGAGAGAGAGCATCTTGTCTCTTCCTTTTTCTGTTTCTGAGGTTTCTTTCATTAGCAAGTGCTAATGAGGAGAACTTGCATTCCCAGGGATTATCGCAGGAGACAAAATACCAGCAGAAAAAGAAAGGAGGAGGAGAGTGGGGGTCCAGTGATATGTTACAACCACCAGAGCAATGGATCCAGCATCATTTTTGTGTGTGTGTGTGTGTGTGTGTGTATGTCTATCTTTTTCTCCCCAAATTCAGACCATGATAAGTTTGTGCAAATGGCCAATTTGAGTCCTGCACACCAGGCCCAGTCTAAACCTCTCATTTGGATTCAGAGATTGTCATGCTCAGAAAATGAGTTGTTCACATCCAGGCTTCGGGATGCTGCAGGAGGCTTGCTGAGTACATCACTGGATAACTTCAACGTGGACACCAGCAAGGAGGCTGGAGCAGATGGCATTGGGCGCAGGTGGGTGTGACACATTTGTTCTCTGGGCCGAAACCACCATGTGCTTGAGGCTCTGCAGTGATCTGTACTGCAGAAATTGTTTAAAAAATGTTAGATGTCTAAGAAAAGTATGTATTTATTGGGTAACTGTCAACCAATTCCACAGAGATTTACAGAAGGCCAGCTGTCGGGTAAGTCTATGTTAAACACTCTAGGGCACACATCCCGTTCCTTCTTCTATGATGCTCCCATCTTTTGATGAAGAAAGAACTAGATGATAATATGAAATTGGAGATGACAAATAAGTAAGTTGCATTAAGCCCCATTGGCCTTAACGCCAGCCAGGTGCTGTTCTGAGCGTGTGTACACATAAACTAACGTAAGTCTTACAGCTCTGTTAAGTATTTCTGCTGTTCTCATCACATCACAGAGAGGAAATCTAGGAGTTAGGATCTGAACACATGCAGCTGGCCCTAGAGTCAGACTCCTACCCTCTACACCATGCTACCTGTCCTTTTGATGGGTTGCTTATAATTTAAATTTGTATGTAAAAATAATGAGCTTACAAATGCAACTTTGCATGACAAAACAATTCATAAATGTAAAAATAGCTTAGGACTTGGATTACATTTACACTGCAATTTCTAGAAATAGCACAGATTCCCAGGCAGCATATGACCAATGAAGGAGCCATTTTTTGGAATGAGTTTTCCAGCTACTTCAGCAAGTAGGTTAAGGATGATTCATTTGAATTGAAAACCTATGTGTATCTCTATATTATCTATACCTGTATCTATATCCATAACTATCATCTTAAAGTAATGCTTAGAAAATTATTGCCCCCAATTCTGGTGATCCAAATGTGCACTGCTGTGCACCACAAACTAAATCAACAGTGGTGTGCAAAACTGTTTGGAGCATCTATTGCTGTGTAACAACTGACCCCAAAGCATAGCGGCTTAAAACAATGACCATTGTGTTATTCCATCTCACAATGAGCTGGATTAGAAATTCAGGCAGGACTCAGCTGGGGGATTCTTCTGCTCCATGTGGTGTTGACAGGGGTCCAACAGATGCTCAACCAGTCTAGAGGATCCAAGATGACTTTGCTCACAGGCTGGTTCCTTGGTGAGGATGGTTGGGATGCAGTGCTCACGGAGCCCCTCTCCCTCCATGAGTAGTCTCGACCCCTTTCCATGTGGGGTCTTCAGCAAGGTTCTGCATGGCAGGAGGGCTCCAAGAGCCCAAAAAGTAAGCTGCCAGTTCTCTTCAAATCTAGACCTGAAGCTAGCATTGGGTCACTCCTACCGTACTCTTGGTTAAAGTAATCACAGTTCAGCACAGATTCAAAGGGAGAAGAAATAGACTCCTCTTCTTGAGGTAGGACTATCCAAGAACTTGTGGGCAGCTTTCATCTGTCACTCAAACTAATGGCACCTTATAGTACTTCATCATTTAAAAGGCCGAAGAAGCCATGACTAGCTCAAGGCCATCTTAAGGATGTGTTGCCTGCAAAGCATCCTTCCTGAGGTCCGTGGCCCTTCCGGCGACTGGCCAGTGGTCACACACAGTAGGGGCTTTTCAGTGTTGCATGGTAGCTGGCCTTCTTGATAGAAAGCTGAATTCGACCCTCTGTAAAATCCAGCACAGCTCTAATGTTAGTTTACAAATGCCAAATTTTTATGACCCTTAATAACTCACATCAGAAGTTGCTCGTAACCCTTGGGTGAAAAGAGAAACCTAGTTGCTAGGCTTTTGAGTTCTTGGAAGACTCCCCCTATCCCACCCTCAAGAAGCACAGCTTGAGACAATGGTTTGGGTGTGGGTATGTTTTTGTGGAGGTGATGCCAGGAAGGAGTGAGTGGGAGAGTGAGTTGAGGAAGCAGACAAAGTGCTCACAGGGGTGGGAGTCACCAGGTAGCTGTTGAGAGCAACCAGGGTTCAGCTCCACAGAAGTATGCAGAAGGCCTCCTAGAACTGCAGGACAGGAGGCGAACACCATGTACTGGCTCCCACTTCCTTTTGGTTGAAGATTGGGAGGCATGGACTCTCTCATGCTTTTGGATAAGGTGGAAATATTGGGGGTGGAGGAGATGACTCCCAATATGGACAAGAATCTCTAGAGCAGAAAGAGGGCCACACCTGAGCTAGGATGCTCTCAGCATGAGCTGAGCCTAAGCTCCTCTGGAACCACCCCCAACAGCTGCAGTTGAAGTCTGTGGTGAGCCAAGGGCTGTGACAGTGATGCAGATGAGACATTTAGCGTTTCTGTCATGGTACAGAAGCCACTTTGCCAAGGACCCCTTCTGACAGGGTTCTGGATCAATCCCCGCATTATGGAAGTCCTTCACCAATACCTGCCCCCTTCTCTAGTGCTGTGTGACCTCAGGGAAGTTATTCAGCACCTTGGGCTTCAGTTTCCTCTTTCATTCAGTGGTGGTAATAGTCATGCCTCCCTACTGGGTGGCTGTGGGAGTTAAACCATGTTATAAGAGCTGAACATGGGCTGGTCTCAAACACAGTGTGAGGCTCCATGAACAGCGCCGCCATTTCCAAACAAGGGCACCAGGGAGGGCTGTGCGGGGAGTGTGGCATAAGGCCTTGACTGATGAGTAGGATCTGGTCCCCTTGAGAGGAAGTGGAGGAACACCATGAACGTGGGCCTCCTTAGCCTTCTTACTAGAAAAATGGATTGAGCACCTACTGTGTGCCAGCCCTGGGCCAGGTGAGGAGGATTCGGCAGTGAGCAGGACAGATGCCGCCCCTACCTCATGAGCTCACAGGCTGGTGGAGAGGTGGCTCACATGGGGTCTTTGTGGGAAGGAGCAGGTCAAGCTGCTGGCCTGAGCCTGGGCATTGACCACAGGTGGGAAGGCTGACATGTGGAGGCAGGACCCCCTCGCCAGTGGCATTCCTGAGTAGTAGTTTACACAACACCTCTTGGAACAGAGGTGCCGGTGGCTGCCTGCCCTGAGGTACAGTTCCTGGCTGCCCTCCCACCCCTGGAAACTGACCTCTGACTTCACATCACTGCTTCTCTGAAACCTTTCCCCACTGCCTCAGGTGTGGCTCCTCGCTGTCCCTGGCTCCAGTTAGGGCAGTGCCCTCTGTCCCTTCCACCCTGACACCCACATGCTTGTGTCTGCTGTTAAACATGGAACTTCTCCAGAATAGCACTGTGCCTGGTGCATCCTTAGTTCTGAAGCTGGCAGGGGAAGCTTTCAGTAAATGGATTTTTTAAAAGTTTGCATTTAAAAATGTTCTTAAATTGTGGTGAAATACACATGATATATCATCTACCATTCTAACCACTTGTAAATGTCCACTTCAGTAGCATGCAGTTCATTCATAACGTTGTGCTACCATCACCGAAGTCCATCCCCAGAGCTCTGTCCATCTTCCCAAACTGAAACTGCAAACATTCCATGTGACTCCCATTCCACCCACCTCAGCCCGGGCAACTGCCTCACTCCTTCTGGTCTATGAATGTGACTGACTGATAAGAGGTTCCTCGGATGAGCGGAATCATTCACATTTCGTCCTTTTGTGACTGACAGTGATTGGCTTTTAAGCACTAAAGGGTTGCATGTGTGGCCCAGATTACATAGGCCATAGAAATCTGGGCCCGGAAAAGCCCTTCCTTTTCCCTAAAAGCCACCAGAAGGCTGCCTCAGCCTCATGGCTCCTCTCAGACTGTGGGGATTTTGCCATCCTTTGAGTACATGAGCACCCTGTTGCTGCCTCTCCTCGGGCACTTTGACTGTCTCTAAGAGTCATGAAAAGCATCTGCCAGCATCCCACAGCAGGCTGGGGACTCCCAGAGGACGGGGCCAACCCTTATGCTCAGCGCCTTGGAGCCCAGGCCTGATACCTGGGGTTCTCAGTCATGTGGGTCAATTGTCCTGCAAGGCAAGCACAAACAGGAGCCAAGTTAGAGGGAGGCCTCACCTGTTGCCAGCCTCCAAAGCTGCGCTGTGCTGTACCCCACCACACTGCTACACTTCTCCCCCACCGCTGCTCCTGTTCTTTGCTTTCTGACTGCAGCCTCTTTGTACAGTGCCAAGCTCCCCGCAGAGAACCCCTGCCGTCACAGCTCCAAGGCAACAGGGGAAGGGTTCATGGGAAACTGTCCATGCCAGCGTCCCCTGCCATGGTCCAGTTGCTTAAAGCTGTAGGATGGCTGTGGGGCTCTGAGGGGTGGGGTCAGTCTGGGTAACCAGGGAAGCTGAATCTGCTCAGGTGTTTGGCCATCCAAGAGGCCCAGAGCTGGCTTTTTCCAGGGCTCTGAGACCCACAGATTTGCATCAATTGTTCCCTCTCACTCTAGACTTTGCTCACTTCTGAATGTCACTTACCTCTGTGCAGAGTGACCTTGGGGCTGGGGCAACATCTCCCTTGACTCATTATTCTGCTAGCCCCTAGTACATTCTTTATTTACTAGCATGCGGCACATTCCGTCAGGGCCAGTTGAATGCCTGCATGAATGCTTCTTATTCACAGCATGGTATGATCAGGCAGCACCCAACACAAGCGTATACAATGATCAAGCAGGTCAGTGACCCCGTGAAGCCCTTGAGCACATGGTGTGTGGAGGGTGTGGAGGGTGCCTGGCCCGGCTGAAGGCCTTCAGCTGAAAACAGGAGCAAACAACAAAACATCAACAACCACTAAGAGTGCTGGTGTTTGATGCCTATTTTCTCATTTCGGCTCCATTACAGCCTGAGAAGTAGGAATGTTATTCTTATTTTATGGTTGAAACATGGAGGTTTTGCAGGGCTGCATATCCTGCACATAGCAGGAAGCCCATATGAAGCTGAATAACCTCAGTGTCCCCTCTGACACAAAAAAATCCTAGAGCCATTCTTCCCAGTGCCCTCCTGTTAACTAGATCAGCTCTGAGGAGCTGCTGGATGACTGGACAAGGCCAGTCTGCCCTCTGCAGGCCACCAGACATACTCAGAAATGCCTCCTTGAGCCACCTTCTCTAACCTCATTGTCTTTTCCCCTGCAGCCCCTGCACTGGCCGGGAGCAGCTGAAGAGTGCCTGTGTGATTCAGAAGCCAACGGCCTGGGACTCTCTCTCTGGGCCACTTGTTCAGGGCATGCATGCAGGTACGGACCAGGCCACAGCCAGGTCTGGGGTAGAGGAAACCCTACACAGGAAGCTTGCTTAGAGTCTTTTACCACCACTTCATTTTGCTTCCCATGCAATGTTTGCAATCTTTTTGTTTTTTGAATTGTTTTCAAACGACATGTGGTTGGGAAGAGACATTTAGCTTTGGCTGGGTATGTGGATCTGAAATGCGTTAGCTCCGGTGAAGACAATCCCAGCACTCTTGTCCAGAAGGAACAATACCTGCTATGGAGGGCGTGTTCAGAAAAAGGCATCATTCACTGTAGATATGCTTCTTCATGCAGGCCAGCACATCACCTCCCAGTATTCACCAGAAAACACACACAGAGTAGACGGCAGTCCCTTCTGCCATGCATCCTCCTCGCCAGTTCTCCATTGAATGTAAGGACAAAGAGATCTGACATTCAATGAGCATTCAGCCTGGGGGTTGGATCAGTATATTAGTCCATTTTCATGCTGCTGATAAAAACATAACCAAGACTTGGAAGAAAAAGAGGTTTAATTGGACTTACAGTTCCACATGGCAGGGGAGGCCTCAGAATCATGATGGGAGGTGAAAGGCCCTTTTTAGATGAGGGCAACAAGAGAAAATGAGGGAGAAACAAAAGCAGAAACCCCTGATAAACCCGTCAGATCTCATGAGACTTCTTCACTATCACGAGAATAGCCTGGGAAAGACCAGCCCCATGATTCAATTTCCTCCCCCTTGGTCCCTTCCACAATATGTGGGAATTCTGGGAGATACAATTCATGTTGAGATTTGGGTGGGGATACAGCCAAACCGTATCAATTGGGAAAACTTTCAGGCAACTCTTTACCAGTAACTGTCTGCCAATTTCCGCCAAGGTCCTGCCGGGAGGGAGAGATGCAGAAGGATTGCAGTGTTGGGTCACCATTTGGGGATTTTCCTAAGTACGCTGCGACACACGCTGAAGTGCCCCACCCCAGGACTCCAGCTCTCTAGGAACAGCTTCAGGACTCTGTCTGGGGCTCCTCCATGATCCAAGCGGGGGGAAGACCCCAGGGCACACAGGCTGGGCTTCTGGCACCTCATCACCCCTGGTTATTTGAGGCTTGGGATGGGAAGGCTTTGCTGCTTGAGCTCTGTTTTAGCTTTCATTTTTGTTTTCACTATCAGCAAGTCTGACACATCTCTGCTCATCCTCTGTCTTGTCCTAAAACCAATGCAGAAAAAAATATCTACAGTAAGTCATATAGAAAAGAAGTACCATAGCCCACCCTCTTCTTGCCCCTGCTCTTTAAGCTGGAACTTGAGCAACATTGGGTGACACTCCAGAGAGGCTCATGCGAGTGTGTGTTCAGGGGTCGATTCCCAGCACTGCTGGGAGATTGAATGTGAACTACTTTCATTTTCAGGGATGTGTGAATGTGTGTGTGCATGTGTGTGAAATACTGTTCACTCTTTTTGTATGAGCTCCCAAATAATTGGGGGAAAAGCATAATGTGGTGCTCTGATTCCACCTCTAGGGTCACAGAATAATAGGAGGAAGAGCTTTACGGCTGAACCAGGCCGAGAAATAGTGCATGTGACACTGAAACGTGACCCACATCGTGGTTTTGGTAAGAGGGCTCCCTGCAGGTGAGGCCCAGTCTATACTGCTGGGCAAAGTGGGGAGGTGTGTGCTGTCTTCTCTTTCAACTTGTCTACGCCCCATTCCTACCCCGCCTCTCCCAGTTTGCCTTTTCTAGTAATCACTTCTGGTTGTTTTTTTTTTTTTTTTGGTAATTCCTTTAAGTGTCCCTAAAGAGCAATGAGACTTTTGTTTCAAAGTTTTTCTTTTAGGCCTGATACAATTTTGGGGTGCATCCGAGCACAATATAGAAAAAGATTATTTCCCCAATACCATGTAACAACTTGCCTCTAGTCAGAGATGGAGAGGAAGAGTCAGTTTTTCTCACCTCTTACTAGTGACCACCTCTAAGACCCTAAAAGTGTGTAAGAAACAAGGTATGGAGACAGGCACTTGATCAAAAGTCATTTCTTTCCCATGTCTCATTATCTACTGGAGCAAAATCCAGTACATATTGGTGGTTTGTGTTCCCAGCTTTAGCTGCGCTTACTAATGGGGAACAATCCACTTTTCTCCAAGTATCATGACAAAGTAGAAAGGATCCTCTATTTGAGGATCAGAAGACCTGGCCGTAACTATCAGCTAATGCCACTTGGTAGCTGTGTGATATCAGGGAAATAGCTTAACCTCTTTGAACAGCAGAATCACTAAGTATCATCTTATCATGGACTATCATCTTGGATTACAGGTTTTGTCATTAATGAGGGAGAGTATTCAGGCCAGGCTGACCCTGGTATTTTTATATCTTCTATTATACCTGGAGGACCAGCAGAAAAAGCGAAAACGATCAAACCGGGTACATCTTCTTTTTAAATCACAAGAGATACTGTTTTAAGAAACCACTCTTTTTTTATTTCCTCTGAAAGATGATTGAGATATTTTATTTTTCCAGGAGGGCAGATACTAGCCCTGAATCACATCAGTCTGGAGGGCTTCACGTTCAACATGGCTGTTAGGATGATCCAGAATTCCCCTGACAATATAGAATTAATCATTTCTCAGTCAAAAGGTATGTTTTAACTGCTCTCAGGAGCTGAAGAGCCTCCTCTGTTTTCAGGAGTACATGACTACTGTGAGGTACTAGACCTCGAAGTCCATGTAAGTCTTTTGTATTGCTTTCCTCATGGTATTGGTTTGCAAAGAAGCAGTGTAGTGGCACAAATCAACAAGCTTTGCAATTTCAGGGGCAGAATGGGTGTTGCCATCCATGTCTTGCTGAAAGGGAGTAACCTACTCTAATGCTTTGATAGACACAGCTGGATATGGCCACTTCTTTTTTTCTGTCAACTCTCCTTGCATGGCAGGGAGGACCTTTTTATTGACACCCAAAGTCCTTGTTGAAAGTGGCTTCTCTAGGGTTTCTATAGTTTGGGTTTAGGTATAGGAATCAGATGGGGAGGAGACAGGAACTGTTCTTTGTTAAACTGTTATTTTAGGTTCAGGGGTACACATGTAGGTTTGTAATTACAGGCAAACTCGTGTCACAGGGGTTGATGTACAGACCATTTCATCACCCAGGTGCTCAGCATAGTGCCCAATAGTTGTTTTTCTCGATCCTCTCCCTCTTCCCACCCTCCTCCCTCGAGTGGGCCCCAGTGTCTGTGGTTCCCCTCTTTGTGACCATGGGTTCTCATTATTTAGCTCCCACTTGTAAGTGAGAACATGTGGTATTTGGTTTTCCTTTTTTTTTTTTTTGAGACAGAGTCTCACTCTGTCACCCAGGTTGAAGTGCAGTGGCACGATCTTGGCTCTCTTGCAGAGTGTACCTCCCAGATTCAAGTGATTCTCCTGACTCAGCCTCCTGAGTAGCTGGGATTGCAGGTGTGCACCACCACACCCAACTAGTTTTGTATTTTTAGTAGAGACGAGGTTTTTCCATGTTGGCCAGGCTGGTCTTGAACTCCTGACCTCACATTATCCGCCTGCCTCTGCCTCCCAAGTTGCTGGGATTGAAGGTGTGAGCCACCTCGCCTGGCCTGTTCTTAAAGCTGAAATTGCATGGCAAGCATGCTGTTGTTACTTGATGAACATGTTCCTGATCAACCTAAGAGTAAAGTATATATATTTTTAAATTGTACTTTAGATTCTGGGGTATATGTGCAGATCATGCAAGATTGTTGCACGGTGCATTCATGGTAAGGTGGTTTATTGCCACCATTTCCCCATCACCTGTACCTGACATTTCTCCCCACATTATCCCTCCCCTCCCCTCCCTCCCACTACCCCTTTCCTAGACCCCCACAATGAACCTCAATGTGTGATGCCCCCCTCTTTGTGCCCAAGTGTTCTCATTGTTCAACACCCACCTATGAGTGAGAACATGTGGTGTTTGATTTTCTGTTCTTGTATCAGTTTGCTGAGAATGATGGTTTCCAGGTTCATCCATGTCCATACAAAGGACACAAACTCATCATTTTTTATAGCTGCATAGTATTCCGTGATGTATATGTGCCACATTTTATTTGTCCAGTCTATCATTGATGGACATTTGGGTTGGTTCCAGGTCTTTGCTATTGTAAACAGTGCTGCAATAAACGTGTGTGCATGTGTCTTTATAATAGAACGATTTATAGTCCTTTGGTTATAAACCCAGTAATGGAATCGCTGGGTCAAATGTAATTTCTATTTCTAGATCCTTGAGGAATTGCCACACTGTCTTCCACAATGGTTGAACTAATTTACACTCCCACCAACAGTGTAAAAGTGTTCCTATTTCTCCACATCCTCTCTAGCATCTGTTGTCTCCAGATTTTTTAATGATTGCCATTCTAACTGGTGTGAGATGGTATCTCAATGTGGTTTTGATTTGCATCTCTCTAATGACCAGTGATGATGAGCATTTTTTCATATGCTTGTTGGCTTCATATATGTCTTCTTTTGAAAAGTGTCTGTTAATATCCTTTGTCCACTTTTGGATGGATTTGTTTGTTTTTCTCTTGTGAATCTGTTTTAGTTCTTTGTAGATTCTGGATATTAGGATCCCTTTGTCGGATGGGTAGATTGCAAAAATTTTTTTCCATTCTGTGGGTTGCCGGTTTGCTCTAATGACTGTTTCTTTTGCTGTGCAGAAGCTCCGAAGTTTAATTAAGTCCCATTTGTCTATTTTGGCTTTTGTTGCCCTTACTTTTGGTGTTTTAATCATGAAGTCCTTGACTATGCCTGTGACCTGAATGATTTTGACTAGGTTTTCTTCTAGGGTTTTTCTGGTATTAGGTCTTATGTTTAAGTTCTTAATCCATCTGGAGTTAATTTTAGTGTAAGGTATCAGGAAGAGGTCCAGTTTCTGCTTTCTGCACATGGCTAGACAATTTTCCCAGCACCATTTATTAAACAGGGAATTCTTTTCCCATTGTTCGTTTTTGTCAAGTTTGTCAAAGATCAGATGGTTGTAGATGTGTGGTGTTGCTCCAGAGGACTCTGTTCTGTTCCGTTGGTCTATGTCTCTGTTTTGGTCAGTACCATGCTCTTTTGATTACTGTTGCCTTGTAGTATATCTTCAAATCCAGCAGCATGATGCTGCCAGCTTTATTCTTTTTGCTTAGGATTGTCTTGGCTATGCAGGCTCTTTTTTGGTTCCATATGAAGTTTAAAGTGGTTTTTTCCAGTTCTGTGAAGAAGGTCATTGGTAGTTTGATGGGGATAGCATTAAATCTATAAATTACTTTGGGCAGTATGGCCATTTTCACAATATTGATTCTTCCTAACCATGGGCATGGAATGTTTTTCCATCTTTTGTGTCCTCTCTTATTTCCTTGAGCATTGGTTTGTAGTTCTCCTAGAAGAGGTCCTTTACCTCTTTTGTTACTTGTATTCGTTGGTACTTTATTCTTCTTAGAGCAATTGTGATTGGGAGATTGCTCATGATTTGGCTCTCTGTTTTTCTGTTATTGGGGTATAGGAATGCTTGTGATTTCTGCACATTGATTTTTATCCTGAGACTTTTCTGAAGTTGCTTATCAGCTTAAGGAGAGTTTGGGTTGAGATGATTGGGTCTTCTAAATATACAGTCATGTCGTCTGTAAATAGAGAAAATTTGACTTCCTCCTTTCCTAACTGAATACCCTTTATTTCTTTTTCTTGCCTGATTACTCTGGCTAAAACTTCCAATATTATGTTGAATAAGAGTGGAAAGAGAGGGCATCCTTGTCTAGTGCCAGTACGATATTGGCAGTAGGTTTGTCATAAATGGCTTTTATTATTTTGTGATAGGTTCCATTGATATCTAGTTTATTGAGAGTTTTTAGTGTAAAGGGATGTTGAATTTTCTCAAAGGCCTTCTCTGCATCTATTGAGATAATCATGTGGTTTTTGTCTTTGGTTCTGTTTATGTGGTGAATTACGTTTATAGACTTGCACATGTTGAACCAGCCTTGCATCCCCAGGATAAAGCCTACTTGACCGTGATGGATAAGCTTTTTGATGTGCTGTTGCAATCGGTTTGCCAGTATTTTATTGAAGATTTTTGCATCTATGTTCATCATTATGGAGATTGGCCTGAAGTTTTCTTTTCTTGTTAAGTCTCTGCCAGGTTTTGGTATCAGGATGATGTTGGTCTCATAAAATGAGTTGCAGAGGTTTTCCTCTTTTTGTATTGTTTGGGATAGTTTCTGAATCATCGGTACCAGCTCCTTTCTCTATGCCTGGTAGAATTCAGCTGTGAACCCATCTGGACCTGGACTTTTTTTGGTTGGTAGGCTGTTAATTGCTGCCTCAACTTCAGCCCTTGTTAAGTCTATTCAGGGTTTCAACTTCTTGCTGGTTTAGTTTTGGTAGGATACAAGTGTCCATGAGTTTATCCATTTCTTCCAGATTTACTGGTTTATGTGCATAGAGTTGTTTGTAGTAATCTCTGATGGTAGTTTGTATTTCTGTGGGGTCAGTGGTGATATCTCCTTTATTTTTTTTTAATTTTTTGCATCTATTTGAGTCTTCTCTTTTTTCATTTTTATTAATCTGGGTAGTAGTCTGTCTATTTTGTTGATCTTTTCAAAAAACCAGCTCCTGGATTTATTGATTTTTTGAAGGGTTTTTTTGTGTCTCTATCTCCTTCAGTTCTGCTCTGATCTTAGTTATTTCTTGTCTTCTGCTAGGTTTTGAGTTTTTTGGATCTTGCTCCTCTAGCTCTTTCAATTTTGACAATAAGGTATCAATTTTGGATCTCTCCTTTCTTCTCATGTGGGCACTTATTGCTATATATTTTCCTCTAAAGACTGCTTTAAATGTGTCCCAGAGATTCTGGTATGATGTGTGTTCATTCTCATTGGTTTCGAAGAACTTATTTCTGCCTTCATTTCATTGTTTATCCAGTCAACATTCAAGAGCCAGTTGTTCAGTTTCCATGAAGCTGTGTGGTTCTGAGTTAGTTTCTGAATTCTGAGTTCTAATTTGATTGCCCTGTGGTCTGAGAGACTGTTATGATTTCCATTTTTTTGCATTTGCTCAGAAGTGATTTACTTCCAATTATGTGGTCAATTTTAGAGTAAGTGCTATGCGGTGCTGAGAAGAATGTATATTCTGTGGATTTGGGGTGGAAATTTCTGTAGATGTCTATTAGTTCTTCTTGTTCCAGTTCTGCGTTCAAGTCCTGTATATCCTTGTTAATTTTCTTCCTCGTCGATCTATCTAATGTTGACAGTGGAGTGTTAAAGTCTCCCACTATTATTGTGCAGGAGTCTAAGTCTCTCTGTAGGTCATTAAAAACTTGCTTTATGTATCCGGGCACTCCTGTATTGGGTGCATATATATTTAGGATAGTTAGCTCTTCTTGTTGCATTGATCTTTTCACCATTATGTAGTGTCCTTCTTTGTCTCTTTTGATCTTTGTTGGTTTGAAGTCCATTTTATCAGAGACTAAAATTGCAACCCCTGCTTTTGTTTGCACTCTATTTGCTTGGTAGATCTTCTTCCATCCCTTTATTTTGAGTCTATGTGTGTCTTTGCATGTGAGATGGGTCTCCTTAATACAGCACACAGATGGGTTTTGACTTTTTACCCAGTTTGCCAGTCTGTGTCTTTTGATTGGGGCATTTAGGCCATTTACATTTAACGTTAATATTGTTATGTGTAAATTTGATCTTGCCATTTTGTTACTGGTTGGTTGTTTTGCCCATTGGTTGACGCAGTTTCCTCATTGCATCATTGGTCTTTACCATTTAGTTCGTTTTTGCAGTGGCTGGTATTGGATGTTTTTTTCTGTGTTTAGTGCTTCCTTCAGGAGCTCTTGCAGGGCAGGTCTGGTGGCAACAAAATCTCTCAGTAATTGCTTGTCTGTAAAGGATTTTATTTCTCCTTCACTTGTGAAGCTTAGTTTGGCTGGATATGAAATTCTGGGTTGAAAGTTCTTTTCTTTAAGGATGTTGACTATTGATCCCCACTCTCTTCTGGCTTGTAGGGTTTCTGCCAAGAGATCCGTTATGAGTCTGATGGGCTTTCCTTTGTGGGTAACCCAACCTTTCTCTCTAGCTGCCCTTAGTATTTTTTTCCTTTATTTCAACCCTGGTGAATCTGATGATTATGTGCCTTGGGGTTGCTCTTCTTGAGGAGTATCTCTGTGGTGTTCTTTGTATTTCTTGTATTTGAATGTTGGCCTGCTTTGTTGGGGAAGTTCTCCTGAATACTATCCTGAAGAGTGTTTTCCAGCTTGGATTCATTTTCCCCGTCCTCTTCAGGTACACCGATCAAATGTAGATTAGGTCTCTTCACATAATCCCATATTTCTTGGAGGCTTTGTTCATTTCTTTTCACTCTTTTCTCTCTTTTTTTGCCTTCTCTTTTTATTTCATTGAGTTGATCTTCAATCTCTGATATCCTTTCTTCTGCTTGATCGATTCAGCTATTGAAACTTGCGTATGCTTCACAAAGTTCTCATGCTGTGTTTTTCAGCTCCATCAAATCGTTTATGTTCTTCTCTAGGCTGGTTATTCTAGTTAGCATTTTATCTAATATTTTTTCAACATTCTTAGTTTCTTTGCATTGGGTTAAAACATATTCTTTTAGCTCAGGGAAGTTTGTTATTACCCATCTTTTGAAGCCTGCTTCTGTCTGCTTGTCAAAATCGTTTTCTGACCTGTTTTGTTGCCATGATAGTGAGTTGTTGTGATCTCTCTGCGGGGGAGAGGCATTCTGGACTTTGATGTTTTCATCATTTTTGCACTGGTTTCTTCCCATCTTCTCTGAGTGGACATTCTTTCTGTTAAAGTTGGGGTTATTTCTTCTGTATGAGACTTTTATTTTTTCTTAAACACAGTTGTCAGTGTGCCACTTAAGACAGTCTGTCCATTGCCTGTCTGTGGAGGCAGAGAATGCTGCCTCATTCTCAGCCAGGCTGCTGTTTATTCTTTGTCTGATTTCCATACTGGTGGGGTTAGCCCCGTCTTCCCAATGGGGGGCTCTTTCCCTCTGCCGAGCCTGCCGTTCCCAGGTGGAGGATGTGTTAACTGTGAAACTCTCCTGGGAGAGGGACTCCAGTTGCTGGATCTTGTGGGGGAGGGGCCTGTCTGGTTGTATCCCCCTCCCCGCTTCCAACTCTCCCTTCTGTGGGATGGGCACTTGCTTTTCACAAGCTTTCTTGGTATTAGTCCAAATCTCTGCCCTGGTCTGTGCTAACAAGGCACCAGTCTGTCTGGGGCTGCTGGCCTGGGCTGTTGCCCGGGTCTGTGACTCCAGGTGGTTGTCAGCAAGTCAGCATTTTCCTGGTCTGTTTACTGCCGAAGTCTTGGACTAAATTGCTGTATCTGATTCTGAGAACTGAGGGGGTGATGCCCTCCAGATCGTCTGTGCCTGATACACTTTCCAGGTGGGGCAGTGACCTGCCTTGCTTTGGCTGGATGCCTTTGGGTTGCTTTCACTGCCTTTTTTGGGGGTTAATCCAGCTGTTCAAATAGTCCCTTTAAAACAAAACCAGTACCTAGCTCAGAGACGCAGATATTGCTCTGGTTCACTCTGGATAAGCTTCCTTTTGGCCATCTTCCCCCGGAGTAAAGCATTTTTTAAATGATGCTTTTCTTCATTCTTTGGATAAGAATGAGAGAGCAACAACGGCCTATATCAAAGGATAATATTGTTATTTTTGTCTGGAGCAAGTTTGAGGGGCTTGGAGGAAGTAATGGGGGAGGCTAACATCCCTTTTCCCTAGTTTTCTGGGACCACTGCTGCTTTTTGGTTGAGTAATCCTGTAAATTAACAGCAGACTTCCTGCAACTTCAGGCTCACGATTGCTTCCTCCCCTCCAGGGGCATTGCACAGTTTCCCCTTATATATAGCAAGACTTCCTGTCATACCAGCCAGCATTGTCTAGGTCCTAAATGTAGGCACTGCATTTGCCTTGCCTTCTGAACACCATGCACACTCTCTTACTCTTGTACATGTACACAATGCCACACAGCTCCCATGTCCAGAAGCCACGGAAGGTGGAAGGTGGCCATGCTGGGGTTTCAGCTGCACACCCTTTATCCCATGGTTGGAGCCTTCCCAGGGGCTGGCCTCAGAACATCCCTGGTGCCAGTCTCTGGCTTGCTGTCTCTGTCAGATTTCCCAGCGCCACTGCTCTCCTTTCTGTGGTGGTTCAGCAATCCCTGTGTTTTCTTCCATATCCTCCACTGACAGGAGCAGTCAAACCCTCCCATACATTGTCAGGAAACACAATGCAGGCGACTGAATCACAATTCAGCATAGTCCAAGGATGGCCTGCTGCGATGGGAGTTGTCAAAAAGTGGCACTCAAGGTCTACTATTCTCAAACCACAACCTCACATTAGAATTCCAGACAATGGGTTTCCCACAATGGCTGGGAATAAAATGCCCTTTCACTGTGGGGCCCCAGCCATCTGTTGGCAATGCTGCCTCCATCATGGTGGGGTTTCCTCATGCAGCTGCCAGCCAGAGGAAGACGTCTCTGTGGTGATGCTGGCTGGGTCTTTGTGGCAGAGACTTGACTACCTTGATTGTCTTCTATTTGGCTGGGTTGCTGTTAAGGCAGCTGGGCTGGATTGGAGGTCAGGATCAGACAGATAAAATGGTCATGATGAGCATCTGTCGTGGTCTACAATATAAACTGAGTTTTAGTTACCTAAAGAAGGTCTCGCAGCTCATGTCTACCTGGCAAGACACCATTGCCACATGGCTTGACTTTTCAATTCTATCCTATCCCATCCTCGCCTCTCATGGAGGATGTGGAAGAGAATGAGCCGATGCTAACGATACTGCCAGAAGGACAATGATGGCCGAATATGTAAATGAAATGGCCAGAAATACAGTATTACGAAACAGTGGCCCTGCCACTTCCTGCTGGATAGCTTAGATTTGAAGAACTTCAAATCAAATTCAACAAATCAAATTTATTCAAATTGAATTCATTCAGCATGTGAGTTTGGGCACTCTCCTGAGTGGTAACGAGTATATCAAAAGTAGTAAATCTACTTGTATCCAGGTCTAAAGAAAATCTAACTGTTATGCATTCCTCCCACATATATTTGTTGAGCAGCTAATAATAACATATTAACAGTAGACGCATTTATTGAGGGTCTGCCATGTACTAAGCTGTGCATACATGCATGTGTGTGTGTGTGTGTGTGAGCCATATATATATATATATGACAGAATATATATTCTCTCATATATGCATGTATATATATATATTTTATCTTTCTTTTCATATGTAAAATATTTTCTCTCTACATAATCTCTAAGCCTCATTAATTCTACAATATTGATATTATCTCTACTTTAGATACAGGAAAATTGAGGTTGAGATATGTTAAGTACCTTGCCCAAAGTTTTTCTACTGATTCACAACCTCATGTTCTTTTCTTTGTTTTATGCCAGGTCAAGAGTCAGACACAGGTAAGCAGGAGTCAGTGTCCCAGCCTTTGCTCACCGGGGTCTGCAGTCTGGTTATTACCAAGCCTCCCAAAAGAACCTGATATGTTGCCCATGCCTTGGTTTTTGGATCACATGGTGATTGCAGATGTGCTCAGTGAGGTCTCCAGGAGAGGCTGTGTTTAAGGCACTGCCCACATGCTGGCTGTAGGATTTGGGGCAAGATACTTAATCGTTTTGACTCTGTTTTCTCATGTTTGAACTGGATTACACCTCCTGGTGGGTCTGCTGAGAAGATGGGAAGATGTCTGTATCTTCCTGTGTATGTACATCTAAGGTGTCTGTCACATGGCCAGAGCTTAATAAGGGAAAGCTGGCCTTATGAACTTGTTTTGAGCCTGTGCATTCATAGTTGGGTCACTTAAGCTCTATCTAGGTTTCTAAATCACATGTAGAATCTTCCCTTTCTCTAATGTAAATGCAACATCTTTCAGGAGGAGCTAAATTCACGTTGTTCCCGAGCAGCTATAAAAGACCTCTTGGCCACTGGAGGAAAACTCTGTGCCCACATAGGGATGCCACCTAGAAGCCAGCCTTTTTAAGCTGTTGACTTTTTCTTGCCCTGTTTTTATAGGTGTTTGCGGAAATGCCCAAAATGAAGAAAAGAATAGCACAGCCAATTCTGGGGTCTCCTCTACAGACATCCTGAGCTTCGGGTACCAGGGAAGTTTGTCACACACAGAAAACCAGGACAGAAATATTGAAGAACTAGACATGGTTGGGGCACAGAGCTTAGTGCCCAGGTTGAGACATCAGCTCTCTTTTCTGCCGTTAAAGGTAATCATGCTTGGTTCAGTTTCTATATCTGGAGGAAACAGAACAGGCTGTGGAGCCCAACAGCCTGGCCCCCAGGCCATTCCTGCTCTCTGTCTGCCATGTCAGGTGGATGGAAGTTACTTGGACCCTTTGAACCACAGCTTCCTCATCTGCAAGTGGAAGCAAAAGCCTGCATGGCATGGTTGTTGAGAAAAATGTACAGGAGAAGGCAGAATTCCTAGGGCAGTGCCTGGGTGCAGGCTCTGTGTGGACACCTATGGAGTCCTTAATCATTAATTATAATTGTTATGGTAATAGCAACATGAGGAAGTTGATTGCTGCCAATGGCGAGGCATGGGCAATCAGGCACCGCCTATTCTTGTCCTCAAATTGGTCCTCAAGCTGGGAACTCAGTGGCTTTGCTCTTGACCATACCCCGTGGAGGAAGAGGATGGGACCTGGTGTAGGTGTATGGAGGGCTGTGTGCTCCAGTTCCAGCTCTGCCGTCCTTTGCCATCTCTTTGGACTCTAGGTGGTATTGTCTCCTTAGGCCCCTCCAAATCCATGCCCCAGCCTCTCCATTCCGCTCTGGGCCCTGCACAGCTGGTGCTCATGGACTGAGTCAGCTTCTGTTTTCTGCTTTGCTCTGCCCAGGAGAAGCCTTGAGAGGACCCTGCAGTGGTGAATGAGTGAGGGCAGGGTGGCAGTGCTGGGGTCTCAGCAGCACACCCTTCATCCTACTCTCTCCCTATGCTGACACAGATTGGCTGTGTCTCTCTATGAAGAGCACAGCTCCTATCAGGGCCCATCAACCACTCCCTTCTCTCGCCCCTCAGGCTCAGGGGTGGTCACAGCACCCAGTGTCTCCAGCCCAAGGTGCTGAGCTGTTATTAATGGTTTCTCCAAAGGCTGCCAAGACCTTTGAAAACAGGTCTTCCATGACCTCTCCTCTCTCACTCAGGCTGAGTGCATGCCCTTCTCATTCTCGCTGGGACAACTTGCCGGTTGAAACAGGCAGGTTATTGCACCCTTTTCAACCTCATTTCTCTTTTTATGTCAGAGGTAATAATGCCTGTCCTCAGTTATGGGAACTAAGGTGCTGTGCCCAGTGTCAGGGAGGAAACATTTATTTTTCTTCTACTCATCTTACCTTCGTCAGCTGAGGCCCCGTAACAGAAGACGGATTGAGAGGAAAGCATGCACATGTATTTACCATAAGTTTTAGGTAACATGTGAGCCTTCATATGGAAATGAAGATCTGAAGAAACGGGTCTCCCTGAGTATGTTTTATAGTGGGCTTAATGAAGAATGGAGAGTCGTGGAGAAATGAGATAAGACAAAAAGCAGGATTATGTAGGCTGGGGAGCACTCAGCGAGGCCTGCTTGTTCATATTCCTCTCTGAGTCCCTGTGTCTTCCCAGATAAGATGCTCCATTGTTCCGGATGTAGGGAGGGTGTTCTCCCTTGAGGGTCTTATGCCCTGCTTCAGGGGAAGGTTAGAAAACCTTCCTAGGTTTTAGGGCCTGCTTCAAAGGAGAAGGGCAGGGAAAGGTCGGAAAAACCTTCCTGCACACGCTGTTTCTCCAATTCCCTCAATGTGCCAAGGTGCCCTATTTTGAGGTAGTGTGTCTTGACCCCTATCACAAGGGTCTGGCATGCGATAGGTCACCATGAATGTCAGTGCCTTCCTAGTTGGCCATGGTGCTCACCTGGACAGCACATCCCATGAAGAATTGGTTGCAGGAGGTCGGTGGAAGAACAGTGATAGTAGCTGCCATTAACTGAGTGCTTATCTGTGTGCCACGTAGTGTCCTGAGCACTTTGTATGTGTTAGCTCATGGAAGCTTCATGGTGACCCAATGAGATCATTCTTATTATCAACCCCTTTTATAGGTGGGAGACCTGAGGCACAGAGAGCAAAGCAGCACACCCAAGCTCTCTCAGAGGGCAGGTGACAGAGCCGAGACTGGAATCCAAGGGACTGGCCTCCAGAACCATAACCTTCACCCCAGGCCTTCCTCTGGGAGGTCCTCTGTGGCAGAAAGCAGGGCAGAGAGGCCTTCAGGCTGGGACTTCTTTGGTGGCAAACCTGCGAGTTGGTTTCCGGGGCTGGGAACAGTTGAGGGGAACAAGGGAGCTCTAAGACCATGTTCATGATGCAGGTTGTTGGACCCAACCCAGACAGCGCAGGTTCTTCCGGGTCACATGGCCAGCTTTGTGGCCAGATCACTCTGTGCGGCATGGTGGAGTTTACATTTTTACTTCAGATCTCACCCTCAGCAGTTGTTTTGTTCCTTGAATTTTAAAATTTAGACAAAATATCTTACCATCCATGGGGTGCGGAAGGTCTCTGAAAGAATCAGGGCTTCATTGTACAGCTTCCTCCAGCTTGTTTATTTTCCTGTGTGTTACTAGAATCTTCTGACATGCATGGTGATTAGAAAGCACTAAGTAAAGGGAGCAGATAGGACAAAAGATCCCATCTTTTAGGCATAGGGACAGCAGAACATGAACAGTGACCCAAACCTTCTGCCTAGAAATGGTGTCAGCCCAGCCCAGCACTCCCTCATGTTCCTCTTGCCTTGTCTGAGGTCACATGGAGAAGTCCTGACAAAGTTGGAAATGAATCCCCTGCTGGTCTAGTCCAAAGCCCAAGCTCTTCCTGAGGTACAATGCTGCCTATTCCTGAGAGCAGGTGAGAGCTAAGAGATGCCATCTGCCTTCATCTCTTCTTTATTTTTGTTTGTTTATGGCAGGGTTCTGGTTCTTCTTGCCCTCTGTCACCTCCAGAAATCAGTGCTGGTGAAATCTACTTTGTGGAACTAGTTAAAGAAGATGGGACACTTGGATTCAGCGTGACTGTAAGAGTTTTTAGGACAGCTTGAAAAGCAGTTAATAAGGTGTCCCTCCAGAGCCTGGGTGAACATTCCACTCAAATGGCAGCCTCTGACAGTGTGCCCAGCAAAGTGTGCACAAGTGCAAGGGGTAATAAAGAAAGTCAGTGGGGCCTGCATTGGGGGATGAGTTCAGAGACAAACAGAGAGTGAGTAGCCTCAGGCTGGGCAGGGCGTGCTCTAGGGAACTCCAACCACATGGGGATGCAGTGTGGGCAGAGTTGGGCGATGTGTCCTGCCTCTGAGGTCAAGCTGGACTGCAGAGAGAGGGAAGCAGAGTGGGGCTTCAGCGACACAAGCTAAAGGGGAGAGGGGCAGTCCACTGTCATCTGGCCAAGGATGGTTGGGGCAGTCCACTGTCATCCAGCACAGAATCAGTGTAGAGTCTTTTGCTCAGACCTCCCAGGGCCAGACCTCCATCAGAACTGGCATTTTGCATTTGGTTTCTGAGTTCTACCTGGCAGACCCTTGTGGAGGGAGATCACCTGTGTAACTGTGATTAACCAAGAAGTTGGGGAATGGCACACACAAAGCTGGTGAAAATCCAGTGGGAAGTTGGAAGGTATTGCTTTTATTACTGAGCATTGAAAGTGATCCATTCCCTTGAGACCCTGGAATGGGTCTAGATTTCAGAAATGTCACTGTTGAATTTAATTGTTGATGAGAAATAGAATGGCACCTCCCATCAAAGTAAGGAAATGCTATGGCTGAGTAAAAGTTCCAGAGGAAATTCAAGACATATGTGGATGGAGGGCATCCTTTGCTTTCCCCTGTGATAATGCTGTCACCTAGAGCAAGGATATATGTTTTGCTGGACCCTAAGCTTACAATGGAACTTGTCATCATTAGATAATTTTAAGGGACCAAGTAAGAAACCAAGCAGTAAGGCTCATGAATCCACGTAGAGTGAACAGGCTGATACCAAATATGGTCAATTTATTCTTGGCTTGGGGTAACAGCCTTATCAGACACCAAATATAGCTATTTCTCATCCAAAAAGCTCACTAAGTTTTGGGTAATTCACAAATATATATTTGCTGAGAAGAGGTTGGTGGTTTCCTTTGGCTGGCAAAAACTTGGATTTTCTTTGCATATATTTAATTTCAAAAATAATTTCTGAAATGTCTCACTCAAGTCCAAATGGCCATTTAACACATGAAAAACACTCAAACCCAGGAAAAGCCACAGGAATACAAATTAAATTAAAATGAAATTTTAAACTTTATATCCACCAGCTTGGCCAAATATAACTGGTGGAACGTAGAAAAAATGGTAACTGTCATACAAAGCTGGTAGAAATGTGAGTGAGTATGTCCATATTCACATAGGAATGCCATCTGGCAACATCTATGATAATGAAAAATGCACATATCCTTTGGCCCATCAAAGCACACAAGACGTGCCAGGCACAAGCCTTCAGGCCTGGAGTCGTATCCATCTACATTGGTCGCTACCTACAGAGAGATAGTGGTGCATCCCATGTGACCAGTTGCTGAGCATCTGGCATGTATCAGTGCTTGGGCTGGGGACATGCCCAGATCTCTCACTTAGCTTCTATTGTTAAGCATATGAACACCTAATCTTACTACTCTGTGGAGAATACAATCTAAACAAACGAATGAATACAGAAGACAGTGCCAGTTGGAGGTGAGGTCATGGGATAGAGTGGTGGGTAACTGGGGACTCCCTTAGCTGGGGAGCTTGGGGAGGCTTCGGGAGGAGGACAGATGGGTGGTGAGTTTTTCATTGTGTTTTTCAGGGTGGCATTAACACTAGTGTGCCCTATGGTGGTATATATGTGAAATCCATTGTTCCTGGAGGACCAGCTGCCAAGGAAGGGCAGATCCTGCAGGGTGAGAGATGGGGTCACATTGGGAGCTCTGGGCTCTGTGATGAAAAGAGCCCCGGACTGGGAGGGGCAGCCTCCAGGCCTTGCCCTGCTCCTTTTCTGAAATCTCGTGCAAATGATTGCCTCTCCAGGTCATGCTTTCCTCACCTGAAATGGGGGTGATAGAACTTGCCCAGCCCATCTGATAGGTTGGAGGGTCTGCAGCGGCCCTCTGGGAAGCATAGGTGATAGAAAAATAGTAGAAGCCTTTAAAGACTTGTATTGTTCTTTGGCCTTCATAGGAGAACATCCTGCTTCCCTTGGAGGATAAGTGGGCCTCGGTAACCCTACTCTAACATCCGGGGAGGACACCTGAGCCTTCTCTCTGCCCTTGCTCAGCTCCCACTGCCCTGATGGAAGGGGATGATTTTTATTGGTCTCCAAAACTGCCAGAACTGAGCCAAAAGGAGAACCTAGGATCTTACTTATCTCCATCTCTTCTGGAATTCTGGTGTCCCCAGCATCAACCATGTCTCCCTGACCTTTTTTTGAAATTAAAAAAAAATACACCCTGGAGATATAGATATCTAAGCGACTTGAAAATACTTTCAAAAAGGGTTTCACAGGAAAACAGGAGGAAGGAGAAGGTTGAACAGAGCTGGCTCAACCGTTCTGTGAGCCAATAATAGAAAGGCTTTTATATCCCTGATCTGTGATGTGCCTGAGAAGGAGGGAGCGAGGCTGCTCAGAGAGGCAGGATTCCTGCTGACTCCAGGGGGATGCCTGGCACCTCTGCTTCCTGTCCCGCTTCTCCAGGCTGCATGGAGGGGCAGCAGATAGTGGCCTCATGGAAGGGAACTTTCTGCAGCCCCAGGTGCCAGGTCATGACATCACATCCATTTCTTTCCCAGGTGACCGGCTCCTGCAGGTGGATGGAGTGAGTCTGTGCGGCCTCACCCACAAGCAGGCTGTGCAGTGCCTAAAGGGGCCTGGGCAGGTGAGTGGACCATTACTGATCAGCTTTCCTTCATTCTGGAGCTTTCCTGGACAACGTCAGAAGCTGAAATTGCCTCTGGGTGGGAGGGGGGCAGGCAGGAAACAAAACTTTTTCTTTTTTTTTCTTTTTTGAGACGGAGTTTCGCTCTTGTTACCCAGGCTGGAGTGCAATGGCGCAATCTCGGTTCACCGCAATCTCCGCCTCCTGGGTTCAGGCAATTCTCCTGCCTCAGCCTCCCAAGTAGCTGGGATTACAGGCACGTGCCACCGTGCCCAGCTAATTTTTTGTATTTTTAGTAGAGACGGGGTTTCACCATGTTGACCAGGATGGTCTCGATCTCTTGACCTCGTGATCCACCCGCCTCGGCCTCCCAAAGTGCTGGGATTACAGGTGTGAGCCACTGCGCCCAGCCAAGACTTTTTCTTTGTTAGTTTTTTTTCTCTTCTATTTCTTCTGCTTACTCTCACTTTTCTATAGGGATGTGAAAGCCAGGAGATAGCAGACAGATGTTGCCAAGTAAAAAAAACTCACCCCTGTAGACAGCCTTAGAAACTTACTGGTGGCTTGCCTGGATTCTGAGAATCAGACAGCAGAACAGAGAAGATAGAGTGAAGCGACTGCTCCAGCCTGGCTCTGTCTGCCCCAGCCCTGCTAGCCCTGTGTCCATGGGCTCTTGGGCCTTCTTACCTCCTTACCTTTGATAGGATGACCCCACTCTGCTCCCTGTTCATGCAATTCCCCCTGACCCTGTGTGGTACCCACCAAGGCCTGGGTCAGAATACTCTGGGATTCTTTTCCTCACAATGAGGTAGGAATTCAGGATGCCAAGAGCAGAGCCATTCATCCTTTGTGTCCCCTTTATTCCCTGCCTCACGGTAACTCAATGTTACCCTACTGTGTCAAGTCCTCTGCCTGAGGGTAGGAGCTCTAATTGTCCTAGTGTTCTGGGCCACAGAGCTGGCATCATCCTCTCTTGGCAACTAAAGAGTCAACAGAGACAGGAAGGATTCCCGAGGGACCTTCCAGCAAGCTGTGGGGCAGGGTTCTGGCCACTTTTTGCTTTCTTTCCCAAAGTGGTCTTCTGGTGTCTGGTGACATTTGCTTATATTAGTGACTTTGGTTGACCTATCTTGAGAACAGAGGCAGGTGTGCAGGCAGGGTCCAGTGAGCCAAGGTAACTGGAACTTGCCACAGCCCAGCGGGACACTGGCAGTGAGAGAGGGGGTAGCGGAGGGGTGCGGGGGGTACTGGGGAGTTGTGCCTGATGGGGAATGTTCACGTCTTAGAAACCTGATCAGGGAGAGCTGGACCACTCCAAGTGTGGCCCCTGGCTGGTTAATGGAGGGGGTGTTCCCTGTCCTGAGGGAGCCAATTCAAGGGGAGGAGTGTTTTAGAAGGAAGGAGGAGGGGAAGTGAGGGTGAGTGAGGGAGGAAGATGAGTGCGGCACTGTGTATGTGAAGTGCAGGTACCTGTGTGCTTCCGGTGCACTTGTCTAATAAGCACTGAGAAATCGGGGTCTGGATCCCACTGCATAGGCTAGTAGAGAGATTCCAATGAGACTGCATAGAGGAAACATCCCATAATTAAGAAGCATTTGCAGTCAAGGGAGTGCCTCCTGGTTGCCATATGAAGTGTAACCTGAGTTTGTCCACCCTTCCTTCTAGGTTGCAAGACTGGTGTTAGAGAGAAGAGGCCCCAGGACTACACAGCAGTGTCCTTCTGCTAATGACAGCATGGGAGATGAACACACGGCTGTTTCCTTGGTAACAGCCTTGCCTGGCAGACCTTCGAGCTGTGTCTCGGTGACAGATGGTGAGAGGAGAGAGAATTGAGTGTTACTATTGTCATGTTATTGTGTGCTGTTTTTGAATGGTCGGGTCAAAAGGGAAAGGTAGGAAGGCTTCCTCTGGGTTCTGAAAGGAAAGTGAGCCGGGGGGATCATGCTGAGATCGGCTTTCTCATGGAAGTCCATCTCATGGAATGGGTTTCTGGAAACAAATACATTTTCCCAAAATGATTTCCAGGCATCGTTTTGCCGCCAGCTTTCCTCAGTCCTCTGATCAGCCGCCAGAATGTTAATGTTTGTGTGAGTATTTAGGATGAAATTGAGTGAAAGGGTCATACATTTTCAGATATATTTGGCTTCACAGTCCAGCCTAGTCATTTATAATAAGGTCATCTGAGGAATGACTAGGCAGGTTGGGAGAGGAACATTCAGGAATCTAGCCTTGTTATTAGCATCATATTAAAAAACAAATGCACAGTCAGTTTAGAGGGATGTAACTGCATGTTTTCTGATGGGTTGCACCTCTGCACTTCCCTTGTGATTTTGGTATTTGCCAGGAACACATTTATTTCCTCAGTAAGAATGCTGTGGACCTTAGCCATGTTTTAGTTCCTTTATCGAGATTTTCTGGTTTTGCTGCAGAAGATGCAAAGCAGATTGAATGCAAGGCAGCCATAGGGTTGGGGTGGGGCAAAGGGGGAACACTTCTGCTTAAATGAAGTCTCCTCTGTCCTTACCCCTTTGCTCACTCCCATGGGGCCTTTGAGAAGCTGACTCCAATTAGCGGAGGAGGCTTTATGGCGATGGTAGAACTGGTCATGCGACACACCTTCACATAACTGCTTCACATGCTTCCACTCTTGCCCTGGTGAAAGTTTGCAGGTCTGTGCTCTGTCCCTCTGTGCATTGATGCCAGCTGGGTTGCTGGCATCACAGAGGTAGTCCAGAGGCCTCTTTGGTGGACAGACCATGTATGTGGCCAGGTATGTTCATCCTTGGTGCCCGGAGGCAACTGTTTTGTCTTATGGTCAGCCTACATGGGTAAACAAAATGGCAGCTAAAGCACTGTCCATAGAGTTGGCCATGATTTTCTCCATGGTCGAATTAGGCAAAATTTAGTTTCAAGCATACTACAAAATGACTAAGGTTCTAAAGGAGTGATAGGAATATATGTGATACAAGTTTTAACTAAATGCCAAGAGCATGTTTTATATGCCGATCAACTGTGTCTTTATGTATAAGGATAGTTGAGCTATCTGTAATTGTGCTCTTCAGTGTGGTAGCCACTTGCCACATGAGGCTATTGAGGACTTGAAATGCAACCAATCTAAATGGATAAAATATATATTGGATTTTGAAGGCTTAGTTTGTAAGAATAAAAAATATCTCATTAATAATTTTTTCATATTGATGACATGTTGAAGTAGCCATATTTTAGATATATGGGGTTAAATAATATTATAGTGTATTTGATCTGTTTCCTTTTACTTTTTAAACTGTTTTATTTTTTTTTTGTTTGCTGTTTTATTTTAATGTAGCTATTTGAGAACTTCAAAATGGCATTTGTCGTTTGTATTTATAACTCACATTATATTTCATTAGACAGTACTAATATTGGACATACATAATGTCCTCTGTCATAAAAATTAGCAAAAGAATTATTTTAATGTAAAAGAAACAATCCATCTACTTGATAATTTGCATTTTGAAGCAGGTCAATTTCACTTGTAATCTACTGAAGAATTTGTTTTTATCAACGTCCCACACTGCAGGTCTTAAGTTTGAAGTCAAACTGAAAAAGAATGCCAATGGTTTGGGATTCAGTTTTGTGCACCTGGAGAAAGAGTGCTTCAGCCACCTCAAGAGTGATCTTGTGAGGATCAAGAGGCTATTTCCAGGGCAGCCAGCTGAGGAGAATGGGGCCATCGCAGCTGGTGACATTATCCTGGCCGTGAATGGAAGGTCCACGGAAGGCCTCATCTTCCAGGTGCTGGGGGCACGGGCAGTGCAGCTCTGTGTGCAGGCTGGCCCCAGCTGTGCCTCTTGCTGGCCTGCTGCCATAGGGAAAACTCTGGGCTCTCGAAAATCATACCAGCAGCCGGGATTTTAATCACATAAAGAGTAATTAGTGGTACCCTCTCACATTTAATTTAAAATCTCTGTTTTTCAACATCTGACCTTGAGTCAGCCTTGCTTCTCACTGAGTTCATGAGTGAAGCTGAAGATAAAGCCCTGGCCTTTGTGCAGGCTGGCGCCTCTTCACACACATCCTGGGAGGTGGGTGTGGGGCTGAAGGGACTGGAGTGGGTCCCTTTCTGCTCTCCTTCCCATTTCTCAACCAAATTTACAGCTTTTGATACATTATTACACTGATTGTCCTGCCTATCATCTAAAATGTAATTTAAGAAAAAGAGTAATGAAATGTTGTACATATTAGAGTCCTGGAAGAAAATTGAGTCATTTGAGGAACATTTAATAAAGGTGTGGGCAGGTTGTTAGGAAGCTCAAGGGAGCATGTTGTGGCCTGGGGCTGGGCAGGGTGGAATGCAGTTACCCTATCCTGAGGCCAAAGGGGATGAGAAAGAGCAGTTTTCCCACCCTAGGAATGGAGGATACGTGCCGGCATAAGCTCTCACTTTGGCTGAGGTTGTAGTCATCCTGGCGACCTGAAGGGAGGAATCCTGGAAGCCGCAATGACCTCTGCATCTCCCTGTCTCTAGTCTGCCGCCATGTTCCCCTAGCCGAGCCCAACAGGAAGCTTCATGCAGCCCTCATAGGTCAGTTCCAGAAACACAAAGCAAGATGGACAAAGTGGGACAGTGGCTCTAGGCAGGGCAGGGGAGAGGTTTCTATAACAGCATATGCTTGGGTTGGAGGGCATGCCTTCATCCGTCCATCTCCTGGTCCAAGAACCTTTATCTGAGAACCACTGCTGGGCTGGCAACTCTATGAGAGACTGAAGACAGAGAGGAGGAGAGCTCATGCAGTCTCAGAGCTCAGAGACAGAAAACACCAGTGATAGCAGGAGATAAGCATCCTGTGAGATGAAAGCCCATGCTGCAGTGCTCACACCAGTAAGCCAGGAAAGAAGTGCATCCCTTGGATGTCAAGGACCGGGGAGTGTCCGGATCAGTTCTCAAGCAGGGATCATTTCCCTCTCAGGGGACTTTGATTAAGTCCAGAGACATTTGTGATTGTCACAACTGACAAGTGCTCCTGGAATCTAGTGAGTAGAGACCAGAGACGCTGCTAAACACCCTACGATGCACAGGACAGGCATTCCAACAAGGAATTTTCCAGCTTAAAAGGTCAGCAGTGCCAAGAGTGAGAAATCCTGGTCTAAATAGGAAATAGAAGCTATCAAGGCAAACTTGAACCCTGGACATTGAGAGGGTGGCTTGGAGCAACATGTTCAGCATGATGGGGGCTTGGGATGCAGGTGCAGAGGGGAGTAGATGGGAGAGAGGGAGCTGAGGTGAGAGAGAGTGGCAGGCAGAAATGGGATCTGTCTCCTATGCCTCATAGCTTGCATTGAGGGCAAAGCAAGTCAGCCAGAGTGTGCAGCAGGGGAAGGACTCAGTTATATCTTCATTGTGGAAAACTATCCTGAAGCACTGTGGAGGAAGGCAGGTGGATGACACTGGTGAAGGCAGGGAGCCGAGAGGTTACTGCAATATTACAGGTGAGAGGTTTCCAGAATCCAAGCTGCACAAAGGTGATACACAGCCCAGCATCTTCCATCTTCTTTGTGGGAGCTGAAGGCCACTGACCCTGATTCCTTGTACTTTGAAAAGTTAGGCCCACAGAGAAGTCTCACTCCGGACTTCTCTGGAGTGAGAAATGGATCAAGGTGCAGGAGGGAGGAGCCAGCGCCTGGGACACAGTGGGGAGAACATCACTGCATCCCCAGTGATGCAGGCCCAGATCTAACAGTGGATCTTGGTTGCTCATAGGAGGTGCTGCATTTACTGAGAGGGGCCCCACAGGAAGTCACGCTCCTCCTTTGCCGACCCCCTCCAGGTGCGCTGCCTGAGATGGAGCAGGAATGGCAGGTAGGCTACAGTGTCTTCTATTCTCTCTACCTGGCTCTGGCTGAGCCCCTGTTTTCCTGACTCTAGGGTCCTAAGAGGGTTGTAGGTAGGTTCAGTGCCACCTCCTTTCACAGGGGCAGGTAAATAGCTGGCTCCTGAACCTCAGTAGGTCTCCTTCCACTCCCTCATTCTGCCCCTCCCAACATTTGGGTCTTACTGTAGATGTTTACATGTTTAGACTTTGGCTGTGAAACTTTAAGGCCAGACTCTCTGGAAGCCCAGGCATCAGAGAGGCGTGCCTGGGAGGAACAAGAGTAGACAAGAAACAGAACAAGGGAATTTCCAATAAGAATTTCCATTCTGGGAGATGAAGTGGAAAACAGGCTATATGATTACCCTCCTAAGCATGAAATAGGCATGTGCGGTCTAGTGCAAAGAAGAGAGGCATTGGAATCAGGAAAATAGGGAGTTTTACCTTGACGTCTATATTAGTCAGGTTCCTAGAGAAATAGAATAGCTAGAATGAGTGTGTGTGAGTGTGTGTATTTATATATGAAGAGACTGAGAGAAAGAGAAAGAGAAAGAGATTTCTTATAAGGATTTGGCTCATATGATTATTAGGGCTGGCCAGTTCAAATTCTTTAAGGCAGGCCAGGAGGTTGGAGACCCAGGGAAGAATTAATAGAGAAGATCAAGCCCAAAGGTGATCTGGAATCAGGACTCCCTCCTCCTTGGGAGGTCAGTCTTTACCTTTAAGGCCTTCAGCATGGGGCCACCCCATTGTGAAAGACAAGCTGTTTTACTCAAAGTTTGCTGATTTAAATATCAAATCACATCTAAAAAGAACACCTTCACAGTGACGTCTAGATGGTATGTGACCGCTTATCTGGGTACCATGGCCTAGCCAGGTGACAGATACAATTACCCATTGCCATGCCTTCTTGGGAGTCCCTAGGAAACAGGTTTTGCAGCAGCGATGTGAATGCAGGAGGTTTTATGGGGCCTGAACTTGAGAACATCCCCTGTGAGGGTGACGGAAGTGGGGCGGGGCAGAAGGAGAGATCAATATGCAGGTATAACCAGAGCCTCAGCTGATCCTGGAGAGCCCTGGAGCAGAGATGGCCCCTTGGAGTTGCCCTGAACTAGGGCAAGAGAACCTGGGCCTTTGTGTATTGTCTTAACCAACTCTGGGGTGTGGGCTGCCCCAAGGGAGGGGAGATGTGGTGGTGGGGTGAGAGTCTCAGTCCTGGAGGGGATCTGGCAGGTACCTGGATCACCTGTACCTGCTGTGCTGCGTGGGCCTGGGAGTTCCCTATCCTCTCTAGGCCTCATGATTCCTCATCTCTAGGATGTGGATAAAAATGATCACTTAATTGACTGAGGGTGACACCATCACTAGGGACAATATAAAGGACTTGATGACTCAGATCCTGTTGATGCTTAGACTCCAAGACATCATTTGACACAGCCTCTAGGGAGAGAAGAGCTATGGGAAAGATATCTGAAAGTTGCTGGCTTGGAAAAGAAGGTAGATGACAGCAATTGTGTTAAGAAACTGAACCAGGTGAGAGAGGGCCAAATTTCACACACACAAATTCAGGCCAACGTGCTGGGACCCTGTGTTTTTGTCGAAATATCTAGGAAATCCCAGGGAAAAAGAAGTCTTTCCATTCTGGAGAATAGCCCCTCCCAGAAGAGCCCACAGAGATCTAGCAGGAAGGGTGAGGGTGAGGTGTGGTGGGTGAGCTTTCCCTTCTCATATCTGAAGGCAAAGTAGGAAAAGGATTGTGATTTGTCCGGGTGGCTCCAGTGGTCAGATTGCAGAGCAAGAGGCAGCAGCTCTGAGGAGTAAGCATTTAGTCCACCAGGTCAAGCAGCTCTGAGGAGGAGGCAGCCATGCCCACATCTGGGGTAAGGGTATTTCAGGCAGAAGAAATGGCATGAATAAAGGCCCTGATATGGAAACCCACTTGGATATTTGAGGGACAAAAAGACAACAGTTGTGCTTGGGTCGTCATTAATGAAGCAGAAGGCGAAGAAGTTGTGAAGGTGGCAGGGACTGACCCTGCAAGGCCTTGGAGATCAGAGGAGCATGATGCCACCATCCTGCATACGGTGGGAAGCCACTGGGCTAGCATGCAGGGCTAAGCAGGAAATGCCCTCCTCTGTTCTTCAGAGGGGTCAGTCAGGTTGCTGGTGGACAAGGGCTGAAGGAAGTCAAGCAGCAGTCATTCAGGTCAAACATGATGTGACTTGGACTCAGGCCATATCAGAAGAGGGACCCTCGTACAGATATAAAAATGAACACGTTAACAATTTTATTTAACTCATTCAATGAGGGGACCAGGCAGATGTTAAAACTGGCTCAAAAGAGATTTCAAATGACCTATTTATTTATAGAATTGTAAAATAGCTCAAAGACAGTGGAGACAGCTAGAATCAGAGAACCCAGCCGGTTCTGCTGTTTGATAAAAAGAGTTTTCTACTGAAACACAGATTGTTTTTTTGTAGAAGGTTGAGCAGTGGCAGCAAGACATAGCACATCATCAAAATCGGAACCTAAAGGCTGACAAGGGTGTGAGGAGATGAGACGAAGCAAGTCACATCTGGGGAAGTGAAGGGGAGACCCAGGAAAGAACCTTATCGTGATGGGGTGGGAGATGGGGACAAGCCCTGCCATGACCTATGAAGATGAAAACACTTAAAAAGAAAACGTTTCTTGTTAGAAAGTGGAATAGAGTCGTTGCTTTGCATATTTATATTTCATTTTTATCTTTGTCTAAATTTTGCAAATATTTTTCATTTAAAAATATGGCTCATATTTATTGAGAGCTTCCAAAGCCGCCCAGGCTAAGGTGCCTGAGTGTGTTGCCCAGGGTCCAGCGGGAGCATATGGAGGAGCTGGGATGCTATGGTGATAGACAGAACTCAAAGCCCACCTTGTAACTGCTCTGATCTACAATCATATGGGGGAAAAAAGCTTTCTATTTTTCTAAAAAAACATTGAGCAGCATGGAGCCAGTAATCAGTAGCATTTCTTTTAATAGACACTTGAACTCTCAGCTGACAAAGAATTCACCAGAGCAACATGTACTGATTTATGTACCAGCCCCAGCCTGGATCAAGAGGACAGCTGGAGGGACAGTGCCTCCCCAGATGCAGTGGGAAGCCTGGGTCTCAGGCCAGAGTCTTCCCAAAAGGCCATCAGAGAGGCACAATGGGGCCAAGATAGAGAGAGACCTTGGGCCAGTTCCTTGACACATTCTCCCGAGTCCCACCCTCATTTATGCAAACTTCACCAAGAAAGGGATGCATCAACATTGGCGACCTCTTTGGAAAAGGATGTGAGGCAAAACTGCTATTCAGTTTGTGATATCCTGAGACTTGGAAGGTAAGAATCACCACATTTGCAGATATTTTGTAAGCCGAATGCATCTCATTGCTAGAAAATTATAATCAAGCCATCAATAACTATGCTTGGATGCTTTTAGTGCCCAGCACTGTTCCAGGCATTTAGAAGACAGGTTGCAACAAGAGAAACATAAGACCTGGAGCTGCTGAGACCACCTGTGAGCTTTTGGGAAAAGCAAGCCCTACCCAGATCACAATTGTCCTTAATATGTCTTGGAGGCTATAGATGGCAGACCTCAGGTTTTGTCCTGGCCCACAAAACTTTGTCCTGTATCCTCCATGGCCTCTTAAAGCAGTGTAGTAAGAAAGAAGTTCTTACATGTGTCCTCACTTCTGTTGCTAATATGGTGCTTTATTAACATCAACTTTTTATTGCTAATATAATGCTTTATTAATATCAGCTTTTTAAAAAAATGATGGGGTCTTGCTATGTTGCACAGGCTGAATTCAAAACTCCTGGGCTCAAGTAATCCTCCCACCTCAGCGGGTCAAGTAGCTGGGTCTACAGGCACCAGCCGTCATGCCTGGCTTCACCAGTTTTTGTTTTCTGAACACATCTATATCTTCAAGACCACCCTGAGACATTCACTTTCACAGCCATTTTTAATTTAGTCTGCATTTTTGTGCCCATCCATCTGTAAGTATTTCTGGTTCTCAGAAATACTGTGCTGAGGGAACACATGGTCTTTGATTCAGTTTGATAAGAACTTATTACACAAGGTGCTTGGAAACTTGTAGGGAGCAGACAGAGGGCTGTACACGTAGGGTAAGACCTGCTTTTAGGCGTTTGCCAGCCAGATATCTGGGTACAATGCAGGCAAATAACGAAGGGCACTCATTTGTGTTTGACACTATAAACCCACTGAAATTAAATGGCTCTCATTTGGTGTTCATCCTAGAAGACTGTCGAAGGTATATTCATAGGGAATGGTAGTCCCTGTGAAGTGCGAAGCAGTGGTGTAATACCATTGGACCTGGTGAGAGCCGTGACAAACAGGAGCCAGGCATGCATTCCCTAAAACCACCCTAATAGAAAACTTTGAAGAACGCTGTGTCAGACAAACAAGAGCTAACTGGTTTGCAAAGTAGAACAGGGTGGGCAAGCACATTCATCAATGACATTCATATTCATTGTCTGATAATGTATAACATAAGTGTATTTATAGTTCCTTACAATTGCAGTCTAGGCAGTAATTGACATCCTTGATAAAATAATAAAGAAAATAACCTAGAGATTTGTCCAAGGACAACCATTACCATGATCTTAAAGGACATATAAAGGGAACCGTAGGCCGGGCGCAGTGGCTCACGCCTATAATCCCAGCACTTTGGGAGGCCGAGGCAGGTAGATCACAAGGTCAAGAGATCAAGACCATCCTGGTCACAAGGTGAAACCCCGTCTCTACTAAAAATACAAAAATTAGCTGGGCATGGTGGTGCGTGCCTGTAGTCCCAGCTACTCGGGAGGCTGAGGCAGGAGAATTGCTTGAACCCAGGAGCCGAGATCACACCATTGCACTCCAGCCTGGGTAACAACAGTGAAACTCAGTCTCAAAAAGAAAAAAAAAAAAGAAAGTGTACTTTCCTGTAGGCAGGAGGCACTTGTTTGGATATTTAAAGGTTTTGCTGCCAGATAGTTGGGAGTAATGAACAGGGACCCTGGGAGCTGAATTATAAAGTGGCTCTGGGTATAGGTATAAGCTGGGAATTTGCCGTAACAGGTGCCTTTAATTTAATACAGTCAATAGCTATTTAAAATGGTATTTTAAACTATTAGTATAGGCAGTCACTGTTTCATTTATTAAAGTACAGAAAATCACCCTGTTCAATATAAAAGTGATCTAATCTAGCCTCAAACTCCATGCTGGAATCTGCTCTGTCACATTCCTGAAGAAGGGGTTCCAGCGTTTGCTTGAAAATCTGCAGGGATGTGGAACTTGCTACCTCTCAAGCGACCCATTTTATCATCATCTAGTTATTGATCAAAGGTTCTTCCTTGTATAAATATGAAATCTTTATGCTGTTATACTGTTCCTATGAGACTAGCATTAAAGTTCAACATTTTGCATACAGCATGGCCATAACTTCAAGCCTCCTAACTTCATCTGAAGCTCAACCAAAGAAAAAGTGATTTGCTTTCACAGAAAGGGAGCAAATACATCTTTATGTCTTCTACTTCCAAGTCTGGATACCTATTTCCACCTATCTTTTAGCATTCTCTCTTTTCTTCTTTTTTTTTTCCATGAAATATCACAATTCCGTTTTTCTGAAACAAATTAAATTTGGCGTAGTGGCCCTTTCTGCAAGGGTATACCAGGTGTCCAAAGTCTGTCATTCTTGGAGGGATTGCTCCTTCTAGAGCTGCACGAGTCCCGAGGGCTTGTCCAGAACATTCCAGGGGAGTCTCCAATCTTGTCTTTCCCGAATGCTCGTCAGGCCCACGTGGTCCATGCAGCCGTAGGTGAACTGTGGGCAGGCTGCCTTACTGTTCTCAGTATCCTGGCTCTCTCAATGGCCAACCACTCCCCTTTCTCTTGCCTCCCTGTGGTGGTTCTGGTGATGACTGCTTTTCTGCCTTCTTGCATTTCCTGGCTTTATTTTTACCTCGTTTTCTCTCCCTTACTTAAGAACCTTTCCTCTCCTCTGAAAGAATTCAAACCAAGTCTGCCTCTCCTCCAACAGGCCATCAGCTCGCATTTAATGAACACATAGTTAGGGACTGCCCCCTACAGGAAGAAAAGAGGGACGCACACCCCGCAATCCCTGGACACAGTTCTCCCAGCTTCTGGGTAGAATCTGAATCAGGATTTCAAAGTAGGATTGAGGCTCTCTGCAGAAGACTTACAAGTGTTTGTAGCTCAGTTCTGAGGTGACTGTCGCAGGTCAGTGCCTCTTAGAGTCTGTCGTCTGTGAGTGTAGCTCTGGATCTTACTGTGTGGTTTCAGCATTGCTACTTACTAGTATGCCTGGAGAGTTGCCTTCCCTGAGCTAGAGGCTTCCCTAATGTAAACGGGACCATGACAATTCCACAGGGTACTGTGCAGGTCAAAAGAAATAGCACAGGCAGGGTGCCATCACAGTGCCTAGCATGCAGTAAGAACCCAACGCAAGTCTGTTTTCATTCCCTTTCCTGAGCTATTTCCAGCTAAAGAACAGGTCCCATTTATTGAAATTCCCAGCAAGTTGCCGGAACTTACCATCTGCCAGGTGGCAACTTCCTACAGCCAGATGGCTGCCAGCACCACAGCAAGCCCAAAGTGTTCATGGAGAAGATTCAATTTCACTTTTCCTTTCTTGTTCTCTTCTTTTCTCACACTCTATATCTAGAGATTTCACCGTCTAGTAGTAGATGTTTATAAAAATATCTTGTAATAAAGCAGTACAGTACATTTTTTACAGAGGAGAGTTAGTTTATGCACCTATTAGAGGAAAGGCTTGGCTGGAGTCACATCTTTTATAAGGTTAGTACCTAAAGGTAGGATAAAGCAACAATCACATTAAGTCTCATTACCCTTGAGACATCACTTTGGAAGGAGTGATGTTATTTGTCCCTTGATGTGCGAGCAAATCACCTTTTGTTTGGTTGAACCTCAGACAAAGTCAGGAGGTTTGCCATTATGGACCATGCTGTATGCAAAATGCTTGTCTTTAAATGCTGGCCCCGTAGAAACAGAGACAGCCTGACAGGATGGAAGATTTAGTTCTCCCACTTATGTGCACTTCAGGGCTTACATTCATTGGTTGGAAAGTTGGTCTCTGCAGAATGTTTAAGGTTATCTTTCTCTCTCTTTCTCTCTTTGCCTAGCACATATCATTAAACGCATGTAAGTAAAATGCACGTAAGTTCAGCAAACATCACTTTGTGAAAGTGATGGCATAAATCCTGATGGTCATTTATTTAAGAATACAAAATGAAGCAGGAGTCCTTGAAATGAACCTAAAGTTATGATATACCTTCTGGGGAAGGCACTGCCTGGAATAGCAAAAGATAATTAGGAGGCTAGAGAGCTCACTCAGCTGCACCTGCTAGGCCAGGTGTGATATCAGAGTAGTTAGGGAGGGATGCAGCTGCCAGGTGAGGGGGCTGTTCTGCCTGCTCTTCAGTTGGAGTGTGGCTGAGGGCAGTGAGTGAGGTGGATGCCTGGCTAGCATCAGTAGTCTAACACACAGCAGAGCCTGGGTCAGGCTAGGGCCTGGGTGCTGCCTCTAGCAGAATTCTCTTTACACCTTATAGGTTCCCAGGGGTACCTGCCCACTGCCTTCCTTTTCATTACCACTCTGACAAATCCTAACTGTTGTACTTTAGTTCAGACTTATCATCTGAGCTTGGAATTGGGCAGTCCATTGAATTTGTGTACCTTGATGTCTTAGAGATACTGTAAATTCAACCTGCCAAAACTAAATGCAGATGTCAGGAGAGGAGGCCTGGAGCTTCCAGCTCTGTCATCAGGGCTAACGGGGACATCAGTATGGGGCCTGAGGCTGGAGAGCTGGAGACACGAAGAGACATAAAACCAAACTTTGTTGTGAGTTTAACCATAAGTAAATAGGACAACTATAATACCTTCATATTTCAAGCCTGAAATGCCATCTGCTAGTGTGAATTTCCTCTTGAAAGGTAGAGATGATTTTGGTGGCCCAAGTCTTTAAAGGACAGCTGTCCAGAGAAGTTGGGCACAGTGTCTTTTCTCAGTAAATATCCTGTAGCAAGCAGAGCCTTCAGAATGGTTTCACTGACCTCAGAGCTGAACTGGGATTCATCTTAAAAATATCCACTGAAGAGTTTCAGGACTTGGTGAGGACCCTGGTTCTGGGACACTGCTGGCTTGTGTGGGGAAGATGGCTGGCCAGGGAGCCCATGTCAAATCTGCAGATTCTCCTCCAGTCATCATCTGTCTATAAAAACCTCCTTCTGTTGAACAGCTTGGTAGGCAGAGAATGAGGGCAGGAAGAAGCTGAGGCCATTACATGGACCCAGGGGATGAGCAGAAAACTCTGAGTACCCTGACAGCATCAGGGTCGTGATGAAAGTCCTGTTACATTAACCCTGAGCTGGCCAGCCCTGAGCCCTGGATGAAGGATTCCACCTCTTTACCCACCATGTCCACACAGCAAAACATGAGGCTCACTCTGAAAGAATGTCTGTATCTTAATGAAATTCCCCAAATTTCCAAGTCTTGCCCTTTTCATGAAATAGGCATACAGGCTTCTCATGTCTCTTTATTCCCTATTCACCCTTTCCCTATGCCCACAGTTGAGTCCCAGGACAGATCTTCAAGGGCAGCCTGGTGGCACATGAAAAAGGATGAAAGGAAAGGCAGTTGTTCTCCGGGCTAGTGGTAGGATCATGGCCAAGATTTCACCCTTGAGACCACCAACTCCCCTTGGGCAAGTGGGGAGCAAATCAGTTTTTCTTTGGTTGAGCCTCAGATTAAGCCTTGCCTCTTGCCTCTCAGGCTGATGGCTTCTCTCCGTCTCTAGTAGGCAGAACCAGTAGCTGGAGCCCCAAATTAAAACCAGAGGGCAAGAAGCCTATTAGAAGAGGTGGAGAGAGTCTGCTGGTGGGAGGAGAGGCGGGGACACTTAGGCAGCTGCAGTGGCCAATGAACACATACTGTTGCCACCTGCCACTCTTCAACAAGGCTTAGTGTGCTCAGAGTGGAGGGAAGGGGCTGCTGCTTGAGGCAGTGGGGGCGGTGATGAGCCTGAGCCTGGGCAACAGGCTAGATTTCTCATTCTTTGATAAAACTTCTTGAATGTTCCCTTCCTATGTTTATAATAAAACACAGTTTCTACATGATCTGGCCAAGTTTTAAAGTCAATTTTCCCTGCAAATGTTCAACAGTTAAAAATGTCTTTTGAAAGTGAGTGTTCTTCTTCAGTCTTTGTAGAATAATTTCTTTTTTATACACTTGAGTGTGCATATATTTACATGAAATTCACTCTTACACATACCCTGTAGCTCTCCTGGTGGAAAAATGTCTCTTTCAAAGTGAAGTTCAGTTTGGGGCAGACGCTCCTGGCTCTACTGGAGAGGAGGATGGGCTCTCTGGGTGTCTGGGGGTTTGTAGCTATTGGGGTGTACCAGAGCTGATTTTAAGAGAAAGAGGCAATGCAGGAAAGGAGACCAGCAGCACATAACAAAGCCAACCTATTTATTCGGCTGTGGAGAAGGAGGCTGAGAAATGAGGATCCACGTATTTGGTAAAAAGCTAAATCTTTGTGCTTTTCTCTTAGATATTCCTTCTCATCTTCTCTAACCAGACTTTCGACAGATATTTTCTGAGCACCTTCTCTGCATGTCTGCACTGCTGTGTAAAATGCCCTGCCTTTGCATGGACTGTTCTTTCTAATCAAGAGGTGTGTGTGGTGAACTTGGAGCAGCCCCTGGAAGGCATGTTCTTTGACCACTGCGTCTGCGGCTGCATCACCAGATAATGAGCTTCACCACTCGTCTGCCTCCTGTGTCCTTCCACAGGGAGTGCATGTCACTCCAGCTGGTCGCCTCTCTAAATAGGCACATTTTCAGTATTCAGAAAAGGAGCTGAACTTTGCACAAAGTGCTTTGATGGTTGCCTGCTTGAGTCACTCCCAACCCCTTCCTGAGGCCCTTTCTTTATAATTCTTCTGTTGAAATAGTTATCATAATAACAGTAGTAATCATAGCATCTCACATTTATTAAAAAACTTAACCTGTACCAGGAATCGGCAGGGGGAGGGGGGCGTATCAGAATTATGTAATTTACATGTCCCAATAATCCTAGACACTTCTTGACCATTAAGTTTTTTCAGATGAGAAAACTGAGGTTCCAGTAAAGTCAATAAACTTGTCCAAGTTCTGACCGACTCTGCTTGTCATATGAAGAGTCAGTCTTAGAACTGGGTAATTGCCCTGCTTGCAATGCTGTGCCGTCTGGCAAACCCCCCGCCCCTCGCCCCCACCGGTCTCCTGAGCTCGTGCTCCTACTGCCTCTACCATAGCACTTCCTGCCCGGACTTTAACATTTGTTTACTGCTCCAACTTCTCATTAAACTTGGGGCTTTTCAAAGCCAGGGGTGGTGCCTTATTTGTTGTTTGCTTCCTGGTGCCCAGAGCAGCCTCTGGCATGAGCTGTTTAAATATTGGCTAAGTCTCATATGCCTGTGTCGTGGAGAGCATCCTAAAAGGAAAGGGGAAGGTGGGGCAAGGAATTTTTTTTATTAAGGCTAGAAGACACATGGGTTTCTGTTTTCTAGTCCTGAATCGGAGGATAGGGAAGGTGCCATGTGCCATCCACATGGAGCCCATTCTCCCACCTTGGAAGATGAAAAGT